AATTTTATATCCAACAAGCGCGAGTGAAATACTTGTTTTACAAAATTTCGAATTTTTCCAATTTTCGATGATGCTGTGTGAATGTATTATAAATGTTATGTAATGTTTAAAAAACGAGCAGGAGTGTTTTATCGGATTATAAAACCACGAGGCGTAGCCGATTGGTTTTTGACCCGATAAAACACGTGCTGCGAGTTTTTTGAACTGCTTCAAAAACATTCTTGGAAAAGCATGTGTCAAGAGAGTTCATAACAATTATGCTTTTGTGAACGTTAGAAATTAGCATACGAGAAAAACTGATCTGAACTGATCCAACTGATCTTGAATTCGAAGTTTCAGATGATGTATTGTCTAATATGCCTTTACCAGATTACTGTACTAATGGAATAGAGAATTTTTCCAGATGTGTATTTCACAACTGTACCATTAATTTGGTGCAGAAGTAAATTTACTGTGTGAAATTTGTTGAAAGAACATTAAATATGTTCCCACCATTTGTTGTATCAGTTTCTGTGTTGATAATTAATTGATATTCATAAGTCACGTGCAGTGTCTTTATATCTGATAAAACACCGCATACTAATAAGGATGAGGTTTATCGATATAAAGTCACTGCACGTGATGTATTATCTACCACTTGATAGGTTAATGGGCTTATGAATTATTAATGAGTTTTTGAATTAAATTTAATTAACCAAAAGTCAATGTTACTTCCGAACGCTTGAATCAAATGAACTTGAATCAAATGAAATGTGCAACGCTTTACGACCGTGTGAAAACTCAATACTGGCTTTTAAAAATGTTTTGCGGTGCTGTGCCAATATTATAGCTACTGGAAAAGACTTCAAAGGTGAGCTTTCTCGACTAAAGGTTCTGGTAGAGCGTGGAAATTGCAGCTCAAAATTTGAGTCATCGTGAAATAATGAAAGTAACAGGTTGTTCTTTCTGTTATGACAGCGTTATATTTTTTCTAGAACTAAAAACGTTTATGTAATATGCAGCATTCTATCTATTTCTCATTTTTAAGTTGAGAAGGTAAAACAAAGATGATATAATTAGTATATACGCCCGTTTTCAAAAATATATATTAAAAATATAAACCTTTTCCTTTCTCATCAAAAAGATCTTTTTTTTTAGGTTATGCAGTATATGGGTAGAGTCTGTATTTTAATAAAGTTGTATTAACATTATTAATTAAATAAATCAGGACACTAGAAATGCAAAATTTCATAATAATGTAAATAGTCTCTCGAGTATTGAAAGGAAGTGTGTTTTAGGAGACGTCTGCATCAAAGTTAAAATATATTTGTTCTTCAGCTCTAACGACCACTATAAGCTTTCTTCCGCGACTTAAAGTCACGTCTGTCTTAGAGACGTGAGCTTGGGACGCCTGTGCTACGTGTTGGAATGTTGTTCCTGTTTTCTGGGGCAATAAAAGTCGTCGTGGTCCACGCACACTGCCAGTTGAACAGGTACGATTATTCTTGAGCAACTCAACCTCCCTATTCACTGGTATGTACAAAAAATATTTCCTTTAGTACAATCTCACTTAATTTCTGATCTAAATTCACGGGAAAATTGACTGAACTTAAATTTCTACTACAAAATTTCCATTTCAGCCATACATTCTACCATACTATCTTTCGTACTATTTTGTTATTTTTCATCCTCACGATACGCTTATCATTTTAATGAGTTTGGAGTTGGTGATAATCTACACCCTCAAGACATTGTGGACAGATCGTTCAAACTTGTCATATTTAGCGCTAACACTGCGGGATATATGCAGTGAAAAACAACAACGAGGCAGCCAATTATAGAAAGCATTTAAAACTGGCAGAGTAACCAGCGTTAAAAATGACAATTAAACCGAATCAAGAGGTCATCGCAGAGGTCATGGGTTCAAATCCCGTACAGGCCTGAATTTTTTTTCAGGCCTTATTTTCACTACTGCCTAAGTAGTGCACATCACTGCGAGGATCACTTTCTTTCACGTCTTTATCCGCAGTTCAAATATATGACTTTCATATATTCTTAACCGTCTATTCATCACTTCACGGGTTTATTTAGAACCACCATCATGACCAGCTCCCAGTTGGCTTGTTAGCTCAGTTGGTAGAGCGCTGCACCGGTATCGCAGAGGTCATGGGTTCAAATCCCGTACAGGCCTGAATTTTTTTCAGGCCTTATTTTCACTACTGCCTAAGTAGTGCACATCACTGCGAGGATCACTTTCATTCACGTCTTTATCCGCAGTTCAAATATATGACTTTCATATATTCTTAACCGTCGAATCAACTTTGTCAGTATTTCAAGCAAAGCATTAGTAATTTTTTAAATGTTCTTGGTTTTCACAGCCACCTATTACATTCCAAGTGAGTCAATTACTTTTTGACGGTACCTCACCTAAACGAAGTCAATAAAATGTCTGGATGCAGGGAACAAAAGGTAAGACATCTTTCTTTTCCACTTCTTACAATGTTTAAGCTGATAATGTTTATGTTCACCTTGAAAAACGTCATCTATATCTGGGCCTTGTTTGCCAGAAAACTTTGTGTGCATCTGGGCCTTGTTTAACAGAAACTCTTCTCATTTCGCTTTTATATTGATGACAGATGAAACTTAATCAAATGACTCGTGTGGCGTCGCGCGCTCTTTTGTGAAAATAACATTTAATGAAAAATCGCAGCATGAAGGCGAAATACGACGGCGCGAGTAGGGCAACAAAGAGACGCATGGCTTTGTGTTCGGTCCTACGAGATGAACTATGGAAGCCGAAAAGGGACAGTCCAAAAAATATTTTACAAATCTGAAAAAATATTCAGAATAGCTATCTTTGAGACAAATAGTTTTTTAAAAGGTTGTCAAATCGAGAAAACAATTTGGTTTGTGGCCTTACCGATCATTTACCAAATTTCTTAGTTATCAACAAATTATCTTGGACAGCGAGCAATATGACTAGGTTTGCACGTGATTATTCTTGCTTTGATCCGGATAACTTTTTAGCAGATGTTCAGTCAATTCAGTGGGAAAATGTTTTTAGGGAAAATGAGATGTTTGATTCCTTTTACTCTGTAGTCAATGCTACAATAGATAAACATGCTCCTTTAAAAAAGTTAAGTAAACGAGAAGCAAAAGGGTATTCGTATACCTATTAAAACCAAAAATAAGCTATTTAAGCGTTATATAAAAAGTAAGTCTCAAAGTAATCACTCTCGATATAAATTTACAAACTAAACAGAACAAACTAAAGCATATTTTAATTTTAAATTATAAATCTCTATTATAAAGAGTACTTTACTTATCATGTTAATAATGCAAAAGTATTTTACCCTATGCCGTCTTATTTTGTTGGAACTATCACACCATAATCTCATTAACGAAGTAAACCCTTTGAACACCGCGTACGTGATGGAATGTTGTTTCTGTTTTTGGGGGCAATAAAAGTCATCAACGTCTAGGCACATTGTCATTTGAACAAGCAAGATTATTCATGAACAACTCAACCTCCCTACTCACTGGTATGTAAAAAAAAATATCTCCTTTGGTAGAATCTGCTGTAAGTACAGTCTCACTGAATTTTCTGATCTAAATTCATGAATAGGGGAAAATTGACTAAACTTAAATTTCTACTGCAAATTTTCTATTTCAGCCATACATTTTATCGTAGTATCTTTGGTACTGTTGCCTTACTTTTAACACTCGCGATTCGCCTATCATTTTGATGAGTTGGGGTTTGGTTGTAATCTTTAAACCCTCAAGAAATTTTTGATACTTTTGCGTCTCGCAAGCGGAGAAGATAAGGGTCGAGAATTTTGATAACTGAGGGAGCAACTATATGTAGCAAAAATTTGTCATTCACGCGTTCTCCGTGTTTATGCTAATATTCTCATCCGATTATAAACGTCTGGCTCGACCACTTAATATCATTCTCAAAGATGAGATGCCATTTCTACTTGTTCTTGTCTTTTTAAACCTTTATTTTGTGCTTGGTTTGTGGCTATAACGTTAACAAAAGGGAAGGAAACATTTATCGATTATGACTTTAATACCACACGAGTATTACTAGTAACATACAGATACATACAAGTACACACAGGTCATAATTTGCCATTTTTCTCTCTTTTTTCATTAAAACCGTCAGGACCTATTTGCACAACGCTAGGAAAAGAGAACCATCTAGTCTGAATTCAAGTTTGAGTTAGATTCGAGTTGAACTTCTTTCAACGAAAACAAAACCATTACCACTTGGTACCTGATGAATAATTATTTCTCCTTGTTAATGGTGTCACGACACCTCAGACCTTGAAACTAGAAAACCTCAGATACCCGAAAATCCATCGGGCAGAATGCTTATTGTTCTCGCGACATTTACTTGCAATGGCGAAAATATTATAGATCCGTAATATTAGCGGCGAAGCGTAAACAGGAAGACTCTCATAGGTCGAAGATCAAACGCGCTTTCCTCCTAAGAGAATACTGCCTAAGCTCCTTAACTTGTCAAGGTGGAAATCTGCCAAGCTCCTTCTTCCACGAAAACAGGATAAAAAAACGTCTTTGGGTTAGGATCGAAAGAAAAAAAAAGAAAAGAAATGAAAAGAAAACAGCCTCATATATGTGGCGCATGTGTGCGTTCAATCAAAAACCGTTTGGTGACTCTTCATGCATTTAAGAAAGATAAAATGGAGAATTACACCCGTGTGTCTCCGTATGTATTCGTATGTCACTCGTATTTGGCCGTACGTACTCGTATATTACTAGTATGTTACTAGTGTGTTGATTTAGTCATGATCAAAGTTATCGCCCCGAAATAGAAAATGTTAATTCCCGTTTCGCTTAATCTTCCGTACCGTTGTCCATTTGTTGCCCTTCCGCGTGCATCTATCGATTGTTGAATCTTTTTCGTTATCTTTTTTTTGTTGTTGTTTTTGTTGATCTTAGTATCTTAAGTGAGCCGGACTGTTGTGGTTGAAAACTGAACTCAGTGTCAGCAAAGAAACATGTTTACCCCTGCAGGAAGGCATCTTTTAATCTTCGTGTACGTCATCGGCTGGTTGTCATCATCTTGGGCCGAGGATGGTTTCAGGATTTGTTTCCGAGAAACCGAACGCAGTTCACAATGCCAAGGACCATCTTACAGCTGCAGTGGTTGGAGTTCAAATCCTGCGTGGACTCAGCCATTTCGAGATGACACTGACCAGCGATCTGGAGGCTGTCGGTATCAATGGAAGATTGAGGCACACCATAACATTAGAAGAAATAAAGAGTATCGCCTCTGCTTTGCTGAAACGGAAGGAAGCTCACAGTGCCAAGGGTCCCGACACTCGTGTACCAATTGGAGTCGTACCCCATCTTGGACGAGTTCTTTTCGAGATGACACGGACGGCAGAGGTGGCGGCTGTAGATATGCTTGGAAGATTGAATCTCGAACTACAACTATTACAAAGAAACCAGTTTGTCGAGTCTGCTTTAAAGAAACAGAAGGAAGCTCTCAGTGTCAGGGTTCCCGCCAAAGCTGCAGTGGATGGAGCGCAAACAAGGTTCCCGCATGGACATTGCCTTTTCGAGATGACACCGATAATCGTGGAGGAGGCTGCACTTATTCTTGGTATCTGGACTGCACCCCAAAATGTGATGCTGCGTTTTGTCCGAGAGACACTCCATGCCCCTGAAAAAAAGCTTCATAACTTCCGAACAGCTTCTATGTGAACCTTATTCCTGGAATGGTGGACTTTTAATAACTAAAAATCGCTTTCTTTTAAATTTTTGTTTACAAGGCCAAGGGAACGAGAAAAGGCGTTACTTAGAACAGTATGTATGGCGACATTTTCCCACAAAATAGGATCCTTTTTTCAAAATAGTTGTTATAGATTAAAGGGATTTCGTGATTTCATTTACAGGGACTGAAATAGTATCCGTAGAAGTCTACGTACTTGAAACTATTTTTTAGGTCATAAGGATAATCGGATCCCTCTCTTAATTAAATTCAATCTATGATTGTATGTGTGTTATATACCTCCATTGGTTCGTATGATTAAAAATTGAATGATTTTTGAGCGGAGGGGTCTTACTGGGGTGATGGCTTTTTACGGCTGACGGTTAAAACTTTAGCCATTTTACAGCTGACGGTTAAATTCTTTCCGTTATAGTTCGAGGAAAGATTTTTACAGTCAGTAGCTCTTTTTTAAAACTGGTGGTTGAGATGCGTCGATTTTAACGCCTAACGGCTAAATGGTTTGGCCGTTTTACGCCTGGCAGTAAACCTCATTGCGACCCTCTAGTTATGATTTGATGATCTAATTGTGGTTAGAGGGCATACGAAGTATTCTCTACCGGTTGCAAGTTTTTGAGCGCCTTACAATAGCTGCAAGTTTTCCCGCGCTCAACGCTGGCTGCAAATTTTCCCGCGGTTAACACTGATTTTAAGTTTTCCCGCACTTAACGCTGGCTGCAACATTTGGTTCGCTTATCACTGGCTGCAAGTTTTCCCGCGCTTATCAGTTGTCATCGGCTTCATTCTTTCCCTTCAATTGCAGGTTTTGAGGAGAGTTCTCTTGCTCAAACTCAAATTTCCCGCGCCAAGAAATGACCATATTTTATTTGTATCATGAAGATTTATTATAAAGTGATTTTACAAACTTAGTCTACATTAAAGTTCTCGCAGTACCTTTCATACTAATACAAGGGCGAAATGCGTCAGATCTTACCAAAAACTGAGTCTCGAAGTTTTAACGTCTGAGGCTATTTTTAGAAGAAAGAAGCGACTGTTCCGTAAAAATCTTCGTGGTACTCTTTTCTACTCAGCACCTATATAGAGCGCCGAAAAGGCTTCTTGTATTGCTCTGCCACAGGCTAGTTCAGACGTATACCCTCCCGCTTTCTCGCCTTCTGTGGCAGTACGGATATGACGAAGGTATCTAAAAGAAAAAAATCCAATATTCAATGTATGTCGAGAACAGAAGATTAAACAAATGCCTGACAACGTTTAATATCTTACAACAGGTCTGAAAACTTTGCTTTAAAAACCCTGGATGCTTGAACTCGTTTCCTCTTCGACATCTTGGTGCACAGCCAGTAACCAGTTAATGAAACCTTGCCAAAGGGGGTTAAATTTTATCATCATTTTAAAAGTTTCTTATCTCGCTTCGATTGGGTGCCGTAAAACCAAAACCAAAGTATTCACAATGGCCAATGAGAAGAAAAGGAAATATTCTACAAAGCCAATGAGAAATCAAAGTAAAAACAACCAAACTGCATTAAAAACGCGGGAAAACGCGAGTGACCAAGTCGTGATTGCTTTAGCTTAAATCTGATTGGTTGAGAGAGTGGCGCGAATTTTGCAAACCAATCACAGAGTGAAGATAAGCAAAACCAATGCAGTTCAAACTTACATCCAACACTTGGTTGAAAGAATTGCTCTAGACACGAACAAGAAAAAGCAATGAACCCGAAAATTTGTCCCACAGTAACTGGTATATCCTCAGGAAATCACGACAGAAACTTACCCCCTTCATTCAAAGTGTTCGTGAGTTCGTTCGAGCTTTACAACAAGCTAACCCATTGGAATAACATTCAAAATAGGAGCTGCGTTCACGTTTCAGAGAAGTGATAAGCAAAAAATTTCAACGAAACCTTACTTCTCTCAGACAGTAACACGTACATGACATAGCAATACTGATTCAGAATCCATTCAATAAAAACAACAAAAAATGGAGACTAAATGTAGATAAGTTTAAACTGACCCTCTTGCAGCTAATACTTCCATTTCTGGAGCAACTGGCCCATCAGTTATCACTTGTGGAGCAACATATTCGAACTTGGGTCCTTCAGCTAACGGCAATGGAGCAAATGTTTCCTGAAACACAACAATAATACACTGATTATCACACGCTTTACTAGTTTAAACTACGTGCTGTACCCTGCTAATATAAAAATACCGACCACGTGATTGATACAAAGACAAAGGTGAGGGGGGAGAGGAGGGGAGACTGACAGAAGTGAGTGAGATGTACAAGCAGACATCCTGGATCATTTTAATGGATAGATGGTTGGATGGACTGACAGAAGAATGAAACCATTGATGAATGAATGGACGGGTTGAATGATTCAGTGCACATGCCAAATTTAATAAATTTATGGACCTAGCGCTTAGTTGAAGTGGGCTCTTGCTAAAGGCAGGTTGTTTATCAAATGTCACCATTTTCAACAAAGTAGCAAGTTTTCTTTGCAAAAAAAAAAAAACCCCAAAAGCAATAAACATGAAAAAAAATGTGAAGTTGTATAATAGACAGTGAACTTAAGGATTATAAGCCAGTGAGGAAATCTTAAGCAATACTCCTCTTGTGCAATTAATTTTTTGTTTGCAAGGTAGGATGCTGGATTGAATAAATACATTTATTTGTGAAAACAGTTTGAACTCCAAGTTATTCCTAGAATAAATCCAGCATTTCCTTACATGTGTTATCACCAACTTACTTTTTGTACTGAAGTCATTTGGGTGTTTTGTGCTGAAAACAGCAAAGATTTCTTCTGCAAATTATTTGCATGTTCCGCTATAATGTCATCCAGTGAACGATCCCCTTTGACCTGTAACGAAAGTTGGAAATGGATCCATCAGGCTAATGCGCACAATTATATCTCTCAGTTAGTAAGTACATTACAATTGGTCAACTTAGCCTTAAAACTGAAATCTTCTCCCGCTATTTGAACCCAAAGATATTAACCCTTTACTCTCTAACATCAATATGCATATTCTCCATACTGTTCTCTATACATTTCTTAAGGTGCTGACAAGGAGAATTTGTTCAACCATCAAGAGCTTCTTTAGTTGGTGATCATCTCCTTCATTCTCATGAACTTCATCTTTCATTCAGGGGTGATGTCATAAAGAGAAATTAGATGTTAGTCACTCTCAGGGGTTAAAGGGTTATATAATATTAACATCTTATTAAATTTCAGTTGTTTTCTTTCTCTCTTCATAGTGTAACTTACAAAACATTGTCTTTTTCCACCAAGTTATGGCACTAACACTTCTCCCTTGGGCCATATATGCGAGAGGAATATGCTTGGTTCTGTAACTTACTGAACTTGGTCAATAAGAGGTGTTTAAATGTATGTCGCAATTTTAACATTTTTTACTAATAAGCAGTAAAATTGACTTTGAAATAGAATGAATTGTTATAACTGAGAACAGTATTGACCCTCTAACCTTTGAGAGTGACTAGCATCTAATTTCTCCTTACAATATCACCCTGGAATCAAACATTAAGGTTACAAGAATGAAGAAAATGATCACCAACTAAAGATTGAAGCTCTTGATTGTTAAACACTGGATTCTTCTGTAAGGGTTGAGACTTCATCAAAGTATCTCATCAATAAGGAGCCCAAGTAATCTAAATCTTCTTTACCAGATTGTCAAGAAATTCCTCATTTTCTTTCTGTTTGTCATTTCTCTCCTGTTTTTCCAACATAGCAGCTTGTACACGCCGCAGCTCTTCCTGTTTGAGTTGCTCATCAAGCTGGTGCTGAACGAAAGTTTCTTCTCTGTCCTGCAAAGTTCACCCACAATGCATTTCTCTCCTTGCTTTGTCATAAAACACCAACTAAAAGGGTTGTATGTATGTAGGTATACATGTATGCTAAATTTACTACTTCCCCAATGGGGTTATTCAGGGCCAATACAAATGAATGAATAAAATGAATGAATCAATAAATATGGGGCTTATTATTTATACCATGTCTGACCCAAAGTGTGGTTTTATGCAAGCAGTGGACCTTAGGGATTTTCCTGATTGATTTGATTAGATCAAATAAATGCTTTCCACTATTAGCTTTCTGCATCCTCAACACTGTTTACAAAAATAAATTTTCAGTCAAAAGGCTCACTTTGTTAAACAACGGCTTTGTTTAAATAACTGGCACATATTATTAGTCCCACCTGGCAGGAGGCAGAGCAGTCGACTACTGTACAAAGAGCAGCTAAAGAGTTAAACTTGTAGCAGCTGAGAACAAATCCAGTGAGTAGTAAGATGACGGACTTGAACCTGGGACCACCAGATTACACTTCCAATGCCTTACCCACTCAGCAACACAACCCACTTATGCCCAGAAATGCATGCAGTAACAAAAACGGCTGACCAAGTGAATGTTCATGGATTTAACAATTTTGGCAAATTTTGTTCAAAGTGAAATCTGCTTGACAGAATTGCCGATTTGGACAAATTTTTTGCAAATTTGTTGAAGCAAAATCTGCTTGGCGGAATTAACAATTTTGATTAATTTTAGTCAAATTTTAGTCAAATTTGTCAAAGCAAAATCAGCTTGGTGGAATTGATGATTTTAAAGAACTTAAGTCAAATTCGTCAAAACAATAGCAGCTTGGTGGATCTGATGCTCTTGGTAAATCTTTTCCAATTTTGTACTGCATGCATTTCTGGACACAGGGTTCAACTTGAAAAACAGCACCATGAGACAGAGTACTCACCCACTTCAACTTGTTTTTCCTGATCAGTGATTCATTTTCCTTTTCATACTTTTTAATTTGCTTCTTTGTCTCATCAACCTCATGTCCATTTGCAAGATTCCATACTGAGTAGATAAGCGATGAAGAAATATAATTAGATGTATATTAACCCTTTCCCTCCCATGATCTGGTTGTTAATTCTCCCCTCTCACTGCTACACATTGCCTTGTAAATTAGTTGCAAGAATTTGTTATTATATCAAGATAACAACTTCTACATGATACAGTTGAGTATTCTCATTACCCGTTTGCTGGATGGTGGATCAATATTGTAGGGAGAAGTTACATGGGAATCACATCTGGGCATTGAAGGATTAAATCTTTCTATGTACACTTTAAATTTTTATCAGTTACTGTTGTTCTTTAGGTACCCTCGGAAATTCAAAGTTGTTGTTGCTGCTTTTTTATTTTTTAACAGAGAGAGGTATTGCAAGAAATTAAGCAATAGGATTGTTAGGTTATTACACATGTTATGTTTCTCAATCAGGGACTTTAATGGACTTGTCAGTTTTAACAGCACAAACTAGGACAGGTACTTGTCCAAGTGGCTCCACTGGTTCAAAGGGTGGAAAACCCTAGCTATCAACCACATAAATCTCTATCTGGAGAATGGCTTAATGCCTTTTGTTAATTGTAACCCTCTACACCCTAACATCAATGTCCAGATTCTCTTAACTCTTCTCTGTACATTTCCTTTGCTACTGACAAGGAAAAGTTGATTAACAATCAAAGCCCTTTAGACTGACAATCATTCCCTTCATGTCCATGATCTTAATAAGTGATTTAATGGTAATACAGTAAAGAGCAGTTAGATGCTGGTCACTCTTAGGGTGTAAAGGATTAATTCTCACATCCATCAGATAATGTTATCTGCCCCTTAAAGAACTGGGCTCTGGACAAGTAACCTCCCCCCCTCCCTTTTCTCAAAAGATATACATGTAAGTAACAACTCTTATGCAAGTCCAGCAAACCATTGGGAAGTTGCTCCTCTACAACATCACAATTGTTCACATGTAGCAAAACTTCAGACATCTTACTTATGCTCTCCACATCTTCCAGATAGTCATTGTATGCTCTTAAGGGATCTGGCTCAGATTTAAAATCTTCCTCACGCTTGTTGTAACTGATTATAACAATAAAAGAAGAAAAATGAAAAACAAAAAAATCACTGAGCACTTTGTTGAAGTTTAAAATGGATCAACCCTTAACATCTCAACACGGGTATGTATATTCTCCAAACTGTTTTTATGCATTTCCTAAAGTACTAACAAGGTGAATTTGTCAACTCTTTAACTCCCAGATCAAATTTGTAATTCTCCTTACCATCAACCATACAATTCTTATAATGTTAGTTCAAAGAATTAGTGTTAGATCAACTAATTATCCCCGAATAGATAGTTTTCTTTATTCTCATCACCTGTCTGGTTGATACTGTATTGATATCGTTAGGAGAAATTTTATCTTGGTCACTCATGGGAGTTAAAGGGTTTAAACATCCAAGAGCCTCTTTAGTTGGTGATCATTTCCTTTATAATATAGCTTTATCATCCTTTAGTTAATGCTGTGTAACAGTTCCTGTAGAAACCAATGCCTATCTGCAATTAACTAAAAGAGCAGACGATGGCAAAACTCGTGTCCAATCTACTACCCCAAATTAGAGAGCTATGTTATTGCTGAAATAAAGAGGTAAGTTTCCAAATAAACTTTGTGCTGCATTGGTGAGAGAGTTTCACATTCAAGATAATTTGGTTTCATCAACTATAGTTGATGTAAATAATATTGGCAACCATAAAGAGTTCCTTAGGCTGACATTTTGAGTTTCAGCTATTCCTAAGAGTTGACAAAAAGGTAACACTTGAAATGTCAGCTTTGGAAACTTTTTGTGGTGGCCAATTTATGTTATCAATTCAGTTGATAACATCAAATGTTCATTAGACCTACATCCTTAGGATGTCCTTCCTGATGGCCACCTCTTTCTCCACTATAAGATCTTCAAACTGTTGAAGTCTGAAGTCATTGAGTCGCAGTGGTGTGTTACATTCAGGACATGCTGCAGAGGGCCTGGTGAAAAGTGTGTCTTTGCAGCCTTCACACCTTAAGGACATAAATGACATTAGTATTATTGCTCTGGTGATTAAAGGATGCGCACTTTTCTGATTGGTCAATGATTGCCTTTTATCTATCTATAATCACCTCCTGCCAGGTGATCATGGAGGAGGGCTAAATTTCAAACTAGGTGTCTCATGTTTTGTCAGTTTTGCAGAGGAAATGATCAAAACAGTAAAGAAAATACAATTTAAAAGAGCACAAAAGATGCTATTAACCCTTTAACTCCCAAGATCTGATTGTTGATTCTCCCCTATAGCTGCTACACATTTCCTTGTAAATTTGTTATGAGAACTTGGTGCTAGATCGAGATAGCAGCTTCTGCCTAATAAGTTTGAATATTCTCATTACCTGTTTGCTGAAGAATGTATGGATGTTGTAGGGAGAAGTTTTATGTTAATCACTTCTGGGAGGTAAAGGGTTAAGTTTGCAAAAGAAAGATAAGACATATTTGCCGACTTAATCAAATTAACCTTTCACATTCTAGTGGAACCTGATTCTTTATCTCGAAACGAGTTATCAAAATAATTGACACAGAATGGTGTTAACATCAAAACAACTGTTCAGAACAGAATTTGAAAGAAACCAAGCTATTATACTAAAATAATTATATGCCTAAGGCTAAGTGAATTTTAATAAATAGTTCCCTGGACCTTGTCTAGGGGATTATTTAACAATACTCACCTTGCCTTCAGCAAGCCATTTTTAAATATTACAGAATTCTGATTGGCTTAGACATAAATTTTATCAGTTAGGGTTTAGACTACTAGTAATTACTGTAATTAATGACACATCAAGGAAATGTCATTGTCATCAGTTGCACTTATGGAAGACCTCAAATTGCTAAATATGCAAGACAGTCTAAAAACCTTCAACAAATCTCTTAAGTAAATGAGCTTATACAGAGAGTTGACGTACAATTTATGGCCGCACACATTCACCCACAGCGTTAGCTTTGGATTTCTGTACTTCGTTGTCTTGCATCTTGGACAAATTTGCCAATCATCCATGATGAATGAAGAATGTTATTCCACACAACATCGTCAACTCGAAATCTATTTTCGCGGAAGATACCACGCGCTACATATGAATAGTAGCGCGGGCTCATTCAGATTGTACTAAGCTATGTGATTGGTCACTTTGAATAGTACAGAGCTTTTCATTGGTCAGTTCTTTTTTTGCGGTAAACCTGTGCGCTTAGGGAAGCTGAAAAACAAAACATTGTGGATTGTAGAAAGAGTTCCAAGAAAATGAGGTACTAACGTGAGTGCATCATAGCGGATAAATGGCTGATATAAGCCTTGATCAGATAAAGGACTTTTTTAGTCTAAGGCCGCTTGCGAAACCAAACGCTGTGACAAATGTGAAGATAACAGGGCGTCATTATGAAGATGGCAGGCGGAATGTTGAGAATCAACAGTTTAAAATGGCAAGAAAAAATATGCAAAGGTGAGAATTTGATGGTTGTCCTATGGAATAGCGAAAAATGCGATAACTTAAACGATTTGGACGTTGATTATGTCAGACATAAGCTGCTGGACAAGAAGAATTTGGAACTTGATTTTGCACTGCTTATACCCACAATTGTTTACATGTGACGTGTGACATGTGACATTTATTCCGTGATGGGGGGGGGTTGGGTGTAGAGGGTGGAGAGAGGGGAGAGGAACAAATCAACAGAGTCTTTTCCAACCAGCTCTGAAGTTGTGGAATGTAAAATGATGAGGTTAATAATTTTCTTTCAATACTAGCCCCCCAGCTTCACCTGCATACGTTGGAGATTACTGTTCATCTGGTCCTAAGCTGGAAGATCTCTACGATGAGTTGGACCAGCTGGAACTCAACCCTCCATCTGGAGCTTCTGATGAATTACCAGCAGCTTTGAAAGAGGAGGAGGCTCATATTTTTGAGAACTACTCTTTTGACCACACTTTTTCACCAGATCTTCCCATCACCTCTTACCAACAACAAATCATTGATACCATTGAGAGCAACTCAGTCACCATTATACAAGGTAAAGTTATAGGAGACTTTGAGCTTATTTTATCTGATGCATGTAGATGAAATTATATACTTTGTACATGTATGCATGACTGTCTTTATGCAGTTGTATATAATACATTCAGACCAATAGCAGTATCTGGGCAACTGCCCACCTACCCCTCCCCTAACCCAACAACAGTCTATTGATAACACCTTAGGGTTAATGTTGGGTTAGGGGAGGGGTAGGTGGGTAGTTGCCCAGATACTGATACTGATCCATACATTCATTATATATACATCAATAATTTGGTTTTTTCAACTGCTGTGGAGTTGATAATGTTAATTGGTAAAGCTGATATATCCAGTATCAGCCCTCTGTTTTTTAATTTATAGAAGAATTGAAGAAGTGATCACCAAAAAGTATTCAATTCTTGATAAGTCAATTTTGATCCTCAATACTTTAGTTTTGAAGAGATTTAAATGGTGTACCTAAGCAGAAACCCTCTGATCTCTAATGATTTTTTGGTTTTTTAGAGGAACTATAGCAGGAAATGTTGAGCTGGACATAAATTGATAGAATCGTGCTGCATAATTTCCAAACTGATAGTTGGCCAAAAAATACTCCTGTGTAGATTTTTTTTCACTGACCTGACCTTTATAAATATGCATGTGTGAGGGTCTTGGTCTGGGTTGTAACCAAGAATAGAGGGAGTGAGTTTCTAAAGAAACTGTAGTGCTGTATCAGGGGGAGAGTATAACTGGGTAGCTTAGTGTTATCAACTGAGTTTTGAATGTTTCATTCACTCTGACGAAGGGCTAACACTTGAAACATCAGCTTGAAACTTTTTATTATGGCCAAATTACATTACAAACTGTATTGATAATACTAAATAGGCTGCTGGCTGCAATTTAAAATGAGGCAGCTCAAACATGGCACCTTAAGGATGGCTAAGCTACTTAGCTTCTTGTTTATGAAATGCTTGATGCAGGATACAGAAAGAAGTTGTAAATGAGTGCTAGAAACAATGTTTTATTTATTTTATGAGTTATTTCACTCATAGTTGTTTACTGATATCTAAATATATCAATATATTTAATTAAGTCTTTCCCATCAGACAATAGCATTGGATATTGAATGCTTCTAAGTGGGTTACCACAGAAGTGCTGGTTGTGCTTTACCAAGTGATTGCCAACCAAAAATCCAGCCAGCAATTGTCACTTTTTCTGGCAGTGAATTTTGCCAGTAGCTGGCACTTAGCAACAACCATGTACTAGTAGTTGTTGTTGTTTTTGTTTTAATTATTTTATCTGTTTTTTGAATAAAGGAGCCACTGGAAGTGGAAAAACAACCCAGGTGCCGCAATATGTACTGGATGAGTATGTTAAGAACCAGAGATATTGCAACATTGTCGTAACTCAACCAAGACGTATTGCAGCCATAAGCATTGCCAAGCGAGTTTGTCAAGAGAGGGGTTGGACTTTAGGCAGTTTGGTGGGTTACCAGGTTGGAAGAGACAAATGTGTTAGTGAAGATACACGCCTCTCCTATGTCACAACTGGTGTGTTGCTCCAAAGGCTTATTCAATCCAAGAACATGAATCAGTACACTCATGTTTTTCTGGATGAGGTAAGAAAGACCCTGCAAGCTGGATATCATTTGGAACTTAAACTGTTTATGCCTAACATCAGATTAACACTTTAACTCTCAAGATCTGTTTCTTAATTCTCCCCTCCAGCTGCTACACATTTCCCTGTAAATTAGTAATAAGAATTTGGTGTTAGATAAAGATAACAACTTCTACCTGATAAGTTTGAGTATTCTCATTACCCATTTGTTGGATAATGTATGGATATATTAGGGAGAAGTTACATGTTAATCACTTCTGGGAGTGAAAGGGTTAACAAATAGATTCCATGTTGCTGCACATCTTTTCAATAATTGATCACAGATTACTTCAAAATGTGGTAGAGACAAAAAAGTGGTACTCGCGGTGCAGCCCAGTATGTCACTGTTGTAAGAACCAATCAAAATAGGTGTAAAATTTATATTTGTATTTTGAGGCCCTAAGAAGTTTTTGGCACACAGTATTAATTAATCTGTTCTATTTTATTAGGTTCATGAGCGTGAGCAAGATTCTGACTTTTGTCTTCTAATTGTTAAAAAGCTGCTAAGGACAAACTCAAGGCATGTCAAGGTATGTTTAAACACAAGAGATAATGTAAAAGCCTCAGAGTCTGCTAATATACAAGCTCCTAGCTACTGTGTGCATCTGATTTTGTAGATTTACATTCAAGTTCTTTTTTCATAAACTAAAATCGTAAACTTCAATTGTTCAAACTGATTTAATAAAAAGGGTCTGGTAATTTCCACACTGGGTTTAAGAGTACAATGTGTTTCTCAGCAGGAGGTTAGGTATGGTCATGTTTATAATTAAATGACACAGAAAACAGAAAAAATGGTTATGATTAAGGCTTGTTACAATGATTAAAGATCCATTTTAAACTGAAAAGAGCTGTTTTTTTTTGATAACATGCAAACAGTGTCATTTTGATGGAAACTTCTGTGTTCTTTCCTTTTAGTTAATAAAGTTTTTCATTTTTTTCTAAGAATTTTTGCACTTGTATTTTTAGCCCTGTTAATAAAGTTTTCTTTTCCTTTGTATTGCACAGTAAAAACAAATGATTGTGTGTGTTCCAATGAGGAATTATAACAGAATTGGAAAACAAAAGCACTGAGACAAACTTAGGGACATTGTAAAGGAAAATTTTAAGGAAAATTGAATGTAAATTTAGTTTGAAAATGAGCAACAGCACATGGTGCAAAATGCCTTCGTCCAAAGTTACATTTTAGAGGCCAATGAGTTGTTGTAATTTGTATTGATTTGTTGTTTTTTTTCTTTTCATAGATTGTCCTTATGTCAGCCACAATTCAAAGTGACCTTTTCTCAATGTATTTTGCTGTCCCTGTGCGTGGCAGGGTGGAAGGTGCCCCTGTGGTTACTGTTGAAGGCAAATCATTCCCAGTGATAGAAAGCTATCTTGATGATCTCACTGGTATCGGGGTAAGTTAACCCTTTAACTCCAGAAGTGATTAACACGTAACTCAAACTCATCTGGCAAAAGTTTTCATGATGTAAAGCTAAATTTGCATAACTTATTCATAATGAAACGTGTAGCAGCTAGAGAGAAGAATTAATTACAATTAGATCTTGGAAGTTAAATAGTAAATATGTTTGGTTTCTCCTACACTGACTATAAAGACCTTTCAATTGGATCAATCTTAATTTGGAAGTAGGGGCTAGAAGTGGCAACATCAGGTTAAAATTATGGGAATTTTGCCTTAAAATCCATTAACAAGACTTTGAATTGAAGGGTCCAAAATGTTAAAAAAAAATTATGGAAGGAGAATTCCACTCTGACTTTTTAGAATTTAAGATAGAATCAAACTTTGTAAACTTTCCTAAGCCCCATTTTTATACTAAGCAGGTTCAGTTGCTTCCCTTCTTCCATCTCCTGAAGATAAAGTGATAACTCTTTTTAATTGGCTCGACCAGAAAATTTGGACCTTGCACCAAGTGTGACTATTATCAAGGTGCTTAATGTCATTTTTGTTCACAGATGATCCCAGAGAACAACCTTGAAGAGCCAGATATTAGTCAAGTAGCATATGAGCTTGCAGCTCAATTGATTCGCCATCTTGACAATTTAGAGGCCAACACTTCAGCTGGTATTACAGGGTTGGTATTTTCTCTGAAGTCATCGTTCTTCCCCTAGATCCCTGTTTTTGTAAAATTCAAATACTACATAAACTATTTTGCACTTTAGTCCCATCATTCTGAGCAGTCTTGGTGTGTTGGCTTCATCTACATGACTGCAACTTTCACTTCAAATTTGGCTCTGAAAATCAGGATTCCCTCATTATGATGGGGAAATCCTGATGTTCAGAGCCAAACTTGCCAGTTCAGGTCAATAATTATTGTGACAGATATCTTTAACCCTCTAACCCTTGATAGTAATCTAATTTCTCCTTACAATATCACTGCTGAATCAAACATTGAGGTCATGAGAATAAAGGAAATGATCATCATGCATGCAATGAAAGAAGCTCTGATTATAAAAGAAATTCTCCTTGTCAGCACCTTGAGAAGTGTATAGAGAATAGTATGGAGAATTTTTATACTGATGCTAGGGTGTAAAGGGTTAACCTGAAAAAAAAAATCAGATTGATATTGATAATCAGGACAAAAGTATATGACACATGAACAGCCTCAGTGGCCCACAGCTATCAGTGGAACTCCATTTAATTTGCACCATGCTGTGTAGAAGTACAACGCACCGCAATTTTGCAGCAGTTTACCTGCACAGCAAGCTTCCAGCATCTGCCAATTTTTGCACAAAGTGAAAAAATGTTAGCAAATCAGTCACACAGGAAGATAATATGCTTGTGAGAAAAAAACTCTAGAAGTCACAAATTTGGAGCTTTTGTGTTCATTTATGCAAGGTCATGCAAATAATTATTTAAAAACAAAGCAGTTTGATGATAATAATTGATATTTATTGATAAGTTGGTGTTAGATAATTAACCTCACAAGGTCTAGCCTTGCTTGTAAGCATATCTTTGGATTTGCAATGACTTCTTTTGCTCATAAGTAAATAACTTGATTACATTGCTGTTTGGTTTTCTTGACAGTGAAGGAACACCCCACAGTCGTGGGTCAGTACTGATGTTTTTACCTGGTAAGTTTGATCTTGTCAGAAATTTACTGTTCTGAGTAAACTTTGATGTGGGTCTTTTATGCTTAAAACTCATCCTGAAGTCCATTGGTTTGCCTTAATAATATGAAAATTTCTTTTGGTTTGTTTCCTTTCTCAGGTTATTTTGAAATTAAACAGATGGACCGCTTGTTGGATGATATGTTGAGAGATTGCAAGTAAGTGAAATGCACATGTTTAAATGTTATTATTAGTATTATTATTAAAATTAATATTATTATTATTATTTATTATTACAAGTGATGACTGAAAAACAAGTTGTTGTGAGTCGAAAAGCAGTTAAAAGCCAGACAGTCCTGCTTACTGCTGCAGCTTTTTTCAGGTTTAGTCTGGATGCTATTTCATCATAGCTTATTTTTTTAAAAAGCCACCTTTTAATGACCTTTACTTGTAAAATGGTTCTCATTATAAAATTTTGGTTGCTGAAAGAAAAAACCTCAGAAAATCTTTCAATGTGGTGTCCATTAAATATATAGTACTAACATGAGCTACTTGGCCCATCCCCCCCCCCCTGCCCCCCTGGCAGACCCCCCTCCTCTGTTGCCTCCCATCTTGTAATTGAAATATCATTCTTCACAATTGAAGGATGGATTCACAGGCAAGGCTTGTATAGCCTGCCACCAATTCATTTTGTCTAAGGGGTTGCAACATCAATCCATCAAAAAGGCTTTGGAAGGTCATCTGTTGTAATCTTTTGAGAGAGAAAATTTCCTCTAGCCCCTTATGATGATTTTATAGATTATCTTTTTTCCTGTGGCTGTAAGTGCTATTTTTTTGTTGTGTTTCAGACTGTTAATACTCCCTCTGCATTCCACAATCACTACTCTGGAGCAAGCAGGTGTGTTTAAAAAACCTCCAGAGGGCTTCAGAAAGGTAAACAATGACAGATATTTTTTTGGTACTGTATAAGTGCCAAGCATGTTGACACTAATGCTTGAGATGGCTTTTGGTTTCCTTTACTGATACAGCATCACAGTATTGCAGAGATACTTTGCAAGTGAATTCACTAAATGGTCATTTTTTCTGACTAGTTGACGAATGAAATGTCTGAATTTCTGAGTGATTGATTTACTGATAGATGAAGATAATTAATTTTGGTTTGTCAACTAAGTTGATAAAGAGTTTCTAAACCTGATGTTTTGAATGTTAGCCCTCCATCATTTGCTCTTACGAAGGGCTGACACTCAATATTGATCAGTTTTAGAATCTCTTCACAGTGGTCAATTTACAGTATCAATGGATTTGACCAAATTATCTTGTTATACCCCTTATGAATATCGAACCACTTAGAAAATTCCTCCATCCCCCCTCTCCCCCCTGATAGATGAAGAGACAGAAAAAGCTTAGGGACTGATTGAGTGTCACACATGTACTGATGGACATACAACTGATCAAATGTGTAATGGACTGACAGATGGATATTTGATTAGGAGATTAACTTATTGATTGTTGGACTGATCAAGTGATTGGCCAAATGTTTGGCTGCCTTACAGACTGATTACGCCTGACTGATAAACTAAGGGATTGAAGGTTGACGCCCAACTGATTTGTTGAATGGTAGATTGACAATTATGACAATCTGACTGAAGACAAGACGGACTTTCATGATGGCCAACAGATTGATTTTTTATGGATTGACTGAATGGGATATCAATTGAATGATTTATTGCTCCTTTTTTGTCAGGTGATCTTGTCAACGAATATTGCAGAAAGCTCACTCACTGTTCCAGACATGAAATATGGTATAGTCAGAGCTAACTTTTAGCCCTATGAATTATTTTTTTATCATTAATTAGAGTTACACCAGGAACCTCCAAACACATACTATTTACTTGTTCTTTAGAATCAAAGATAGTTAAACAAAAGAGCAACTTTTTTCAATTCATATGCAATGTGCTTCAGACAAGTTTATAAGTAATGTTGAACTTAGTACAGATTTCATATCAGTGCAGTTTTTAACCATCACCTTCAAAGATCAAAGTAACACCCTCTTGCTTATAAACTTCTATTCTTACCATCTGTTTGCTGGAAAAGTTATCGAGATTTGTGAGGAGAATTTATATTTGTGAACCTCTTATAGGATTGAAAGGATAAAACATATACTTGATTGTAGGTTTGTGTCATGTCTTAAGTGTGATATCAGTAATTACTGTATTTGTTATTACAAGAAATCCTGGCAAACAGGGAAAGTGGTTTGAATCATACGGGGGGGGGAAGGGGGCTTAAAAAAATTGCGTGTTGGATTGGGAAGGAGAGCTAGTTTTGTTATAAATTTCTGGGGATTTTTTTTTTTTTTACACAACCAAGGATATAGGAAACAGGGCTTAAATACTCATTAAAAATAGCTCTCACTGGCTTCTTTGTATGACTGTGTCTTGTTGCAGTGATTGACTTTTGTCTGGAGAAGTGCCTAGTCTGTGATCCAGAGACTAACTTTCAGAGTTTACGATTACACTGGGCATCCAAAGCAAGCTGCACCCAACGTAAAGGTAGGGTCTGTGACCGAAGCTGATTAATGATAGCTGAGGAATTGTCCATTTTCTTGCGATATCGTGCTTGGCGATGTAATACTTTTGAAAGGGAGAAGAAATTGTAGAAACTTTGAAGCCGAATCCTTTAATTTTAGGAGAGAGCATTTTGTGATTTTAAACTGAGAACTTTGCCTAACAGAACTGAAGATAGATCTATAGAAAGTTTGAAAGACGATGCCTTGAGTTTAACATTTCACAGAATTTTGTCACAAGCCAAGAAGCGAGCGAAAGTTTTGTTGTTTTGAAATAAGCACTGTGTTGTTCTAGCAAATGATCCGTGTTCACGAATTATTTCTTTCTTAACTTTAAGGAAAAGAATAACAGATGCCAAGTTAGCACGCATACGACAACTATCGTTGTTTTTTTTTTCTTTTATTATTGTTTTGGAAGTTTCATGTTTGCCGGCGCTTTTACATTAACTCTATTTTTTTTTTGTAAAGCACAATGCCACTCAAAGCAAAGGTGTGATAATAATAACAATAGCAGATACAATTCGTCTAGACGCGTATTTAGACTAGTATGTCCACAGACACATTCGGGCAAAGCATTCGTTTGGTACTAGTCTAACACAGCGGTCAAACGTCTGCGCATGCGCAAACATTGTAGTCACGAGGTGAAGTGCTTTCAGGCTGTCAGAACCAAGTTGTCTCACAAGAGTAACAAACAACCACATAAGCTAGAAAGTCACGGTGTGTTATAAGCATACAACCTTTTTTGGGTAAACTCAAAGAAGAATGATAGATCAACAGGATACCCTTACTTAAATAAGCTTTGTGTTCAAGAAGAGTCGAGTTTTCCTTTTCACTACTTTTGTTTCCTTTTGCACATTTCTATAAACGTTTTTCTTTGTTGTTCTTTTCTTTTGTTCTTACGTTGTTCTTTTACTTATTTTGCAAGACAGAGGTTATTTCTTAAGTTTTCCTTCGAAATTTTGCGCGGGAAATTGGACTGAGAGGGGAGGCCAAAATCGATCCCCTCTTGCATTCCTGACGTTTGACCGCAGTGTCTGCGCTGTCACGTAACCTTTGAGCTTCACTGTACATTAATAAGCCTTGAGCAGTTCTGAAGTTTCTTAGGTGGGTTTTTATTTCAATTTTGACTGTTTTCATCAATAGGTCGTGCTGGCCGTGTGTCAGCGGGAACATGCTTTCGACTGGTGACCAGAGAATTCTATGAAAATGCTCTTCCAGAATTTGGTGTTCCTGAAATGCAGGTTGGTAGTTGAACAGACAGTTTGCCAAAGTTCCTGATCAATGTAAACTTTTCACAAAGGTTACGCACAGACCATGAAAATTCTTGGAATGTTAAAAATTCTTATGGGTCAAACGGGTTCTCTGATTGGCTGCCATGGGGATCACCTGTTCAAGTAACAGTGTTCTTTGTAGTCGAGGACATGCAGCAATGATTAAAAAACTGTTAATTGGAAATCTTATGTCTATGTTTTTATTTCATTTTATCTCCTATCAAACGAGGATTTTTTTTCGAGTCAGCGTTAGTCTTAATTCAGATTTGTCTGAACTGATGAATTTATACTAGACATAAACACAAACATGCGCATGTGGTTTGCTGTTCTCGTTTAGTTTTTAATAGACATTATTTGTGTTTTAGAGATGTCCATTGGAACAGATTATTTTAAAAGTAAAGCTGTTGGACATAGGACCTCCTAAGGTCGTTTTAAGACTAGCAATGCAGCCCCCAGATCCAGATGATATAGAACGGACAGTCTTGCTTTTAAAACAGGTGAGATACTAACCTCTTACAGAGCGAACGAGAGAGCCGCACTGGGGAATAATGTGGCCCGAGGTCGTGGCTTTCGCGGACAAAAATACACGGCTGATGACCGTTTCCGTGGAAACGGTCCGTTTGGCAAAATATTTGCGCGTATCATGTGCTAAACCGTCGAATAAGGTGTATTTATTCTATGGAAAGGTAGTCCAGAGATAAATCTGAGCGTTTTGACTGATTCTTACTTTGTCCGTATTTTGCAATACGCACCATTTCCGAGGAAACGGTCACAAGCCGTGTATTTCTGTTTACGAAACTCAGAAAATTCAAAATAAACAAGTTTTCTCCGGGTGCCATATAATAATCTGCCTACTGACTTCGCTTGCTCGAGCTGTATCATGGAATAGTGCCCCTAGGTCGTTTTTATACTGCTACGACTTCGGGCTATTATTCCCCAGTACGGCCTTCACGCTCGGTTAGCCCTGTAACTCGTAAGATCTGATTGGTAATTCTCCCCTCTAGCTGCTACACATTTCCTTGTATATAAGTTACGAAAATTTGGTGCTAGATCAAGATAACAACTTCTACCCGATAAGTTTGAATATTCTCATGATCTGTTTGCTGGATAATGTTTAGATATTATAGGGAGAAGTTGCATGTCAATCAGTTCTGGGAGTTAAGAGTTGATAAGAATTTCATATTTTGCACTTTCGGTTGCCTTTGTATGATAAAATGACGTAGTAGAGGAATAATAAAGACAGTTACCTAGCCAGAAAAATTATACGTAACGAGTTCGATTTTGAAAAACACTTATTATTTGCTTCAACTGTGAATGGTTTTCTGCCAAATGAAGCAGTTTAGTATGTACAGGTAACAACTTTTTAGTTTATCTTTTGGGTGAGTAAGTCTTAAATCTTTAGTAAAGAGAAAGTGGAACTTGTTTTTTGTTTATTTTGTTGTTGTAAGTTAAGGAAATCTCAGTTTTGTACTAGTCCATATGAACAGGAAACGAGTGTCCCGCAGCGCTAATAATATTAGGGACTTTTAGCAAACCACGAGGGCGACGACAACGAGAACGTAGCAAAACAAAAGCTCAGCACGTGCGTTTTAAAACTGTGTACATTTCTTAGTCGTCCTCTGCAAAATAACGTGAAATCATCTGAATTTGCGTGGTCCGAGAAAGGAAACCCCGACGGCAGATTATTTAGGTTTCCATTTGGAACTCAGCGCTGCTCTCATACGTTATACTGAGGTTAACTTGCGGCGCCATAAGAGTTGGTAAGCACATCCAGCCATTCGCGAAATTCCAATTAAAAATATGTTTTCATTTTTAAATCGACGTCTTCCTTAGCGATGCAGTCCTAGCTACTGAAGGTCTCTAATGAGAGCCAAGGAGCAGGCTATCTCAACATTTATAGAATCTGATTGAAGGGAATAAAACAGTCTTTGCGTGTTCATGAGTTAACCAAACATGTGTTACTCTTTTTAAGGTTGGTGCCCTGACTATTAAAATGAAGAATGACACCATCAACCCTTATGATGGAGAACTGACCTTTTTTGGCAAAGTGTTAGGAAGCCTGCCAATCGACATTTATCTCGGAAAGCTGTTAATATTGGGATATGTGTTTGGCTGCCTTGAAGAATGCCTTGTTATAAGTAAGGACCATCATGTAGCTCTCATACAACTATAGTTGACTTAACCCTTAACATTAGTATGCATATTCTCCATACTGTTCTCTAGAAATTTCCTTTAATGCTGACAAGGAGATTTTATTTGACAATCAAGAGCTTCTTTATTTGGTGATCATTTCCTTTATGGAATTTCAAATCACGTATTAAATCACCCCGTGACCCAGTCGGAATCGAAAACGGAACGGAATCGGATATGATCTGGTGAAAATCAATCTACAATCGGAATCCGAACGGAAGGGAATCGGATATGATCTGGTGACAAACAAACTCAAATTGAAATCAGAAACGGAACGGAATCTGGAAGCAGAAACAATATACGGCAAAGTCGCTGAGACCGGGTACGATTTTGGCCTACCGCTCAGCTGAGAAACATCTCATTTAAAGTGAGCAAAAAATAGTGGTATTAAAACATTCCCTATTGTAGATAATGTCTTGAATCACTCGATGTTTACTACTTAATGTAAAGTGGAACGTTAGAGTCAAATGCTGCACGTAATATAAGAATATAAAATGAAGTTTATCTCCACGAAATCAGTTCGACTTATATTGATCACTGCTCATTTTATGTTTAGGCGTATTTGGGAGTTAACGAACGGTTTGATTACGTTTAAAAATTCGATCAAGGATCGATACATTTTTCACGTTTTTTATTATTATTTTTTTTCAAATCTGTTAGTTGCCAATTGGCAACGTTTGTCGAAATTTTAGTCGCCAAATATATTTTCCACTCGCCTTGGCGGCTAAAACGGTCACAACGTGGAGCGCTGATTATGATGCAAGGATGGTGATTATTCTTTACTCATGAGTTATGTTTTTGAGAAATTGCTAAGTGATTAATCATTCTTCTACAGTGATTAGTATATTTTTCCGTTCGATTCTTTTTTTTTTTCCTCAGGTGCTTCAATGTCTTTGCAGTCATTTTTTGCGAAGCCATTCAAAAGAGACTTCAATGCATATGTGTAAGTAAGGTTTACGTTGTTATCTACTAACAGAAGAGCACTTTTTAGAAGACTTTTTTAAAATTTATCACAGAACACAATGATGTTTAGCCTTAAAAGTTGCGGATCCCTTTTTATTTTAAATGATTTTTAATTGTATAGATTATTTAGGGATTGCATCAATGTTAGCTTTGCTCAGAAAAAAATTATTGTCCATTTTCAGTAAGAAGATGGCTTGGGATGCATATTCACACAGCGACTGCATTGTGACTCTTAATGCCTACAAGGTAAAGTGAATTAGTATGATATGTACCTAGTCCAGGCAATTTGAACTGTTTGTTCTGCAGTAAACATGTTATATTATGACATCTTTCGAATGATAAACTTCCTCGTTTTCATGGCAGGAATGGAGCACTCTGAAAAGACGCAAAGGATTCCCAAGGGTTGGTCAAAATGTTTTGTTTTCTCTTTAGCTCGTCCTTTTTATGCAGAAATTAAACAAGGAAAATGGAGAAAATTGAAGGAAATTTTCCTCTTACTTGTACGAGACTGCCATTAGTGTATGTGTGCTACAGAAAATTATCGATATAAAATGAAAGTGCGATGCGTCAGCTGTAATGTGCTTCTGATTTCTGAACTTCTTCACAGGGTGAAACAGCATGGTGTAAAGAGAACTTGATCCAGCCGGGTCGTATTAGAGAGGTATGTTCACTGCTGATGGTTCAAACGCTGATTACCTATGGTTTTTACTTGTTCAGTTGACTGATCTTAAATGTCAAAGTCACCATTTGGCGATTAAAAATTAAAAAGAGATTGCAAAAGATAACATGTCAGTCGTCATAAAAAATTCTTCATGGGAAATTGCGCGAAAAAAATGGTGGAGTTTCTTGGTGAAGTGTTGACCATCGTAGTTTTCCGCCAAAATGACATCAATTTCACAACGCTAACTTCTGTGAGAGAAAAAAATTAGAAAGGACTGTGCGCAATATTTATTTTATGCAATTATTTAGCCCGCTGAACTTTAGACAGCAAAGAGCAACCAGTAAAAGTATAACTGTGTTCTAATTGACTGCGTGGTAGGGCCGCACGGGAAAATATTTTGGCTCAAGGTCATGATATGCGGACCGGCTTTTTCCGAACCAACTCACTTCACGTCTAGTTTTCTTCATGCCTTTTTGTATTATCATAATTATTTTTTATGGAAGTGCGTGGGCGGGGCAGGACGGGTGATATGGTAAGGCTTTTCGGGTGACTTCCGAACAAGTAGGCGACTTTCGACTTTTTTAATCTCATGACAACCAGAACAGTCGTAGCTTGGAGGGCTGTTTGAGGAAAATGTGCAGCCCCCTAAAATGTCTTGTTGAAAGTAAATATTGTATCTGGGTTTCCTTTAAGTTTTAGTTAGAAAGGAAATATCCAGCTCATGGTTTTCAGTGGATTTATGTTTTGCTGTCAGCTTTGTGTTAAGTTTGTAACTGACGTAGTGATGATAAGTAAGGTTTATCAATTGCTGGTTCTATGTTTGAAGGCCTGATTACGTGTTCTTATCTTAAGGTTGAAGAACTCGTTACTGACTTGACTAACAGACTTAAGGATCTAAATCTCAGAACAAACCAACCTCTCCATCAGAAGTAAGCTGCAATTTGAAATTCCTTTGTACCAATTAAAAAAAATTTTGATATGTTGAAGCGCAAGTGCTGGTCTGACAATTTGATTTTTCGTTCACAGGGCGAGCAACTCTGACGAGTCTCTTCTCATTTTGAAGGTTGGTCTGTTGCGTTTGAGTTCAATGCAATATCAGCATACATATTCTCCATACTTTTAGATATTTCTTTAGGGTGCTGACAAGGTGAATTTGTTTAAGAGCTTCTTTACTTGGTGATCATTTCCTTAATTCTCGTGACCTTGATGTTGACTCAGGGGTTACATTGTGAGGAGAAATTAAATACTGGTCACTCTAACAAGTCAAAGACGTTAATAACATTTTTTCGTTCCTCAACAGCTTGTGATCTGTGGAGCGTTTTACCCAAACTACTTCGCCTCAAGTGATATTGATGAAACTGACGTAATGAAGGTGATGTCAGGCCATGATCCTTTCACGACAGTTATGGTATGTAGCATAGTATTTATGAATATAATGGTGGTCGAAGCTCTGTCCCTTGTTGGGAGAAAATTGCACCCATACAGGGCATTGGTTTTGCTTTAATTTGCTCTGTGATTGGTCCAGAAAACTCGCGCCACTCTCGCGACCTATAAGACACAAGATGGTCACCCGCGTTTTCCCGCTCTTTAGGCAGTTTGGTGACCGCTTTTATTTTGGTGTACGGCACTCAGTCGAAAAGCACTCTATTTACTACAGCGATTTACTTGCCTCTAGCAAAATTATACGTGTAGTTGATAACCAACTGCTTCATTGGCAGGTAGTGACCTGGTTCACTTATTTCAAAACAGGTCCTCTCATAATCGTTTTCCTTGGCTGGTTATTTAAATGCCTATTTGGTTGCCCATTCCTATAAATGTATAACTATTTGCACATTCCCGCAAACAACAATTCCTGGCTGATGTACTCAATTTAATTAAATTTCAGGTCAGGAATATGCCTGCCCATGGTGCGCTTTACAGGTCACAGATTGCCAGGTTGTTCAGATCTTGCGGCAAAGGAAAAGCTCTTTATTTTGAAGATACCAGGTTGGTTATGAAAACTGTACAAAGAATTAAAACTCTTGGAAGTTTGTTTGTTGTTTTTTTGAGATATTAGTATCCTATCTCAATTTTAGTAACTTGAATGATTATCGTTGTGTTTGAATTCAGAGCTTATATCGAGTTTGAGAGAACACGGGCCACTGATTCACACACAGTTCTTCCTGCTGTCTACAAAGCCATTAAGATGAGGTGAGGTAGATATGTAGCATGTTTCAGGCGCTCATTTAATAAAATGGAGCGAAATAATAACCGACATAGTAAACGGCGCGATGGAAGAACAAAGAAGGAAGTTTGGGTCTGGTAGCGACTCGACCTAGACCTCCCTCGTTCTTCAATCTCTCCGCTACTTTCTCGCCATTTACCAGCGCACTTCGCTTTAATGACCGAACGCTTGGAAAAGGCTAAGAGATATGTAGGTATACCATCTCTATTTTTAACATCGCGCAAGAGCGCCACATCCACATTCAAATCCTTGCAGTATTCTTGATGCTTGACACAAGATAATGAGCTTGCTACAACAAGTCTACCATAGCCTAGCGGTTAAAATTGAAAAGAATGATGGGCCTGACGGATGTATTTTTTCAGGTGTTTCACTCTCTGAAATACGCCGTCTTTATGTTTCGAAATTATTTGGGAATCGATTTTCATTTTTTTTTTCCGAGAATGTAATTTTGAGGATTTGTAAAAACGTTCGCAGGTTCAAAGAAATTTTATCTTGATCACGCACCATATAAACCTAACAAGAGTTGATTGAAACACAATACAGGTATCTTAAGATGAACTAAACCGTTTCGATTTGTGTTGTTTTTCTTTGCAGGCACTTACGAATGCCCCTTAATCTTTTCATTTCCGAAGCCAAAAGTAAAGAAATGGACAGGTTGATGGAAAGGAGAAATGCTTACGAAGAAGCGAACGCGGAAAAGGGGAAACTGAGAACAAACAGGTCAGATTACAGTCTTTGCTCTCTTTCAAATGGCTCAATGTTACATTAGCACTGGTCAAACTCCTGTATTTAGGCATTTTAATTCTGTGGTTTTAAATAAATGAATGTTTAAGTGGCAATTTAGCCTCGTGTCATACCAAGGTCCTAAAATTTGAAACTCTTCCTGTGTCAGTTACTCGTTCGTCACGTCTTCGTACCGTCAAGACGAAAATAAACACTGAATTGACCAAGTCGCACATTCGCAGCATATCTTTTTCATAATATGTTGTATTCAGTGAGGTGGCCTCTCCCTTAAGCCGAGTGGTTTGCTGAGGCCTTCTCGCCTTCTAATCATAATGCTTTTAATTTATTTGTCGTTATTGTTTTATAAAAGGCAAGGGAATGATGATGGTGAAGATGATGATGTAACATCTCGGCTCTTTGACAAACTGCTATTTCCATCATGTATTTCTCAGGGTTGCTACGAATTTATCAGCAAGAGGTGCTGGAAGTGTGACTCGTGTTCAAGAACCACAGCAGGTATTGTACACACACTGTGGCCTATAATGTACATAGCCTTTGCCGGAGTGTGTGTGTGTGTTTGTGGGGTGGGGGGAGGGGGTTGGGGGTACTTGGGTCAATATTTTCTGGGATGTGCTGCCGGCCTCTCAGAGCCCTTACCCCATTATAATCTCTTCTGTGGCCGATTATAGACCCCATCTCACTTACATCGGTTATTCGTTAACCGCGAATCCTCCCAAATTTAAATCCCCTACTTACCAGGATTTTCTTACTACCAAAACCTGAAAATGAGCGACCTCGTACTGTCACTCTATTAAAAAATACCCCCCTTATCGTTAATCCAGTCGTGAAAATATGACACCATCCATACGGCACATCCCCTTCAGCTTATTGTAAGGAAGTATCCCCCCTCCATTCCTTCCCCCCCCCCCCATTGAGCTTTCAAGCGCATTGCCGAGGGACAGCAAATTAAGCATAGTATTCAGGTGTGGCTTCAACTCATCACTTGTAGATTAGCAGTGTAAAAGTTTGCTTTTTGTGTCCTTATAGTAAATGTATAGAAGAATAGCATCACCTGTACATAAAGATAAGAAATTTCCATTTTAAGCGACTTTTTAGTTAGTATGGTAAGTCTCTTGGCGATGATCTGATTAAGTGTTTTAGATTCAAATCACACGTTACCTTACTTGTTTCGTCCTCATTTCATAGCTCTATCTTGACACTGAACTATAACTTTTTTCATACTAATTCAATAGGTTGACCTTCCTCGAACTGGCTACCTGGAAATCATAACTTCAGTGGTAAGACTTTTATTCCATTCTGAATAGGGACGAACTTGTATGCATTGTGCAGTTTTTTTTTTATCTCAGTATTATCAGTGCCACTTTACCATATCTCTGTAAGACAAGCATCTCTTTAGGTCAGAATGTTGGGGGTAAGTTTCGCCGCATCTGTAGTGGGAAGGTTTAGTACATGGCTGTGCAAGTCCGGTGCACTCTTCAGTACTGCTGTACCCTGTAAAGTAGCGTTTTGTCCAGTTTACGTGCTTTGTTTTTATGATGTTTGGGAGTGACATTACGTTTTTAACGTGTATTACAGGTGATAGATGCTGGTCACTTCTGGGCTCAGAAACCCGACAGACAATCCGCTATGCAACTTCAAATGTTGCAAAATCATATCAACATGTATCATGGCGAAAACTTACGGGTATGAAGTTATTTAAATCTCAGTATAATCTTGTAAACATAATCTTGTAAACAGGTCACAAGAACAGTTTGCCTCCGAACAGATGTAGGAGAATTCATCTGTGCCACAGGAGAACCAGTCATTAGTATTGTTGTTGATGTGATGTGACTTTTGTGGTAACAACGTTTTTCTTCCTCTAGCATGTTGACCAAAAGAGTCTCTATGTTGGTATGCTTTGCCTTGCTTTATATGCTGAAGACGAATTGTTTTACCGAGCGAGAATAATGGCCTTGAACAGCCCACATATACCCAGAAACAGTGTAGAGGTCAGAACTGTTTGTACTCATGGTATTGTACAGATATTTAAAAATGCAACTCTACCATTTCGGCTCCTTCCTAACAGTGTCGTGCTTTGACAATCCACATCTTGTCAGTATGGCTTAACAATGGCGCCACAGTAAATTGCCATTGATTGAACTTTTGAGAACTCGAAAAATTATAAATTTACCCAGGTAACAGTAGTTAAAATATGAAAGCTATTTATAAGGAATCAAAAATGTTTAATCGACAGACTAAGTGTACATTAAACCAACTATTTACCTCAGTGTCGATGGCTGGCGGGGAATATTTATCTTCCCGCTTCTCAGCTCGGCAAATATCCACCTCTGGCCACCTCCGCTTTGGTGAATAGTTGTAGTTAAAGACGTTGTACTCAAAGTACTTGAGCAGGCACTAACTCAACTTCTGTTGGCTTTGACTCTCGTCCTCAGGTTCTTTACGTGGACTTTGGGAACGAAGCAGTGCTGAGAATCAGTCATCTGAGACAGATGCAACAACAGTTTGAAAACCTTCCATTTCAGGTGTGTGGCTTGAACTTTGTTCTTTGTATTCCTACGAAGAAAAAAATTATTACATTCCGGGGCAAATCCTCCTTCCACCCCTGAAACGCGGGAAACCGTGAGTGACCAAGTTGGGATTGGTTTTGGTTTTGAATCTGATTGGTTGAGAAAATAACGCGAGTTTTCTGGACCAATCACATAACGAAAGAAAGCAAAAACCAGAGCAATTTCGGAATACTTTTGATACTCAATGTAAAATTGCTCCAGTAATGCTCCTAGTTGTATATGCAATGGAAACCGGTGTAAGTTCTGGCTGTATAGGCCACTTGACGGGTGTGCTGGGCTCGAGAACACAGCAATGGGCTGGTCTCTATGTCGCTCACCTATTCACTTATTTTGACTATTTGTGTTTCATACCCTTTTGTTTGTACAGGCATTTGAGTGTAGACTATGTGAAGTAGGACCTTTACCATCCCCTCACAGTCCTGTGGGGACATGGTCTCCCAGAGCCAGTCAGCGATTTATTCAGATGACAGAAAATAAAAAGCTGGCTGCCAAGGTAGCTTTTTACAATTTTTATTATAATTAGTTATGCAGTAATTGTAAAGACAATTTCGCGGCGTGTACTCTTAAGGCTTTGATGCCGAGTCATCATGTCCTCCATCTGTAACAGTTAGGATTCGCACTGCTGCTCTTCCTGTACCAATTCTTCTTTTCCTCGTTTCCCGCCCGAAAGGGATTAGGGGATAAGAGCGAGGCCATAAATGAATGATGGAGGATATGCGGATAATGGTAAAAAGACGTGAAGGTGCGACAGTAACCTCGTAACCATTGGTCAGTTGGTAATTTCGAAAGCCTCGTTTTCGGCCGTCTACTCTAGACGAAGGAGCATCATTCAAAAATATTTCCATCAACGATAATATTTTTGGAGTACTTTTCGTCATTAGAAAGTACCGATGAGGTGCGCGGCATATCTCACCAAGAAGGATAAAAATTTGTTCGTTTTTAAATTACTGTATTAACTCGAATAAGCGCCGCGGCGTTTCTTAAATTTTTTGCGCCTTAAATGCGGGGCTTATTTGAGGTTGTCGCTGATTCAAGAATTGGACGCGACGCAGAATTGTTCTTTATGTGATTTAATGGTAAAATTTCTATCTGTAAGAGATTTTTAATGTAACTAAAATAGGCGTTGTTTGTTGGTCATCATTTGTCGCCTCTGGTAGTTTTTTATTACATTACCAGTGGTGTCTTCACTCAATTTCGATGTCACTGACCCCTTATTGTTCTGCAGCGTGGAGGTTATGCCTCTTGTACGCCTGAATCTGTGCATTCGTGCATGCCATGAGTACAAACCGTTCTGACCTCCACGCTTATGATCGTTTCTGTCCCTAACGCGGTGCTTATTCGAGGGTGACTCTCATTCGAGTAAAAACGGTATCCTCGTTGGTTTGAACGGAGTGTAGAGCTTGTGCATCATGTTTTACTTTGTTTATCCTAAAGAAAAAGCAATTCATGTCACGTGTTACACTGCTTTTACAGGTGTATTCGCTGTGCAAAAATGTTCTTCGTGTTGATTTGTACGACACCAACACTGAGGAAGACATACACATCAATCAAAAGCTCATTGAAGAAGGGTTTGCGCAATTTCAAGAGGAGTCTCGAGCTTCTAAGGTAAACAACAAGTACGACGACAGCAATTACAGAACATAGCACAAGATTCAATTTATCTCTTGTCCAAAACGGCTAAGTATTTGACGTTTCGAGATCACGTTGCAGTGGCCATGTTTGCGTGCCAAGACAGACAAATGGCGTCCATGTACGTGTACTGAGTCAGAGCTGTGGAATTTGAACCCTTTCTTATATTAACCCTTTACATCCTGACATCAGTATGCATATTCTCCATACTGTTCGCAGTACATTTCCAAAGGTGCTGACAAGGAGAATTTGTTCAACAATCAAGGGCTGATTTCCATTATTCTTGTAACCTTAATTCTTGATTCAGGGGTGTAAGGAGAAGTTAGATACTAGTTACTCTTAGTGGGTAAAGGGTTAATCAATTTTATAAGTACCACTGGGTGATTTCTTTTTCTTGTCATAAATTCTCTTTTTATTAGCTTGCTCATCAGAGTGCTTTGTCTGGAGAGACCGTGCCTCCTGAGGACAACACCGCCTGGATCGACTCACTGGTTGAAAACAACGATGAAGTCGATGAAAGGTTTGCGACCAAGGTAACCATAGAGTATTACTATGTCCTCAACAAGTCAGGTTCTCAGCACATGGGGTTTGTCTTTAGTTTAAAAAAAATGAGCGAAGTGGTTCGGCAGATTGTTTCAACGTTGCTTTCGTTCAATTCTTCAAACGTGAAATTCAGAAAATTCTGCATCTTATCTCAAATTTCAAAATTTTAGGCTTCAAAGGCTTACTTTACAAAATGACTTAATTTCTCTTATTTCCAGAAACTCGCTAGTCTAAGTTAAGTTATTTTTTTGGTGACCTTCCCTCATTTATATCTTTACCAGGGTCTCTGTGTTATGCCGTTGAAGAGGACACTTTACTCTCGCATTGCATGTCTCCATTTAAGAGTATCAGCCCTTTGCATCGTAACATCAATATACATATTCTCCATACTGTTCTGTAAACTTTTTTCTAAAGTGCTGAGAAGGAGAATTTGTTAAACAAGCAAGAGTTTCTTTAGTTGGTGATCATTTTCGTTATTCTCATGAGCTTTAGTGTGTGATTTAGGGATGATAATGTAAGGAGAAATTACCGATAGATGCTTATCACTCTTAGAGCTCAAAGGGTTAGTAGGTACCGACGATTTGTCAGGTAAACTTGGCGATAGCCTGGGAGGTTACCTGAGAGGACCTGGACTAGCTTGCCTTTCAGGGGTCAGCAGTAGTAGTGGTGCTCGTAATCACTTCATGTTAGCCAAACTGAAGTGAGGTCCTGTTTAGAGCGCATATGGAAAGATAAGCTTGACACTTGCATAAGCCTCTTGGTTTTGAAGGTTTATTAAGTTTTCATCGTGTTTCGTTTGCACAGGTGATGCTCCGTGGTCCTGAGAGCCCCATTGAAATGAGTTTCTACAGCATAACCAATATTGGACGACTGAAGTAAGGAAGCTGGTCAATTTGTGTGTTTTCCAAGCTTTTTCCGTTTGGCTTTCCTAAATCTCCATTTCTTACACTCAACAGGTCAGTGAGAATTGAGCAAAACTCGGTTAACAGTGTCATCCTGAACGATCAGCCCCAGGACCCTCATCAAAGGTTTATGGTCGCGGGTAAAGTTGGCATAAATGCGACTGGATCCACTGTGGTTGCAAGGTGAATTAGCTGTGACATCATTTTCCTGAAGCTGCTCGATCCAAGAATGCTATGTAATTATTCTTAGAAAGTATTCAAAGGTCTAAGCTTTTCTTTAAGCTGCGTTATAGTGAGATCCATCTTTTTCTATTTACCATGGATACCTGACTATTATAAATATCGAAAGTTCCCTCGCCAGTTGTCTGATAAATATTTGATATTCACCTCGTCTTTCTGCGTTTGCGTTGACTTCAGTCACCACATTTGTAACTGTACCCTGAAGTGTCCCTGTTAATTTTGTTTAGGGATACAACTTTGATGCCGAACATTCACGGTTTGATGCCTTTGGTGGCGCTAATCTTTACTCCCTTTGCTGAAATGAGGTAAATGCAATCATTTGTTTTTTTATCTTCTAGTTTTCCATTCAACCGTTCAATTGCATTCCTTTTTTTATAAATAAATTGTGTAATAGGCTGTTCAGCAGGCCTCGGTTGTTTTCAAGGGTGGATAACGCTATCCGCCGGATAAATCTCTATCCGTCGAATCGCGTTATCCGCCCTTTGAAGAACTGGACCGAGACGGTTTACAGTCGCTCTTTTTTGTCCGCTAGTGTGCTCTGGCCGACCCAAATGATCTTGAAATATGCATGTTATTTGTTGCCTGACACAGGCATACTCGGAGAAAAAAGCACTCCGAGTGTTTCCGATAAGTGCTTCGGACCCTCTACCTCTAAGCTACGGGAGACTGATTATAGGTTTGGCCGTTTAACTAGGTCCATGGTGACAAACTTCCTGTATACTGCTAGGATAGGGATATCGATATGTGATGTTTCTGCACAATGATGATGTAAATGGAGATGTTCAATTTAAGCCTGGTAATTTAAGTGAAACATGGTGTTATTCACTGAATGACACAGGCTTACTTGGAGAAAAAAGACTGAACTCTAATTTGCTAATTTATGGCCCTGTTTGGCGTTTTCGTGTTCTCTGAACGTTTTCTTATAATTCAAGCCACTGTTTTGACGTTACTCAGAGCTGACATGGTCTAAACTTTTTCTTCTCAGTAGAATCTCTTTAAATTCGTTCCTGTCCGTTTGTCCACAGAGTTGATGGTGACAAGCGGCAGTACACAGGGGCGTTGGTGGGTTTGGGTTATGACCCCGCCACCAACGAAGCGCTTCTGCCGGATTATGACAGCGAGCTAGTATTTGAGGTGGATTTCAGGGAAAATGACATTGTCGATGTAAGTTGACAGCAAATGAGAGGTATTCGTTTTTCAGGGTGGAAGGTTTGGATATAAAGGAAATGTTACTTTCTGTGTTCGGTGGGAAAAGACAATAGGGACCTTAAGCAATCAGAACGGCAACGCCTAGGATGACTTCGATTAAAAAATGAATTTATGTTGTAGTTAGAATTTCGCGAATGGCTGGATGTGTTTACCGTCTCTTCCGCGGAGAGGCATTTCATAAAATCTCAGATGGTTCTTTTTTTTTTTTCACTCAAACGTCGAATCTATAAATTCGAAGTTAGAGTAGGAAACCTATAGCCTGTCACCCTTTCAAGGTATCAAAGTACCTTTCACATTCATTGGGGCTTCGTGTAGAGTGACTTATCTTCTAAAATTGTTTGGCTGAGTAAAAAGATGCAAGTGTCCTCAATTTTTTTTCCATCCTTTGCCATCCCTACAGAGATTTTGTTTCTCCTTCACATGTAAATGGTTTTGCGTCATTTCAAACTTTCTTTTCTTCAAGCCTCTGTCCATTTTAACTCTGATACTTAACGTCCGCTCCACAGATCAATTTAGTACGTCGTGCTATTAATGAGATGTTTGAGAGTGAGGAGGCAATAGCTGGCTGGGGAACTCCAATGGTGGAGAGAATTCAGAATGTCAGCAGATCTTTGCTGCTTAAGTAAGGTTTTAGTTAAGTGTTTTTGATGATCAATGTCAGTATCTCAGTGACTGCGCACCCTACCCCTTCTCTAATCCCACATTAACCCTAACTTGTCATTAGTTGATTGTTGTTGACTTGGGGAGGGGTAGGTGGGCAGGTGCTCAAATAATGACATTGACCCGTTTTTGTTAACATTATTTTATTGATTGGTAGTGTCGTGTTTTTTTTCTTTTTTCTTTTTTTTCCTTCTTTTTTTCATGAGGCCGACGAAGTTGAACCTAGGTTGCATGGTGAGGGCAGGAATAAAATTGTCTTACTTAGGGAGGTCTGAGGGGATTCTTTTTTTTGTCCACCCACCAGAGTCCTCCCGCCTAAAAATAAAACCAAGTTAATTAGTGATTGTTACGCGCAAAATAGAGGCCAATCTTGTAGTATAGTGTTGTGTGTAGCCTTATTGATTTCCGACGTTCTCAAGTTTGTATGATGTTTGAAGTGAAAGTCGTTCAAATTGCGTATGATCGATTTCTTTAAATTTTTCAGAATTGTCTTGAAACGCAGGGAGAACAAAAGTCCATGCCCATTTCCCAGAACGGGCTACTGGAATCAGGTAATTCGAGCATCGAACTGACGAATTTTCGTAAAGTGCTGTTTGAGTTTTGTACAATTCAAGACCAACTACCCACCGAAATACTTTATAAGAAAAAGATGATGACCAGGGAGAGAGCGTCTCTATGGAGACTCAATCCGACGAAAGGTTAACGCTCGAAACGTCGCCACTCTTTGGCCAATTTTAAGTATCATTATAGCTGATAAAACCAAATTGTATTTCACTTTAGTTCCTGGATGCTGAGCTTTCTCAAGGACATTGCATTGAGAGTCAAAATCAGGCGAAGGAAAGATCATGATCACTCCCTAAAAGCCTCTCCAAGTTGATACAGCTTTAAACCAAATTTATTTATTTATTTGTCACAGATCGATCCTGCCTACCTTCTACAAGCAACCACCAAAGAGTCAGATGCCGGTCAGCTGTTTACGTTACACAATGCTGTAGCTATCTCCGGCATACCTCTGGAGGATGAAGACGACGAGGCCAGGCAGAAGGTGGCCCTACTGCGGGAAAAGTTGGAGTGGCTCAAAAGCTTGGAAGGAAGGTAAACAAGTATCGGCCGCCTTAAATGTTTGCTTCTGTTCCTTGAGCAGCTTTGCAATGGGCCGAATAATTATGTTTGCGTTGTGTTTCAATTTTTGCCACTTGGTTCAACTAAGTTTTATTTTCCCTCTGCTGGAAACTTTCTCGTATATATGTTTATAAACGTGGAAATTAATAGGATAAGAAAACTGGACCTAGGTTAGCATTTATCAACAAAGTACATAACATGCAAACCTTTTCGTGCTGATTGCCGGCAACCATACGGTAGAAAAAATGAAAATCGGTTTTAGTACAGTTTGTGTTAATCACAGAAGTGACAAAGATTTCATTTCTCCTTGCAATACCAGTATACAGGGTTTTTAAATAAAAGCCAATTATTGGCGATCTACCGCTGTCTGTTTGGCGCTCAGGTGTTTGGGTTTCGGCTTACGGCCCCTTTTGCGGGGAAAGCCGCCCATTACACTATTGTCAGCTGCTTATGGAAAAAAGTATTGAAAATCCTGCAGCACATTTTCCAAAGAACAAGTTAAGAGAACAGACGGAATTCTCAGCGGGAAGGTGTTATATTGATTTAACTCCAAGTTCTCCTGGCTAATTTACGAGGAAATCCATAACTGAGGGGCTTATTGGAGAATTGCTAAGTAAATCCTTGGAGTTAAAAGGTGCCACAGAATGCAGTTTAGTGGAAGGAAAATGTATTTCCCTCTTCGGTTCCTTCTTTTATATTCTTCTCTGCTGCTCTAAGGAGTTTAAACAAGACAGTGATGGCTCACATGGTCAAGTGACATCGCTCAAATTAAAAAAATTAATTGAAACGATCTTTACTTGCTAATGTTTCATTTTGTTTTGTGACTTTCAGATCGTCAGAACAGTTTACTGAAGAAGTAGTTTGCCCTTTGTGCAATGTATTGTGTAGGCATCCACGAGGAGTCGCCATGCATCTGAGGAGCACTGGCCACATGGATATAGAGGCTTCTTTGTCTGAAGACTAGTTACGAGGGTAACAACTGCGAGAACTGGAGGCAAGGAGAGGGAGCTTGTTAGGTTGCGTACCTGCGCTGATATCGAAGGAAGCAAATCAAAGGTGGGCTGGTTACGTTACGTTTGAGAGCGAGTGACGTCTCAAGCTTGATCTCAAGAAAAGTTGTCAGTGCAAACGGACACCGATCCAATTTATTTGTTGAAGATCACGCGATTGTTATCCATTGTGGGCATGCATTATGGGTGTGGTTTGACAGGAAGATGTTTACGTTTGGTTGTTTGTGGAGCATGTAACTGTACTTCTATTCATGGAGAAGCTGATGTTTACGAGGTGATCAGGTCTTTAAATCGCAGAGATGACAGCGTTTATGATCGCATGGGTCACATTAGGAACGAAAGTGACGGTGAAATGTTTATTGAACAAGGTGGGGATTATGTTGATGATGGTGATGATGATGGTGATGATGATGATGATGATGATGATGATGATGATGATGATGATGATGATGATGATGATGATGATGATGAAATTAATGATGACGACGACAGTATGATAGCACAGCATTTACGGACTTCAACGAAAAAGACAAGACAAAGACGTTGAGTGTAAAGATGTAGTGCACTAATCGTAAGGAAAATTCGGATGACGATGGTGATTTTCAGGAAAACGTGCTTGTCGACAGACACTTTGTTGTTATGTTAGAGTGTTGTGGGTTTTTTTTATTTGCCATCGTAGCTGGAAGTTTTGTGTGCGAACTAAAGCGATGAGAGGCGAAGCCGCGAGTGGCCTTAAGCGGCTTTTTTTGCTTGTTTCTACAATTCTACTGCTTGGCGCCTCAAATCGCACATAAGCAAGTAATTGATAATAACTCTCTAGTTTATTTTGTCTTTAATGGTGAATAATTGATGCTTGAAGATCTGTGGCTTCTCTGGCTGCTAATTATGTGTTCTGTTAATCTCCATGGGATCAATGAATAAGGTGCACCATAAGATATCCTGGATCAATGTTCTTTGAGGATCTGAATGGGGGGAGAGGGGAGAAGAGATTGGGGGTCCTAATGTCGGTCAGAACTTAATTACTTTGTCGGTAATCGATTAAAAGTTTCGAACTTCGTCGATTGTCCATGAATCTCGATTAATGATTAAAAATGTCAGTTAATTATTCATATTTGTTGAGTAATTCGTACGCCCAAGAACCTGACGTTTTTCTGGAAAGAGCCCGCGCTTCCACTCGGCCATAGGTAAGTTCAATGACAGAAAATCCAATTGACTGAATCTTGAATTTAAAGTGGCTACCTCCTAAGCTAGAATGCTCTTCTTTCTAAATACGAATATTGTTAGTGTCGGATCAAGTCAGTTTTCGGTTTGTATTTAGGTGTCGCCTATCGGTTTTTCTTCTTTTTTTTTTTTTTTTGCGTTTTGTCAGTTATATTCTTCGGCGTTTGCCGCTTATCGGTTAACCCTAGTCAGACCCTCTTCTCTGCTAGAAGAAAACAAAAAAACAATTAAATTGCCATACGCTTTGTCTTAGACCTAAGCAACCGATGACTTCTTCCGTATTTTGGGTAACCTCGTCTTGACACTTGAGTTTGTGAGAATTCGAGACAGTTATTGAAACCTAGGCGAAGTCGGGGGTTTGCATACGTTACGATGACCGTCTTTCCTATCTGCTTCCCTCCCTAGCGTTTCGATGAAGCTACGTAAACAACGAGGAAAAGGCCTCTGTTTCTGTTATAAAATCCATCTCAAAAACATAGGTTGGTTTAAGACTTAAAACTTTAAAACCGTGATTACTTGCTCTCATTTTACTTCATCTGTCAATCAGTGAAAGCGCGCCTCGTGTCTCATATCTTGGATAAAGAGTATGATTTTGTGCGTTTCTTCACGATATGGTCGTACTGCCGACATAATTAATCGTTCAATAGATGATAGGGAACCCTAGCGATGTCTCTTTTTTTAAATTGGGGATTTTTTTTCCACAAATAATGTATTATTCACGTTTTTCATTAATGCTGACTTACTGAGCGCTTTATTAAAAATCGGAAAATTTGTCTATTGATTAAGATGGCCGCGGACAAATACCATGTATGTGTTAATAGGCGTAATCCACGAGTTGTAATTCTCGCCCTAAATTGTACGTTAACAGCAGGAACGAAGCGTTGTTGTTTCAGCCGTTTAAAGTTTACATATCGTTTGATTAAACCATTAGAGAGGTAGTTTTGAAGGGAAAGGGATGTTTGATAGATTGACGAAAGAATTTGGTACAAATGAACAATTCGCCGTTAAAAAAAATTGTTTTTATCTCACTACCAACCAATTTTACGCATATGAGCCGTTTATTTCTCAAGCAGATATTTAAATTTTCCCAAGGCTAAAACCAAAATCGTGTAACTCTTGCTAACAAAAGTGTCATTCAGATATGACATCGAAGAGTTACCACTTGACTCGGCTTACACCCATGTTATTGCAAATATTGTATTTCGTGGGGGAAATCACCACATGATCTGAAATTAATTAGTGAAGACGACCTTTTATTCACTCGCTTGCTTTTCGAACATAACATCTTCTTCAAGTAATTAGCTCTTGGCGCGAAGTAAAATGCTTCATTAAAATACGGTATGGTCGAAATGTGCATTTTTTTTGTTTGCTCTGCTTGAATAAAGTAGATTTCGTTCTGTTTTTTAAGGTTTTTCTTTAGTAGTTTATTGCTTTACAGTATTAAAGTCTTGATCAGTTCATTGTCAATGCGAACTTATTGACTAGACTTCGCTTTATTCCAAAGAGCGCTAATTCATACCTTGTTAGAAGATTAATTACAGTGGAGATTGGTTCAGAGACTAATGAGACGTTTTCATACAAAATGTCAATTTTTGTCTTACCACTTGACAGATAGTGCAGTGCAGTTTCGAGTCGTGATTAGCATATGAAAGCATCGTGTATGATGATATATACATACACGCCTTATCTGTAGACCTCTAGCTGACCGAAGATGATAGCGAAATTTTTCCTAAATGCGATATAACCTTGGAAACAGGTATCTCAGTCATTTTTAAATAATTTTGGGAACAGGTGATACGGTTATCCGAAATGCGCAAATGCAAACGACCATTTAGCATCCGGTCTTTAAAATATGGACACAGAACTACAGGAGAATCTTATTGCCGGTATGTTTCCAACTTCGAATTACAGTTTAGCGCTTGGAAAATCACAACCATTGAGAACTAATGCCGAATGTCCAGGATTGACAGCTTTAAATGCAGTTTTGGGAGTGTCGTGTTTTTACGGCACTGCCGCGAACTTGATCATTCTAATTTTTACGATTTTAAAGCATCGCCATCAGGGTTTAACGCCAGATAGAATACTGATTACAAATTTTGCAGGCGTCGATCTCATGGCGTGTTTTATCAGTCTACCACTTCATGTAAGAGCTATAAACAGTCAATCGAGTATTGCAGATAACCCTATATGCTTGTCAAGGTTTTTCACGATGTTCACTTGTTTTGCTGTGAACATCATGACACTGGCTGTCATAAGTATAGACCGCTATGACGCCATCTGCCGCGCGCCTTTGCGTGAAATAACTTGCAAGAAGACCGCATATTTCCTTGTCTTCATTTGGTTGTTTGCAAGTTGTACCGCTGTAGCTGGGGGAACAGGACATATCCTTACTGCCGTACGGGGTGAACACGCCTGCTACAGCCCCGGACGAGACGTCTCCTCTCATGCAATCATTGGCAAGACAGTGATGATTGCCGTCGTTTCTCTGTGGATCTTGCCTTCTCTTGCAATTGTGTTTTACAGATTCTACGCCATTCGAAAATACGTTCAGGATCACTCAACCCATTTGCGAGACACTCTGGGTGTTTCAGTGGTAAAAAGAGAAGTCAAACTCACCAAGATTTGCGTCGTAATGATCACAACATATCTTAGTTTATGGGTAATGTTTGCACTCATGGTGTTATTAAGAAACAGGTTCTCCTCTTTGGAAGTTCATTGTGCGTATCTATGGTCGTATTCCTTGGCTTACTCCAGTTTCACCGTCGTACCAGTCGAGTACATGATTCTTGACAAAAGAATTCTGGCTTATGTTTGGCGAGAATGTGCGCGGAGAAGAACAGTAAAGGTTTCAGTGGAACTGGCCGCGACTAACCATGAAGGAGGCGAAACAAGCACTTGATTGACGAAAAAAGTAAATCGTATTTGGAATTGATTTAAAAGCTTTTACTACTCTAAGAAAATGAAATTTTCGCGCTTTCATTTCTTACACAGCGGACTTTAATTTTACGAGGCTACAAGTGGCCTACAGTTTCCCCATGTTTCCCACACAGTTTGCGTCCTAAATTTTTGATTACCACAATTTCTGGTTATTTGGGTGCTAGGAGGCTTGATTGTTTCTTTTTTTCATTTCTAAAGTACTCAATATTTCATCGCGTCTTAAGTACTAATTAAAAAACTCGTGCATCGTGTTCCATCAGGGTATCCAAACACGATATTAATTTTCGAGTGTTTAGAAACCCTAATGAAACACGACGCACGAGTTTTTTAAAGAAATTAATTAATTAGGAAATAAGCTCACCAAAGTTTTATGTTTTATTAAACTCAAGGGTTTGATATTGCATAAAACTCATAATAACGCCTCATTCGACACACGTCGCACGTCTAATGATAAATTCATTTCCCATTTAATCAGTGCTAGAACATCAGAGTGTACTCAACTTCCGCCTGATTAAATATCCGTGACACATTTCATCTTTTCACTTTATCTTACTATTTTCTACGCGATAAGTTGTAACAAAAAAAGCACTTAGGTTATTTCACACCAGTATTGGTGGCTGTACGTCGATCTTTGGACATACGCCAACAAGTGAAAACAGCTGCTGAGTGCTATCTTATCGTGGTATCCTTAGGAAATAACTGAGACCTTACTTAACCTAGAATATTAGGTACACTAAGACGGAAACTAATGGAGAAATATTCGCTTCAATTTTATCAACGAACATAACCTGTTTCGGGCGTTCACTTGGTAAAAGGGAGCGAATTAGCAGACGGCGTTATTGAAGCGGAGGAGAAAAGAGCGAGGGGAATTTGGGCACTTCATTTGCATAGAGTTGTTTATGTTAGGTAAGAAGCATGATCTACACTTCTGATAACGTTGAATGAATGTATAATGAAGAGATCCTTGTGTCTGCACGTGGGATATGGCTCTTAACCAGCAAGTGCACTAATGCTAATTTTAAAAACTGAAAATAAAGACATGAATTAAAACAAGAAGACTTTTTAACAATAATTATACACAATCATACATAATTCTTGTAGTGTAAACAGAACAAATTAAAAAAACTGAAGACGTACTCAGCTGCACATATACTTATCTTTAATGACGTTTTTCAACGTTTTTTTTTTCCTTTCATTTTGGTTGACATTTTAGTCATAAGATATCTTCACTTTCCTTTATAAGGCGCTTACAGTCGTTTCGCAAGACAAGCATGGGCCCAAAGACACGCTCACTATGAACTTCAAAGGATCCATGTAACTCGTAGTGTTAACGATTTATTTCCATAATTAAGAAATGTTTGTTTCAATCTGAGACACCGCATGTCACGTGAACTCTACATCTTCCCCGTCAAAGTCTTCATCATCCAACTTTTTAAAGTTTATTTCTTTATTTTCCCAGATCTCTTTAGGGCCAGGCTCCGCAGAGGGGCGCTTGGGGCGAATTTCGATACCTTCCAGACGTCGCTGTTTTTTAGCTGCTTGCTACAATGGAACAAGCCAGTAATGTCAATAGAACATACTTTTACAACAAATCGATTCGCCAAAGGGCACTGACCGTCGTAAACGTATCACCAAGATGAGGCAATTGTTGAAAAAGAAAGGACATCGATTCCACGTCATGGCTTACCTGCAGTACAGGCGTCTTAATAGCGCGAGTTAACGTTACAAGCGCGCAATCGTTTACCCGACCGACCATGTTTGATGAAAAGTTAGAGTGGACAGTGGGGGAGGGAGCCCTTCCATCTCCTTCCTTTCGAACGTCGCTCCCCCACCCCCCCCCCTTAGTACAAATTTATTTCTCTCCCCAACCTTCCGCTGTAGAGATCAACTATGGCAGCTACAATTTTCGGCACACGGATCAATGCCAGTATCTAAACAACTGCACACCTACCCTTCCCTAACCCAACAGTCAACTGAGAACAAGTTCGGGTTAATGTTGGGTTGGGGGAGGGGTAGGTGCGCAGTTGATCATGTTGATCCGAAAGTACTAACCACTCGCCCGTCAAAATCACGCCTACTCTCTCGACTATGTCCTGGACAAATATGCTAAGATTTTTACTTACTGATGCTACATAATCACAATTTCTTTCGACAGGAAACCGGAAATAGTTTTAGTTTCTTTAGGTCGATCGTATTTAAATCGTTTCAAATGACTTTTGGCCATTCGGTTTGGGGCTGCGCGTTTTACCAGCTGGCAAACAACGCCATCCTCTCTCAGCGGTGTTTTATTTTAATATACATTATGACCAACAAACAAGGAAAGACCATCGTCTTACCTCAATTATCTTTGCCATTCTAACATCCCGATTGTGAGTAAGTAGACTGGTGGCTACCGACACCCCTGTTGATGTCGTCTCTGTCGTTACACGGCCAGTTCTACCCACGCGGTGAATATAGTCCACTAATGACGTGGGAAAGTCAAAGTTGATCACATGGCCTACCTGAGGGGAGAATGGGGAGAACAAAGTCAGCTTAAATGTTCAGAAAACTTGAAATAAAGTAAAGCAGTAGACCGCTTTCTATCTTAAAGAAGGAAAGCCATGATGATAATGTCAATTACAGAGGATAACAGTCCAAATCTTGTTCATAACATTTTGGTCACTTTTAGTGATCTTGACGACAAAAAGACATCAAAAATTCTCCAGAAAAACATAACGCCAGTGCGCGGCTCACAATCCTTGGAGCCACCTCAACTGAGAACTGTAGAAATTGTATACATCGTGGCGTATATGAACAAAATAATTAACAACTCAGGCCTAGTATGCGGCCGTGGTTGTTTTAGTGTGGAGAGTATTGCGAGCGCACTGAAGCACCCACGGCTTGAGGTACACAGCAGTTAGACGTTGAACATTAGTTGGCGTGCCTACAGGCTTTCATAATCAAGGTATCCCACATGAGGTACAAACAAACACACACACAAGACACTAAGTCACGATATATGCGTATGACGAATTTGGTGAAGCTCAAATCAACAGGATACCCTTACTTAAATAGGTTTTGTACTCGAATAGTGTCGTGTCTCTTCAGTTTCCCCTACTTTTGTTTTCTTTTACAGATTTCTACGGACGTTTCAATTTCTTTCGCTTACTTTGCAAGACAGTGGTTGTTTCTTATGTTCCCTTTGAAATTTTGCGCGGGAAATCGGCAAGCGGCCGGCCAGAATTAATCCCCTCGCGCATGCACCCACTTTTGACCGCTGAGTTCCCCTTCACAGCTCAGCAGAATGAAGTAAACTTCGTTCATACTTACATCAGGGTCTACTCCTCTAGATGCTATATCAGTACAAACAAGAACTCTTGCTCTTCCCTCTTGGAACTCTTCAAATAAGTTGCTCCTCACCTTCAATAAGCAAAAAAATTGCCAAAACAAAAACATTGGACAACTGTTCGTTTTCCCTGTTGTTCAACCTTTTAGTACAAATTGGAAAAAAATTCTATCCGTTAAGATGTCCAATAAAGGAAATGATCATCAACTATAAAACCTCTTGATTGTTCAACAAATTCTCCCTGTTAGCGCAGTAGGAAATGTATAGAAAACAGTATGGGGAACATGCATGCTGATGTTAGGGTGTAAAGAGTTAACTTAGAACTGACCTAACCATCACAAGCTAGCAAATTTATTACCTTGGAAGGAAGCACTTTGTGAAGTCGGATAAATTTGATACGCTTCTCTACGAGAAAATGCCCCACAAAATCGCAAGCCTCTGTGGTATTACAGAACACGATAGTTCGCTGAAAAGGATCTTGAAGGTCGTGTCTCAGGAGTCTTAGGAGTTTGCCTGCAAAAATAAAAAAATTAAAACAAAATACTAAACTACATTTAATTGAGTTCGGCGAATTTTTAAAACGTTGAATCAGCAAGAGTATTCACAGACATCGTTGACAGAATTCCAGGGTAAACTTGTCCTTAAAAAAAACTAATATCCCTGTGTACTGCTGCAGGACTTTGATTTCAGATCCGAAACTTCATGTGCAAGGGGAGATATTTTAATTCTGCTTCAAAGAGAACTTTGACCGGAGTTTTACAACCGCGGCATATTTAAACTTCTTCTCACAACTCAAAGAACTTTTGTTCCGTCCCCTCTAAACAGAGGAAGTTATTATAACACAGACATCCTTGTTTCTCTTACCTGCCTTTTCCTCCTGCTTGATTTTTACAAACCTATGTCTGATATGGGGAAGAACGCGGTGAAGACCAGAAGAACAGGTTTTTAAGCGCTGAAAGAAATATATACTCGCTTGTTACAATCAACGACGCGTGTGGCCTTTGTTTCAAAGAGACCAGGCAATAATTGCAGGAAAACATGAACCGCCTCATTGCAAATATCAAAAAAAACAGTTCCCCATTACTGCCTTACATGCATCACGAGAAAAAATGTCCCACACGTAAAGCTTGAGAGAGATAACCGAAACAGGAATAAAAACTATCCAACCGATTTCCTTAGTGGAAAAAAAAACAAAAACAAAAAAGAAACACCCGACATGCTGATCACACTGCATCTTACCGGAAGCATTCGCTGTAAGGTGTCTACCACCAACTCATTTGGCATCGTTGCACCGACAATAGTGACTTGTGTGTCCACCGGCTGCTCGCTGGGAGGAGATGGTCTACCTTGTCGTATCTGTAACAAGGTTACATAAAGTGGTTGTCGCAACCGAACAGAACATGAAATAAAACAATGATTTGGGATGAAATATGAGAGGTGATTGAATGACCAACTAGTACCCATTGGCAAATTGAAAAAATGTATTCAACAGGGTATATAAAATTTAATAACAACAAGGACAGTACTTGTCTGCCTTTGAGTGCATTTTTTTCCCCACAAATACTCCGGGTTGAGCCAAAATGTATCTGTTTTGTGTAAAATGAAGCTACAGGGATTTTCCCCTTTACATGTGAACCCAGGGAAGAAAGCCCCAGGAAAAGAAATAAATAGAACGGTTCCAAACATTAACATTTGACCCCTTTCCTGTAAACCCACATGTGAACGTTCAGTAATTTTCCTAACTCCGATTCTTTTGATGATAGTTTAAAAGAAATTTGATAAATTCATAATCCACTAGTTGGAAAGAAATAAATAGAATTCAAATTGCACCAAAGCTTTTAAATCGCATCTTTTACCAGCCAATGACATAAAAAAACAAAACAAGGGAATGACTTCAAGGCTTGTTGGATCAATTCTTATCCTGTATCAACAAATTTTCAACTTTTGTTTCCAAAAATTTTTCTCCCAAAAACGGATGAATTTTCCCAAACCAGCTCAGTATTGTATTAATAAAATATTTGAACTGACCAAGTTCTGTATTTGGGCGATTTCAAAATGGAGTTTAATTGAATTTGGTATTGGATCAAATTCATATTCCACTAATTGATATCTTTCTTTATTCTCATCACTTGTCCGCTTAATATTGTGGTGATATTGTAAGGAGAAATTCGGTTTTGGTCACTAATGGGAGTTTAAGGGTCAGGAGCAAAGACCAAAGCGTCTCTTCCAAGTGGGTTGCCGGTTGTAAATTAACACCCTGTAGAAATCACTCAGTTAGGGATGTGCTGTGCGTACGTCAAGCGTGTATGCAAAGAAAAATATGTGTAACAACGATGGTACGTGTCGACTCACCGAGATCGATTGGAGAATTTCCATTGTATCTGATTTGAACGAGGAATCAAACATGGAATCCGCTTCATCAATTACCAAATACGACAAATCCGAGAAAAATAAACGATCTAAAAAAAAAAGGAGTAGAAACCACTCATTAGTAAGGACAAAAACGGGGACAAGAATCCCTGAGGTTTCAAAAAAGCCGGTTACCGGACCGCCGCTTATAAGACCCCTCACCCCTGTCTGTTTAGTCCGAGAGCAGGCCCTCGTGTTTGGGTTTTGCCTTACCACCCCTTTTCTGGCCACGGCTGCCTATTAGATTTTCAGCAACCGTCTTATGAAAAAGTTATTGATACCCCTGAAAATCACAGTGAAAATACAAGACTATGAGTATTCTACGTCCTTTTTTAAGAGTCGTTCCGTGAACAACTCAGCGCACTCGGAGCGTGACCGATAACATAAGCACGTGTCACGCAAGCCGGTCACTTTATCTTCGGTAAGCGCTTATAAGATCAGTTCCAATAAGGTATGTACCTTTCTGGCGAAATTGAAGTAACGTTCCTGGAGTGGCAACCACGAGATCCACGGGAGACGCAAGGTCTCTTTTCATAAATTTCTGTGAGAGAAACATTTTTTACAGCCAGCAGTTTAGTTATAAATTCACAATACCTGAAAAGCACGTGTTACTTCATTACTAATCGACCTCGACAAAACAACTTCAAGCGCGTGGGATATTTCCATTTAAGGGAGAAGGAAAGGGTGGAGGGGGGGGAAGGGGGGAGGAAGGTAACTGCACAGAGGACCCACTGACATTTACATGCATCACAGGCTGTGTTATCAGTGAAAATCACCCCCTTTATATACAAATTACCACCACTTGTACAAAACAAACAACAAACAACAAAACAACAAAACAACAAAACAACAAAACAACAAAGCAAGAAAGCAACAAAACAACAACAACAACAACAACAAAAAAGACAGGAACAAAAAAAAACCGAGAACAAAAAAAGCAAGAACAAGAAAAAAAACAACGCCAACGGCAACGACAACAACTCAAGCGGGTTCAAAATGGATTAGGGTTAGGGTAAGGAAAAGGGTAAGGGTTAAAATCTGCTCGCCCTAAGGATGTCTTGACCATGGCAGAGCGTTCCAGACACTCCCAAAAGTAACCCACAAGTCCTCTCCTTCTATGCCGGTGACTGATAAGTGCCGGATTTACAGGCTAAATCGCTCAATTTAAGGTACCCCGCCCTTGGCTGTACTTTTGAACTCTCTCACCTTTTTCCGTCCGCCGATAATGCCAACTGATTTAAAGCGTGCATGATGACTTAATGACTTAGCAACTTCCTGGAGAAAAAAAAAAAGAAAGGGTACAAGTCATGCAAGTGTTCACCACTGCATAAATTGCACCTCACCTGCCACGATCATTCTGTACTTGTGTCTAGTAAGGTGAAGCTTTTAATTTACACTTTATTCATGACGATACATGATTTAACACGCCTGTGTGTGTTACAGACCCATTTAAGGCCATCGCAAATGAAGTCAATTTGAAAGACAAATCTGAATGGAACAATTAATCTTATTGGGGAAAGTTGTTTTTCGTCCTGTCACGAGCGTGGGACAAAGCAAAAATTCTGAGTCCCCATGAGGAATCGAACCTCTGACCTTCGTCCGCGCTGCGATGCTCTACCACTGAGCCACAGAGACTCTACGGCTAGCGAGGTCTATTACAAAGTTCATATGACACGCGTTCTGCATACTGCTAGGATCAGCAATGTCGATAACTCGATGGGGAATAAGTTTCTTGTAATTTGCGCTCCAGTCGGGCTACATTTCTACCACCTTAAGGAAAGTCTTTCGCCAACACAATGCTCTACAATAGGCAACCAGTCAGAAAAGCTGTCCAATTTAACTTAAGGAGCCACTTAGCTCAGAGATTGCCAAGATTCTAACTTTTCATTTTACGAGTTCTAAGATAAAGAGAAGAGAAACAAAGATACTTACTAACACTTGAATAGCAAGTTCCCTGCCTGGAACAACAATACATGCTCGTGGTCGTTTCAGACGCGTTATGACACCATGTTTGCGCTCGTCTTCTCTCAGATGGTGAACCACTGGCGCCAGGTAAGCAAGAGTTTTTCCAGTCCCTGGAATAATAATCAGTCTCTCAATCAAAGGACTGTAAAATTTGCGGCCTGTGGCTCTCATTCCTAGGGTCTCATTGTAATCCTCCTGTCTCGTTGCTTTACTTTACCTTGTAAATCAGCCAGGAGAATTTGGAGTTACATCAAGATGACAACCCCTGCCTGATAAATTTGTCCCGTTATCTACAGCAATTAACCAGTTCAATACCTGTTTGTGCAGCACAAAGCACATGCTCTCTTTTAAGTAATGGGGGAATTGTTACCATCTGAAAATTTAAAACCAAAATTTTAGTGAATTTCTATGTGTTAAATATGTACATTTGAACAAGTTTTTTTAGGTAACAAAAATGTATTTCTGTGTGTCAGTACTTACAAATAAGCTAATTGATAAGTGTGCTCTGAGAATTCCTTTTGAAATGTAAAACTAGCAGATATTCTTTTAAAGATACTGCCACAGTCAAAATTACTTGGGTTTTCAGTAAGTCTTGAGCTGTCAAAATCTGGCTAAGTACTGTAATTCTGCTTTGTGAAAGCTTAAGGTGATGATAAATAATGATAATTGAACTAAGTAGAGTACAATTTTATCTGAGATCATCTGCACAATTTCAAAATCTAACAAACCTACAGTACAAGTTCATTTTGAAATCACAAGTATAATTTTGGAAAAAATTGCACAAAAGGAAAACCAATTACCATCTAATTGCATCCATATTTCTTTCCTTTTTGTTGTTGTTGTAATGGTTTATTCATTACATCTAACAGAACATATCCATTTTGAAATTGCAAAATTTTGTTAAAAAAAAATGTTGGTCTTCAGCCTGATGGTTTCCTTGCCCATCGTTTTCCTGCAATCTGATTGGTTACTTTGAACACGTCTTGAAATCTGATTGGTTGTTTTTGTTTTCTTAGTGTTATTTTCTTATTAGGTGGGAAAAGAGATGCAATTTAGAGTATTGCACTGCAGAGAGCCAATCAGATTGCAAGGATCATCAGTGATATCAAAATGGATGTGATAAATAATAATTAAATTGAATTGATAATTCCAGATAAAAATTGAAGAAAATTTGGTTAACGAAATAAGACCTAAACAATAAGGCTTAACTGTATAACAAACTTGGCCTGTAATGCTACATGTACACCACAATAACAAGCCATGACTACTTCAGAATAATTTCAAAATTTTCCAAATTCATGCACCTGAATGACTGTGGGTTTTGTAACATTTATATTGTACAAAGCCTTCAACACATCCTCTCTTAATCCAAGAGGGCTAAATGATGAAACTTGTAACTCAATATCTACATCTTTGTCTGGCCTGAATGCAGGATTCTAAATGAGAAAATCAGCAAAAAAAGCAATTGTTAAACTAAAAAATTGTTTACATTTATGTCAGTATTTTGCAACATTTGTATCTTAACTGAATTTCAGGTCTGTACTGTAAGTTATCGACTGGGATAACAAGTTAAGATATCTGTTTTATCTCTGAGTCCAAATAGAGGGGGGGGGATATTAAATATGGCCTACTTAATTGACCAATCATAGCACATGTATTAAGAAATGTAATAAAATCTTACAGCATACTACACACAAGCTGGCTTTTAATCCGTTGATGGCATGACAACAGTTTTGAGTAATAAGTAAGTTATTTAATTTTGTTGCCTCCAAAGATGTTTGCATGTCTCAGCAGTTTTGAAAGGTAATTAACTGAGCAGGATCTCAAGTTATTAGCATGATCAGTCATTACCCAGATCTGACAAGACTGCTAGAGGAAGGTCAGATGAAAGAGAAGAGATAACCTGTAATTTCAGGGGTTGGTATATGTAGGCTGAGACTTGAAACTAACCACACATGTTATGTTGAGCTAACCATCTATTTTTCCTTGTGCATATTGTAAGATCCCTGTTGTCAGTGTAATGGACTCTGGATTAGAAATTCTAGGTTCTAGCCCTGTGTTCTTGGGAAAAACACTTTACTCTAGAACCACCCCCTCTCCACTCAGGAGTTTCAATGGGTACCAAAAAACTTTTGGGAGACCTGGGTAAAGGAAGGTTAAGTCTCTACTCAAGCCAAGTGTCCAATCCAGCAGGAGCTTATCCTAATTTCCAAAACATGAAGCAGCTAAGAGCATTACTACTCCCCCCTGGATGGGGTATCCAGTGCAAGGTTACCCCCAAGTATTTCATCAGGCATCCCTGACAGTTTGCCTCCACCCATTTATACTCCTGGGTGGAGGAAGGCACCGTGAGGGCATGTTTTTCCTTGGAACACAACACAATGACCTGGCCAGTTCTTGAGCCCAGAGCTATCAACCTGGAGTGCAGTGGACTAACCATCAGGCCACAACATCTCCCCCTTGGGGAACCTTGGGTCACCTTTTATACTCTAGCACCCAGTGCTGCACCATTTGCCACACCTAATTACATTAGAAGTTGTAGTATTAGTTATGTGGCTTGTAAAAATTCACCATCTTATTACTCACTGCTACAGTTATCAATTTCAATTCTGCATGTGCACCTCTGAACAAGATGGCTCAATGACAATTTCTTTGCGTCCTTTTGATATTGTCTCTTTGTTACTCTGCTGCTCCTGCAGTGGTCTTTTTTGAGAAGCCAAATCTCTCCTCCTGCTCAGTTGTCTTGAAAGTGCAGACTTCATATCCTGTGTGTTATACAAAAAATTCCAAATGTGCAGGAACAACAGAAATGTTTTAACCCTCAAAATTAACTAGCATCTAATGTCTCCTTTCTGTATCACCCCTAAATCACTCATTGAGGTCAGGTAAATAAAGGAAATGGTCAGAAACTTAAGGAGCTCTTGATTGTTAAACAAAGTCTCCTTTTAAAGCACCTTGATAAATGTATAGAGAACAGTATGGAGAATATGCATGTTGATGTTAGGGTGAAAAAGGTTGAAGGTAATAGCTACAAAACCAAGAACAACAATCAAGGCTAGTTATTAATGAATTACCATATCAGGTTTGACTCGTTTTACTAGCTGTTTAAGTGGCTGTCTGACCGGTTCTTTGACCTGTTTTGTAGATTTAGGGGACAGAGAACTTGAGGCTACAACTTTCCTGGCCAAACGTGCACATCGAACATGCTGACAACCAAATATCTGTAAATTATACAGACAGCAAGTTAAATACAGTGCACCGTTGTTCTAAATGATTACAATACCCCCCCCCCTTCCCTCCCCCATGCAACATACAGACTGACTGAAGGAAAGCGTGACATCAGTGGAAAAATCAACCGGTACTAAGCCACCGAAAAAATAATACATTTCTCATGACTCCAATCAAAAGCACGCGGAGTGCACATTTCGATGCATCATGTACATGTATGCTCTTGGATCTGAATGTTAAGGCTCCTAGTGCACACGAAAAGGAACCCTATCAAAAACAAATTACTATCTCTGTGTGAATGAGATAAAAACGCTCACTCACAATTTTTACCGGAAGCAAGTCAACTACTCGCCGTCCGTGCAAAACAGCCGCCATATTAGAAATGTATCCCAGAAATCCCTGGGTACGAACAAGGAGAACAAACTTACCCGGTCCTCTCTCGTACGAAGGGGGGTCTTTCATCAAAAGGAGAACGTGACGCTGGAGTATGGTATGACGCGACGCCCATGCGTAATTTCCAAATTTAATTTCATTTATTTCATTTTCATTTTATTTTTATTTAAACACGGCCAATTCATCAGCCTAAAAAATAGATATCACATACGCTAGAATATTTAAAACTCAAACTATACACTATAACACTAAAAGCTGTTTTCCGTGAGTGCCGTGCGTTAGACTTAAAGAATGTCATTGATCTTACGTTTAAATACCCCCAGAGACTCTGTGTTCCTTATATCGCATGGTAGACTGTTCCATAATGTGGCGCCATTGTAGCTAAAACTTTTCGGTAATAATTAGTGCGCGGTAAGGGAACATTGAAAGAACCTCTTGACACCATGAAGTTTTGATTGAATGTTTTTATCAAGTGCTATTCGTATCGTCCACTTGAAAAATAATTGATCAATCTTCTATTAAAAAATTACATCAAACTGAGAATGGGGAAAAGCTGCATAAATGTCTATGGTAACAAAATTATGACAGTCATAATGGATGTCAAAATGGACAAGTTCACGTGTTTGTAATACCCTCTCGTGGCTCGTGGGACCAACCACGTTGAACACGTTTTTAGTGAGTAGTTACGTAATATACCTAACAACCTATTGCCTCATCAACTTATTATCACGATTCAGGCAATTGTTATTGCTTGGGTACACGTTAGTTATCTTGTGTATAACTTATGATCAACTTTCTTTGCGAGGTACAAAGAATCCATAAAAATTGCCCCGATCTCAAAAATGTAGCTTACCTTTGTCAGCTATTGGAGGTAATTCCACAGTCAAACTGGTCCTATCGAAGCATCATTTTTTCTTTTTTACAGGTTTTCCTTTTGTGAAATTTACTCTCTTAGGATCGATTTGTCTCTCGTTTTCCTTTATTTATTTATTCATCCATTCATTTATTTATTTATTTCACGCCATCAGTTTGTGTTAATTCAAACTTTCTCTTTCGCCTGCTCGCACCATACCGTTGATTTAAGGGTGGTCTCCTTTTCTCCCTTGTTAGGCAAGTCTTCTGTCAGCAAGATGCTTACGTCAATCACTTGCTTAGTCAAAAAGAAGACAACGCAGCACATGACTTGACTTGACCCGGGTACTTCGATCTTGCCATGTGCCAATGTTCCGGTCAAGTGATTGGCAATCACGTGACCTTTCATCATCTCGTCATCACAATTTTCAACACAGTTTCCCATCACGCATGAAAATATACACTGATGTTCATTCTAGCTATGGAAAACTATATATTCATATGTTGAATCACTGCGTTGAAATAGTTGGCCTGACAAACAACAAAAGAAGTCCAGTATTAAATTACCATTTATTAATAAACGGAACTTGAAAAAACTCGTAAACCAGTGCGGTAAATCTCAATCAAACATACTCCGAAGCCTCTTTTTATCGATAAAAAAGGATTGAATTCACTGACAAATATAAATGTTTTGCTGTAAACTAAATTCAAACTAATGTTAGTCGTTCTTACTCGTGGCAAGCTTAGGGTAATGTAATGTTGTGTAATGAATGAGTTGCCAGTAATCGGATCCCTCTGCTATGCGCAAAGGGTCCTGGGATTGCCATGGGGCAATCAACGCAAAAAAAACGAAAGGTTCAGTGTACGTTTAAAAGAAATGTGACCGGACATTGAAAAATTGCATTTTAAACTGTTTCTTATTGATGTAGGAGGTATAGGTCATGAAAGTCACCTGGTTCTCAACTTTAATCAGTTTGGAAATCCCGCGTGAAAAGTCTAACAAGGTGGTCTTATAGTCATGCACCCACCTGATGCAATGAGTAATTTGGGCTCCTGATAATTCGCAAAAAGTCAAATCCCTGAAAAAATCGACAGGGGAACAATATCTTTGGACGACCAATGTATTACGTAACTGACACATTCGCAGAGCGTCGTTTTGTTTATGTTTTCAAATTTATTTATTTGTGTTTTTTTTTTTACACACATAGTAAATTTTTTTTTAAACCAGAGAATCAAGTATTATTTTGGTCTGGAAAAACCTGCAGTTGGCGTTTCGGTAAATCTATTACACCAGTAGCCCTAAGGGGAAATTCGGGCCTAAATACAGCTATTAAGTTCTTTTCGGTACTGACCTCAGCTATTTTTTGTGAGTATTTTCACGTGAAAATAGATTTCACAAATTACCTGAGGGCGTTGCATGATAACAAGCTGTGGTGTGTGGCCATCGCTAAAATAGTGTGCATTATGCTGCATTGCGAACATTAGTAAGCGTTGTGAATAGTACAATGTACACCTTTTTGCGCGGGGGTGGGGTGAGTCCTGGCCCTACCCAGCCCAGGCAAAGCGTTCATTAGCGCTTCAACACAAATTTTTACACAAGGGAAGAAAATGTTAAAGTTTGAGAACAATACTTTATAAGTAAAAGATACTGCACGAGCCAAAATTGCTCATTGATAACCTCACCCTCCCGTGCCATGTACCAATGTGCCTTGTGCAGAAACACATTTGGTAAGGCCCTCCTCCGGTGAAGGTGGCGAAATTTGATCGATGTAATCGATAAAAAGATCTATATGTGATAATTATATTAGGAAAGGAAGTTTTTCTGGCCAATGACCTCGTATAAAGAAAATTTTGCATACTGCAACAGGTTGCTTGGAAAAAATGAGAAATTCGATAGGTAACGGCTGCGTTGGCGTACGAAGAGGCTTGACCGAAATGTGATCGAATAAGTTCGTTGATTTAACCAACGTAACGTGCCCTCTATGTGCCTGGAATATGAAACCTCCGGGTTAATTTTTCCCTTTCTATCTCAAGGATGAAAACAGAGATTTCTTGTCCATAATCAAATATCCATCAAGCGCTCGCAGACGGTTTTGTATCAATATTATGACAGGTCTCGATGCCGACATTTGCGGTACATGAGCTCTCAATACAAAAGCAATTAATCGGAGCGGCCGGCATGAAAAAAATTCTCGGCAAAATGAATTTTAAAGAATGGTCGTGATGCATATCCAGCCTCGGGTTATAAAAAACGATTCGATACGTTAATTGTAACTGATATGTCATGCAAATTTCGCCAAAAGGTGAGACAAGCAAACCACTTAACGCTATCGGTGCCCCTCAAGTTAGCTTAGAATTGCCGATTTTTCAGGTTCAATCATCCCAAGTGATATTATTCGGCTACTGGCGGCGCAATCACTCGTGAATCATGCGAGGGCGATGTGATCCAAACAAAAGGAAATGGAAATTTCACTTCACATGCACAAACCTTGTCATTTCCTGTAGGGCCACCGAGCCGCTTAATGAGCTACTATGATTGGCTAATTTTCACTTCCGATCTCCGGAGTATAATAAAGAATGACAACCACGTGATACATGTCAATCTCCTGGCGTTAGAGGCCAAGCTTAACGAGCGATTGTATTTCCGAAAGGTGAAGGTCTTTATGCTAGGAAAGGGAAATTTTTTCTCTCGCCAGTTTCATTGCACATTTAGTCTCGTTTGATGATCGACGAACGTCATGGATCCACCTTTTGATTGTAATAGACACGTACCTCCACTGAGATCTTTTTGGGTTTGGTTCTGTTTTGTCTTGTTAGGTAAGCATTTGTGCCTAAATTATAGCATTTTTGCAAGCTATCTTACTCGTATAAGGTATTTTTAGGTCAAACGTTGTGTTCTGTCCCCGTTATTGTGACATGTCTTTGGTCAAAACCGAGGTAAATTTAATAGGAAAGCACTTTGAAGTTTCTATTTGTGTGTATTTGAGATGGTAGCGAGTTCGATTATAGAATCTAGAGTTGTTGTCTGTGACCAATTCGAAATTGAAAAAAAAAGCAAATGTGCGCTCGCATAATCGGCGGCGTTTGCTTTGTTGTCTGTAATCTTCTCGCTTGTTCCCTTTACTGCTGAAGAAGCTTATTAGAAGCGCTCGGAGGGATCCATGATTCTTTCAGTAGTATGGCTGTTGTCAATCGTAGATGATCGAACGCTTCGCGGTGGGGAATTAATTTACTCCCGATGGAGGAGATAGAGAAATGTTTTTCGCGTCTCTCTAACGCGTGCTTTTCACTCATTTTTCTTCAGGATCGCATCTCCCACTATCGCTGTCAGTAAATCTACAATGGCAAACTCAACCATTGTCACAAACTGTGGAGGAAGGCAACACTACTACATTTTCTTGTTCGGCGCAATACATCAAAAAGATACAGGAGTACGACTGGGAATTTAATAATCAATCCTTACCAGGAGACAGTCGTTTTGTTAAAAAGGACGATGGTAAAATGTTAGAAATATCTAACGTTAAGTTTGAGGATCGAGGGAACTATAGATGTGTGGCCAAAAGGAGAGGGAAAACTCTGGGCACGAGTCAGAACGCGGCCTTAAATGTAAAAGGTAAGGAAGCAGTACCAAGGTTTGCTTGCATGAAATTTAGGGCGTACGTCTTTCCGGTGGAGTTGGTTCCTCGGTATATCTCAAGATTTCTGGCGACTTGTTTTCTCTTTCTCGTGGGGGGGCATTAAATAGATTATTGTACATTGGGTTGCACGCATGGTGAAACGGTAAATTGATCGATAAGGGCGATTTATTGTTGGTCAGTGTCTTGCAAAAGTATTATGGAGTGTTAATTTCCTTCAGTCGTATTCTTCCCATTGCGTCAGGAAAAAAATCAAATAATCTGTTTTTGTTTTTTTGCCAGGTAGAAATCAATAAGTCGCACTTAAATCTTCGATTTAGTTCAAGTCATTATGCGGTCGAATCTTGAATGCTATTGTTTCGATTTTACGTAGCTCAACATATATGGCGCTCGCGGTATGTTATAGAGTTTCCTAATGTTTGTACGACACACTTGATTCAAGTTCAAGTTTGTTTAATCTAGTTCCCAATTCAGATCATTTGAGCTGTAGCTGTGGGTTTCTCGAACACAAGTGTTCGAATCTGATGGAAATTTCCACGCGGTCATAACATTTTGAATAAGCGACATATTTTGTGGTAATTTCAAACTTCCCATCTGGATCAATTTTCTGTTCAACCGCGCCGAGGAAATTTGTTTGGTATGAAGTTGTTTGTGAATGGATCCAACCTCGTGCAAATATACGATTACATGGTTACAATCGAATGCTCTCCTAATTCAGAGATGATGAAACGCCACATGTTGTGCTCAAAATAGATAAGATACAGACATTTAAGTGTTCTACTCAAATCACTAGTGCATTACAATGGTTTTGAATTGGTTCTTCGGTTAGAGACGTCAAGTTTACTGGCGGATGTGTTTATTTGAGTGTATTATCAAGACGAATATCATTTTTTGTCGCCCTTTCGAAGTCACAGACGCTGGATACAGCTTTTAATTATTGATAACGTGCTGACGATTTTTTTTTTGCAATACAGCTGTGAAAGAACTCTATTGTCAAACAGCTGTTATGTCGTGGGGTAAATTGCCAACATATAAATCATAATATGATTTTCGGAGATTACATAAAAAACTTCACAAATCTTGAGGAAGTCTTTTGCGATGTGATAAATCTCAATACCGCCGAAGAGAGAGAGAAGATTTATTTTTTTATGAATTGAAGCAATTTTTTTTACCATGAATGCGAATGGAAATTTGCGGATTTTAAGATGAACTGACTAAATGTCGAGACAAATTATAGTTTAATAAATTCATCACTCGAACATGCAGACGTAATTAGTTCTATGTTGATTTAGTGTTCTGTTGTTGCAACAATGTAGTTAATTCATTTCTAACTTTTTGTAGAAGTTTTGAACTTACGAAACGACACAAGTGACAACAAATAAATATCCTCACAGATACTATGGATACTGCTCTGAGAAACTTGCATATCATTTCTCTTTTTGCCTTGAGGGCATACAAGAAAACTATGGAACTTAAAAGAGCATGGTTTTTTGGGACTGTGGTTGCTACAAAAATAAAACTCACCATATAAATTCTTTTAACCTGTAGTTTTGAAAGAGGCTAGAAGAATGTCTGTCCATTTTTCACAGAATTTACTTTTTCAAGGAGGAAAATGAATAATTTTCAGGCTCTTTTTGAGTCTTTTGAACTTTAGCCTTGAGGCTAGTGGCAATCTAGTCAATGGGATGAAAGGTTTCAGTTCTTTTTTTATTATTATCTTTCTGGAAGGGAGTAGGCTTATAAATGTATCACTGAATTTCAAGTATCTCAAAATCTGTCGCATTCTGTAATCTGGGTGGTTTAAGATTTGCCCCACCCAGGAAATATTAAATACTTAACTATGAAACAATAATAACATGATCTCAGATATCGTGCATTTTCAAGTCTGCTTGATGAAATAAACCTAGCAGTCATCCTTCGAGGGATTTTAGAGATGGACGTGAATTCTTGGTGTCTTCTTCATTAAAAAAACATGCAATTCTGCTAGTATTGAAATATTAAAGGCACCTTAATCAGGTCATGTTATACTTACATGGATGTTCTTAGAGAGAGAGAATAATTATGAGGCTATGAGGTAATGTTCTCATGAAGTAAAATAAAGTTTTGTCCATGTTTTATCGGCAAATTTTAAAGGCGTCCCTACAAATACCATCTAGCAGATGGGGACTTGATCATATATTAATTGATGCAGTGACTAATTGGTCACAGACATTTTTGTAAGGACTCTGAAGTGTTGATTTTATCTTAAAGTGCAAGTATGTAATTTGACATTTTTTCATGAATTTTTGTCAGAGCACCTATATTAACTAGCACATCAGACAGCCATATTTTAATAATAGATACTGGGCATGCCGTTGGAGCTTAATTCTCTTTCAAAGGTTAATGGAAAAATGAGCTTAAACTTAGCCTCAGAAGCAGCTTAAACGCAGATGCTGTCATTAAAACAAAAGAAGGATCCTATATGAAATTACTTTGTCCAGTTGAGATTGAAATGACATTTTCAATAACCATATTAACTGTAACCCTTTTTTTTTTTTTGCCAAAATAAACCCGCATTTTGAGTTCTTGCGTATTGTTTGTTTGTTGCACTGAGAAAGTGATTTGCTTTGACATGTGCCACATGAGAATGATTCCTATCTGTCATTACTGTTGCATGGCTTTTAAAGTGATGTCAATTAATTGCTTTAATCTTGTATCTGCATCCTTGAGGAAAATAACAAATGGTGCTTGATGCCAGATCTTTTCTTCTTTGCAGGAATTTGCTCTGCAATTCAATTAAGCATAAAGCCCACTGGCAAAATATTCTTAACAAAGACTGATTTACAGCTAAGATGTAAGTGTTACATTTATCCTTTGGGAACATATATTTGGACAAAAGATGGGAACGAGGTTGCCACAGATGCGCGAGTTACTATCAGTCGCAACAAACTGTTTATTAACAATGCAACTGTAGGAGACAGTGGTGAATACTCTTGTTTAGCAAGCACCCAGGATGGGTCAGATATCAGACGTGCAACATCTCCATTGTCAGTTACTGTAGTTGGTGAGTATTTGGTATACAATCTCTGAGCTGATACTGTATTTATTTATTATATATTGTAAATTTAGACAAGCTGGCCCAGTTCAGCTTTAAAGCTGGTTGAAGTAGGGGTCTGTGTAAACAATAACAAGGCCAGACCATAATGCGTGGGACTGTGTACCTTACTCTTTGCAAGAGGTGTATGAGTGTTTTTTATGTCTCCTGGTAACAAGTTCAAAGAAGATGCAGGAGACAAGCTTACGGTTTATCATCCCTATCCGAGAAAACCAGATTGTCTCACCATTTGCGGATGTCATAACAAAGGCAGCACTGTCTCCTCAGTTGTTTGAAGACCCTAAGTGTTGGTCCAGTCTGAGGCTTGAACCCTTGAACCCATGACCCCTTGACCTCATAACCTCATAACCTCATGACCTCCTGCACAGCAGTTTAGCACTCTACTCCATAAGCTAATCAAGGGCTGTTACATTTCTCTTCTTTGATAAGTTAACATATGTTTCTAAGATGCAGATTATTTTATGTTTGGGGTTATTTTATTGCTCTTTTTGACAAATCACTTTAATTCTCATCATGCGGTTCTACATTAGGAGCTTAAATGCATACTTCTGAACAAATTTTCAGGGAAGCTGAGGGTTGTTTGCCATGTACAGCTGCATTGGCAACATTTGCAAGGCTAACAATGGTATTTTATCTTGTTGGTAAATTAACTATCTGACATGAGTGTCTGGATGGTTGGTCTTGTAAGCTGTATATATAGATCTGGGTTGACTTATTGCGTCATTAGATATGCATCATATTGTGTTTCAGATATATGTTAGACGTTAAATACTTAATTCTCAAGGAACTTATCGTACAATTTCTCTTATTCAATAGATGGACAACATCCTCAATTTCAAATTCCTCCTCCAAAGGAGAGAACAGTTTTACCGGGTAGTGAAGCAGTCCTCCCTTGTAAAGCTATCGGCAGCCCAACTCCTGAAATAAAGTGGTATGCAGGGAGAAGTCGTAGCCCATTGCAAAGCTCTTCTAAGTACAGAATTCATGATAATGGGACACTGGTGATCACAAATGTTGACAAGCAAGATGAAGAAAAATACAAGTGTACAGCAACAAACTTGGTTGGGCAAATGACCACAGAAAGTGTTTTGAGACTTGCTTGTAAGTCAATGGCATATTATTTAATATATAAAAGCTTGTAAGTCAATGGCATATCTATTTATTGGCGTGGTTTATTCATACTTAAAAAAGAGACTAGTGTAAAGAATGTTTGAGGTTACTCCCAAGAAATCTCTCTTTCTTAGATTTCTGCTTAAAACTCTTTAAACTGCTCTAAATTGGCAAGGAGATGGTATAATTGTCATCACAGGGGAAGTGACCATCTTGATTTTTTGTGCGTTTATGTAATCAAATATGTTTGATTCCTGCTCTTTGGAGCTGTATGCATGAAAACCCAACCCAGGACAAAATAATTTTTTAAAAAAAATCAACTTTTGATATCAGGTAGAATTGTTATTCCATCTCAGTGTTAGGTTATTTGTGTTTCCAAAAAATTGTTTTTACAAGATTCCTGATCACTTTTTGCTCCAAACATTCCTTCATGATCCTTAGGGGTTAAGGTACTTTTTCTCTAGTTTCTAATAATATACATGAAAAAAAATTACTCAGTTCTGATTGGTTAAGATAAATGCAGTTTTCAGACAATTTAGTGCAGAAGAGAGTTAATTCAGTGCAAAGAAAGTAACAAATCAGACATTCTGGTTGGTCAATAATCAAAGAAACTCATGGATAACCAATCAAATGTGAGCCTTGGATGTCACAACAAAATTTAAAAATTTGTGAGCGAAACAATGGCCGGTGTTTTAGGTAGGTTTTCTTTCGCCAATGCAACTGAAACGGCTCAAACAATGAAAATACTGTAAAAAACACTGCTTTTTGGTTGTTGGTTTGGAAAAAGTGGTGTTTAGAGAAGGGAATTGCTAAGGAAATTGAAAATTACGAACCGACCCAGCTTAACACTTTGCTCAAGCAATCCAATGCCAAATTAAAAACAAGCATGGTTAAACCTCAGAAACAACAATTCCATTTCATCAAAAGTGATTCAGACATAGACTGAACAATTCCTTGAACTGTTTAGCCAGACTTTGAATTTTTTTGCGGCCTAAAGATGTGAACATATCATTGCATATTATTGCTTTGATCATGTGTGGTTGTTTTGACCGAATGCATGGTTTGAATAAATTATTTTTGCACTTAATGCATGCGCTTTTCTTATGCTTAAGCCATCTTGTATTTTTTCATGTTTATTATTAACACATAATCACATGATTTTTCTCGTGAAATTTGGAATAAATAAGCACTTAGTAATTTTTTCAAAGACCACAAATTGCACTTGCCCTATGGGCTCTTACAATTTTGTTAGTCTTTAAAAAAATTAACTTGTGCTTATTTATTCCAAATTGCACTCAAAATCATGTGATTACCTATACAAATCAGTCTATTTTTTATTAATGTTTTTGTTGTAGTAAAAGAAAGAAATTTTTTTTCTCTGCAGACTTGAATGATGTTACCCTGGACAGTACCAAAGTATATGTCTTATTCAATGACCCACTAGAAATAACGTGTGACCCACCTGAAGCAAGGCCAGCCGCATCAGTAACATGGCTCAAGGCAACTGGAGAGACCCCGCCTAAAAGATTTGATATAAAAGGTTGTTGTACTCTTCGGAACAATAGAACAAAGCTTAATGATGCTGGAATTTACACTTGCACAGCAAAAAACATGGCTGGAAACAAATCAGAGACTGTTGAAATTACAGTTGTTGGTGAGTATTTATTGGCACTGGCTGTGATGCGGTACATGTTCACAATGTGTGGTTATCCTCTATGTACAATTGTTTGTTTGAAGTGAAACCTTGACTATGGATTGTTTGTTGGACTTTTTTCCCAGTTCTTCCTTGTTACTAGATGAAACCCTGATGGTAGAAATGGGACAGAAGCTATGGTACCATGAGGCAAAGGGTTGCAGAATTAGGGATATATAACTGATCCTCTGTTGCTCTTTAACCCTTAAGGGGTGGGCGCTTATGTTGAGCTGGGCACTTATTAACTTCGGGTAATTAAATAAATATGGTAATTCCTGGGTAGTTCCTTGGCATTTTGTCATATTAAAAGGTGGAAGGTGTAGTTTGTAATTGAAACCTGATAAGTTATATTATTTTGTATTTAGAGCAACCAAAGATTGCTTCGAAACCCAAAGACCTATCTATTAAGGAAGATGAAAAAGCTATTCTTGACTGCAATGCTAAAACCAGACCAACCCCCAACATATCCTGGTACAAAGATGGCAAATCTCTCAAGGTTGACAAGAAGCGGATATTTAAATATCTAAATGGAACACTAGTCATAAACAAAGTTATCCCAGAAGATTCAGGAAAATACCAATGTTCAGCGGATGTAGCATCTTGGTCAGACAGTGCGGAGGCTACTGTTGATGTATATGGTAAGTAAGGTCATGTTTTGACTGATGATTAGATGGTCATTTACATATCGTTCACATATACATGTAACTTATCAGCCACTAGATGAACGAGCAACAAGACAAAATGGATAGAAACAGGGTAGATGCTAATTTGGTCAATTTTCCTTCTTTTCAGCAAAAGTAAAGCTGCGAGGTATCCATACCAACCAAGTGAATGCCAACCTACACAAACCTCAAAAGATCCGATGTGACTTTGATGGACACCAACCCATTACAGTTACCTGGAAAAAAGAAGGAGGTGTAAATATTGATCCAAAACGAGTGAGACAAGAAGAAAGCATGTTGATTTTTGAACAAATTGAGAAAGCAGATGAGGGCCATTACTGGTGTAAGGGTGAAAATTCCTTCAGCAGTGCGGAGAGCTATGTTAACATTTCTGTTTATGGTAAGATCATAATCAAATTATTATGGGCAAGTGGAATTAAAATTTTAACAATTTTACTGAAGTGATAGTGCATTCACTGTTATGCACATCCTCGTTATTTTTGTCACGGCTGAAATATAGTGATTTTTCAACAGTGTATCCCACGTTTGTCCTGCGGCCGAAGAACACGACGGCTTATGTAGACGATCATTTGTGGCTCCATTGTAACGCATCAGGTGATCCTAAACCCAAGATCAGTTGGAGCAAAGAAGCACAAGGAGGGGACAAGCTGGATAGAGAGCGTTTCATTCTGTTCCCTAATGGAACTCTTCACATCAAGAAGGTGCAATTCGCTGATGAGGGCAGGTACTATTGCATCGCCGCAAACCATGCTGAAATGAAACAGAGCAAATTCAGTCTTAAAGTACAAGGTAAGTTCACTTCTGTTGTATGTCACAGCGTTTTATTTTCTTTTGCTAACCTGACACCTCAAGCTTTGCCCTCTTTTCTCTGTAGGTTTTTTTTTTTTGGAGGGGAGGAGGGGGTTGGGATTGTTAAAGTGGCTGGTGATGTTAATCTTTGCTCAGCTTGGTCGTTTTTAAAACTTTGGTTTTTGTTTTATTACATTCAGTTGAAAGCTGTTCTAATAAAAGTCACTAATCCGTGATTTTTTTTATCATTACATTGGACAGCTCATCCCGTCGCCAAAGTTAACAAATCGACAGCCTCAATGGCTCGCACAATAGGAATTGCAGTCGGGTGTGCTGCAGCTTACATTGTTCTGGTGGTGGGTTTGATGATCTACTGTAAAGGGCGGCGGGCCAGGCAAAACAGGAAAGAAGAGGTCTTACCTCCAGAATGTGAAAACTGTAAGTGTTGTAGGTTCTTGAATCAACAACAGAAGCATTCTTGCTTCATCTATTTGACGAAGCTTTTATGATAACAAAACGAGCCTGCTAAAGACATCCAGTTAGTTACTAGGGTGATAAAATTAACCGGTTTTAGCCAGAGCACGTTGATCAGAAAGACCCTTCACGTTGGTGCCTGACTTTCTGTAATGCAGTAATAAAGAATGAAAACACTGTTTTGTGCAGTTAACAAAGTTTTCTTGAATAATTTTGAAGTCGCTTTATGTTTGCTTTCAATTGAACTTTTACAACCTGACCTGTTTTCTTTGTTACTTTTGGTCTCACAAGCCACCTAATCCATTGCTGCCAGAGTTTATGCGGGTATCTTTGACATGAAGCGACTCTAGTATAGTTTCTCCTTCTGGACGGGTTGTAAATATCCTGGTTAAGACTCGAACTTAGATCTCTCGCTTAGGATTCTAGCGCGGTATTCATAAGGCCCTACACTCGCACAACTTTGACCTCTTTTGAATTATCAACAGTGAACGTCAATGGTGACGTCGAACATAAAGATGGAGAGGGTAACGACATGACAATGAACCCCATTTACAGATCACACCCTGGCTACGACAAAATGGAGTTTCCTCGACACGATCTGGAGGCCATCAGGAGCCTGGGTAACGGTGCTTATGGAAGAGCATTCTTGGCGCGAGCTAGCGGAATCCGCGACGGTGAGAAGGAAACCATGGTGGTGGTGAAGGCATTGGTGAGTAATGATGACCAAGTGCGCGAGGATTTTAACAAGGAAATGGAAGCGCTCTGTGGTCTGCAGCACGATAATGTAGTCACTCTGCTCGGTGTGTGTAAGGACGAAGAACCATTTTACATGATCTTCGAATCGTTAGAAAAGGTACGTCTTAACTTAAGGTTTTTCGAGTTTTAGATGTGAGTATACAGTCAAATCACCACAATTATTAAACCCTGTAACTCTCAGGATCTGATTGTATATTCTCCATTTAGCTGCCACATATTTCGCCTTGTAAATTAGTAGTCTGAATTTGGTATTTGATTAAGATGGCAACGTCTATCTAATAAGTTTAAGTATATTCTCATTTCCTGTTTGCTGGATTTTGTGTGGATATTATAGGGAGAAGTTACATGTTTATCACAACCCAGGGTTAAAGAGTCAATACTACAGATGTAATAGGTGATTTCTCATAACAGTATGAATACATTTTCGAGCAAACAAAAAATGGAAATGAAAGAAAAAATATAACTAGGGGATTCTAAATTATTTAAATGATTATCTTGAACTGAAATTACTACTAGCGTGCGGGAAGTTGCGGTTGAACGGACGGTTAAACAAACTCTCTAAGAGTTAAGCTATTACAATAGTTCCCTAGAGATCAGAGCACTGTTTTTCCAAAATACAAGTCAACGTCTGAAATAGAAGTGGTCTTATACGAAGCGAGAGGAGGCGGGAAGGAATGGGAATCATTCAGGAAGTTGGATTGTTGATGAAGGAAGAGATACGTGCTTATTGGCTTATTCAGTTGACAAAAAAAAAAAGTGTCAATGATGTTTAATCAGATTGCCAACGGGAAGGGCAAGATTGCTATTGCTGTTGCGCTGTATCTATTAGCCGTGTTTTTGATGTCGCAATCAGTTTGGAGATGATAGGAATCTCGGATTAACTGTTAAACAAAGAGGTGGCTAAGATTAGAAAGGTATAATTTCAACTTAACCGCAAGAGATAAATGGATCAAAGGCGGTGAACGGTGATAGATAACATGAGACTAAATTTCTAATGGTTAACCAGAAAACCCTGGCCGTAATATTCTCACCAATTTTTGGCCAATGTAAAATATTAGAAATGATCGTGAAATACGATCATACGATCATGAAATGATCGTGAAATACGATCATACGATTCAAATCTAAGAAAGTTGTTAATTTTTCTACCTCAATGTTAATCCTATAACATTTTGCAAGTGACGCTGCGTCGTTGGGTTATGGAAAGACAGTTTAGTTTTATCAACTGAATTGATAAGCGTAAATTAGCCATCAGAAAGAGTTTCTTAAGATAGCATTTCGAGCGTTATCCCTTAGTCGTAGCGAATGACAAAGTCTCAACACTCGAAACGTCAGTTGTAGGCGGAATTGACATGCGCTCTCTTTGTTATCGCTGATAGAACGCTAAATACTTTGTTTCTTAACAAAAGGAAAAGAAAAGCCGAACAGAAATGTGACTCCTAACTGTTTAAGCTGGGGGTAAATCGATTCCCCTGCTTTTTATGCAAAAAAAAGAAACTCGAATCCGATGAACTAAGATCACTATCTTAAATAACTTGCCATGCCATTTAAGTCTAACCGCAGTGACTGCGGTTAGACTTTAATTTCCGGGCATGATAGAGGCTTAGAAATTAGCATTAAGGATTAGTTAGCAACGACCGACTGTAATGGATGACGCCGCTGATTTCATATTTGAAAATCCATGGAAGAAAATTTACATCAGGTTACAAAAGCAGGTTAATTTTTTTTACGATTGCATTGTTTACTTGTCACCTCATTTGTGGATTAATGGATTTTTTCGGCCAAGTTTCCATGTGGTCTCATCTGGACACCCTACTTCCAATAATGGAATTGTGTTTGAGTAGAGTTCCAAAGTGAGTCCTGTCCGAAGAAGGGTAACACAAATCTTGTCGAGTTATCATAAACCTGCAGCTTAGTGACAACTCTTTCCTACCGGTGGTGATTTTCTCGCAAATTAACAGGATATTGCAGACCCAGAAGGGGGCAATTATCATAAAACATATATTTAGGTAGGGGTTTAACTTGGGTGTGCCGTGAACTAATCGGCTTTCTGGTGTTAAATCGCCCTCATGTTGGATGTCCGCGGCTTAAAAAAATAATCTTATGTGCTACATTGATGGCGAAATTATATTTTTGCGCGATCTGTCAGAAGGCCTCCTAAGTTTGTTTGAGTCGAAGGTCACGAAAAAAAACGAAGGAAAAGAAATCATTTTTTACTAAGTATTTCAATTGACTAACGAGATAAAAAGCGTGCGTTGGTGTTTCTGAGAAAATTAGACACGGATTAACTGGAAAGACAATTGGATGCTTCTTTCATGTCGCAATAAATTGTCGCACTGTTAAATAGTTTATTTGCAAGAAACTTTAAAAGCGTTTGTTTTACTCCACTTTTTGCTTTGATAGTTCCTAAACCTTTTAAACGATTCCTTATAAACAAAATTTGTTATCGGGATAACATTGCAAATGTTAAAGAGCGAAAGAGAGGTCTTAATTGATTTATTTGTATTTAAGTTTGAAAATAACTTGCGCGGGATTTAAAACCGTTCCTCGATCTCTAATCCTTATCTTCTCCTTTGGCGCTTTTACTTCATTGAATGACCGAGACAAAATTCCTCCTTACATTAAAATATTGAGCTGACAGGTGGTGTGAATGAAGAAAAATGTTAATTTGGGGATTGTTAGTTGATCCAATACCAAATTCTCAGAAGTAAATTCATAAGAATTTTATAACAGACTTTAAGGAGAACTACTAATGAGACCTTTGAAGTGAATTGGTGAATGATGGAACTATAACCTACTAGTTAACATTTGAGGCTTGGTTTTTGTCGCAATAAGCTAAATTGTGGTTTGTTTTTGTAACTTGTGTTGTGATTGGTTGGCGTGCAGAACCCGCGTAAACTCTTCACATTTTTCAAGCGAGCAGGAGCACGTGCTTGACCTGCCATTCTTGCTTGCCTCGTGCCTCCGTGCGCTCGCCTGTTCTGTAGGCTTGTTATATTATGCGTTAATTGTTTAATGGTTCGCCGAATATCCAATCATATTATTAGAGAATGGTGGGGAAATTATAGTTTATGGAATTTTTTCCCTCTTCTTTTTTAGGGCGACTTAAAGCAGTACCTTCTGTCTTGCTATGATAACGGCCGAAGTACGTTGAATTCTAATCAGAAACTCGCCATTTGTGGACAACTGGCGACGGGAATGAACTATCTAAGCTCGCAACACTTCGTCCACAAGGATCTTGCTGCAAGGAATTGTATGGTTGGTCGCGATGTGCAGATCAAGATAGGCTTTTTGAGTTTCAGTTACGATCTCTACAACAAGGAGTATTACCGCTTCAACAACGTACAGATACCGTTAAGGTGGATGCCTCCAGAGGCCATTTTCGACGATGATTTCTCCGAGAAGAGCGACGTTTGGTCGTTTGGAGTGTTGGTTTGGGAGATTTACACTCTTGGTCAGCTGCCGTATCACGATCGGTCGAACGAGGAGGTCCTGAAATGCGTTAAGGATGATCTGCGTCTGCCAAAGCCTGATAACTGCCCGGATACGGTTCTCGAGGTTCTGGAGAAATGTTGGGAAGGGAATCCGCTGGCTCGCCCGTCCTTTGCGGAACTTATGGATGACGTAGCGGGGATTAGCGTGGATAGTCACGTTTGATTTCATGGCGTAACCAACCCGCTTGAATTCTGTAATGAAGTTAGACTCCCTGAACCGTGAACCACTTCCATACTAGCCAGTGGTTTCGTGATTTTTCAACCAAGGTGATTACAAAGTGCCGAATAGAACTAACTTATTTCTTGCTGACAGTGTAATTTCAAATTAGTGGCACTTGGAGAGATTTTGAACTGAAGGCTTATGAATGATGCTTTCTAGATTGCTGGACGTTGTTGTTTTTTTTTTTTTCACGATTATGGAATGCAATTATTTTTTTAGGCCAGAATCTCGTGAAGGGATTGTATTTTTGCGCACAAGTTTCTGCTAAAGATCAGGGAGTTAAATTTATTTCAATTGCTTTGAAATCCATACCGACGTGGTATCAGCTACGACTGATGGTGAATCTATTTTAACCGATCGATACAAAAGCCTTTACAAAGGAATCTGGACAGAAAAAAGCAAAATTGAACTTGAAAGTACAAGCGATTTGTTGGCCATCCTTTTTCCTCGCAACTGATTGCCAAGAAGGCAGAACTTGAAAGAGTTTAGAAGGATTTCGTAATCTCCTTGGACTTGTACGCGTGTGCAGGTAAATTACATAGACCAGTCCAGATCGAGATAACATAAATTCGGTGGAAAATCTCTGTAGCAGTGAACACCGCAAAAAGTCTAGGTTTATGATTTAGAAACCGGATTACTGGAATATTTTTTGCTCTGAACTAGTTTAAGTTTGGCGTGGTGGGCATAAAATTAATATTTTTTTTTTAATCACGATAGCTTGCGTAGCCAACCAGAACGTGAAGATAAACTTGCCAAATAACTAAAACAACGCGCGCGTTATTTTTATCAGCCTTGAATGCTTCGATAAAGGTATTTTTCTGTTTTATTGTTACAGATATTATTGTATTTTTTAAACTTGAATTTGTACAAGGGGTCAAGATAAATTAGCTTAGATTTAATTCATTTTGATGGGATGTGATGTACTAATTACTGTTATTGTGCTAGTAAATAAATGTCAGATTCGTGTTGTCTTACGTCATAAACCTTGTGACTGAAGCAGAAACGAAGGTGATTTTTAGGTAGACCCAGGTTTTTGAAGGTGAATTAGAGGTTATGTTTAGGTACACGGTTGCCTATAGTAAATTGTTTGCTTCCACTAAATAATCGCGCCATAAATGTAAAAACGTGTTAATGGGTTCGGTAGCTTTCTTGGAGAAATTTTCCAGTCATTTAAGTTAATAGCATTAGTCGAAAGGTTAAAAAAAAATGTTAGATTTAAAAGTAATTTTATAAACTTGAATTCCAGTTAAGCAGGGAAACCCTTATTTTATTATACATTTTGTTTTTCTTGGTCGTAAACCTTAGTGTTAGATTTGAAGATGTTTATGATAAATGCCAGTCTCTTGACAACTTCGTACCCAGCCCTTCCCCGCTCATCAACAGTCAAGTGTTAATGTTGTGCTAGGGGAGGAGTAGGTGTGCAATTGCCCAGATACTGACATTGATATGATTTTTTACGACGTCAAGAATTACAAGGTTATTTTTTTATTTGTAACCATTGGAATTCTCTGTTTGAAGGAGTTCCTAGATCCAGGCTACTTTTGAAGGTGCTGCGGAAATTATTTATGTAAGCTGACTGCTTTTTGTGTGAATTGTAGAGCGTACTAGTCGCTTTTTTTATTGAGTGGTAGTAGAGGGGCTGCGTGCTTGCTTCTAAGGTGTATTGGTAGAGTAGATTATAGTTCAATTTGTAAAGTTAAAGTAATAATTTTTTTTGTGCGTTTTGCGATTATAGTTTTAGAATCAGAAACAATGTAACTTAGCAATTGTATTTAGACCTAAACAGATTACTCTATGATACATTATAGAACTGATATCGTGTTGAGAAATTTGTTATTTTCAATTGAGACTTTCACCTGAAAAATGTACATATTCTTAGTAATTTGCAGATTTTTTTTCGGTTTAACAATCCGTGTGATCTTAGCTACCTGCAATTCAATTTAAAAAACAAATAAAATTGTAGATTTTATTTGACATAATCATTAGGTTGGTTGCCATTGCTGTTTGTGACTCGTTGAAGTTTACGATCTCTGCTCGGTTCTCATTCTGAGAAACTGTGACAGTGCGGAGTACTAGATGTGGGGTTAGGGAAAGAAGAACCAAAATTCGATGCTCGTCTGACCTGCACAAAATTGAGTTACAAGTTTTGGAACTGAGGTTAAAAAAAAAAGCGCGCAGAAATTTTGGGTATGGACTGCGTTTTTGACGGCGCGAATGTGACTGAATGAATGACTAAGACTTCTGTCAACTATTCAGAGAGCAACCGAGATCTGAGAAGGAAAATGAAACACTCTGTATTCGTTCCCGGTCCCGGCATTTCTACTTTTCTCGCTGTCGATCGATTTCACAGACCTGGCGTCGTGCGGATGGAAGGACGGACGGACTAATGTTGAACGCTCGGTTCACGAGTGAGTGGTTAGTCGGTTTGTTATTGGTTAGGTGTGTCACGTTAGGCTGTGAGCTGGCACTCGATGGGTATGCATCGCGAGAGTAAGCCTCTCGCGAAGGCCGCGAGGTCCTGGTGAGAACCAAGAGTTGATATTCTCTTGTAAGGAACTATTCGCATGCTAGGGTGCGTTTTGTTGCTTTATTGATCGAGCTACAGCAATGATCAACACAGATTCACTGATCGACCCACTGCTCCACTGATCAAGGCTTTATTTCTTGCCTGTTTTATTATTGTGCTTGCCGAATAAAGTGAATTTTTCAAAATCTAATGTGCGTGTTTACCTAATAAAGTTTTTAAACATCCACTGGTTCAACGACATTACTGTTCATCAAGAGAAAATTACAGAATTATTTTCTCCTCCCTTCACCCTATTTCCTTTTTCTCCCTTTTTACTTAAAGTCAATTTCCGCAAAATTGAATGCAAATTCCGGTCGGTGGGTTTCAGTACAAAACAATGCATCTAACCCTTCCACCCCTTAGACTGACCAGCATCTAATTTCTCCTTACAATATCATCCCTGAAACACACATTAAGGTCATGAGGGTAAAGGAAATGATTACCTACTAAAGCAACTCTTAATTGTTAAACAGATTCTTCTTGTCAGCATCTTAGGAGATGCATAGAGAAAAGTCTGGCGAAAATGCATACTGATGTATTTACATACAACAATTTTAGCTCTTGGATAATACAAGTGAAGCCACAACCTGCGCGCTTTCGGCTCCTTGCTAGAATGAGATCGTTATAAAAGATGCAACACTTGCAATGCAAAAAACAAACAAACGAAAAAACAAAATGAAAGTGTTTGATGATGCGCATGTCATAGTTATAATGTATATATTATTGCCAGCGCGAAGATCATCACAAGAAAACGACCACCAAAATCCTTGTGCCCAGCTGTATAACGTTTGGGGATTTCTGTTAAAGAAAATAAGAGATATAAAAGAAAACTGTTTTGAGTCTACTGAAGATATCTGTCAAAATGGTCACCATTCCACCCGAGTGAGCGCGGCCGAGTTTCATTTTGTGACCCACGTGACACAGCTCATTTAAGTTTCCAAACTCTAGTCTCAAATTTCTCATCTCCCAAGTTGTAACTTGCGTTCTCCGGCTACGCAGCGGATCTTAGGGAAGTGACGATTAGTGAAGAATGGAAAACAAGGCCCTGGCTTTTTGCCGATTGTCTTATTGGAATGTTTACATTGCATACGAAAATAAAAAAGAAATGCACCAATGGAACTCGGCGGTCAGTTTGTTAAAAAAAATTTGATCCTCTCGTTTCCTATGTCCGCAATATTATCATTGATTTTCAACTTAACACTTCTTTGCAATCACCCAACGGCTTCCTTTGGGATAATTTCTTATATGGCTATCAACACCCCACATAATTTGGATAACAATTTAATAATTATCTCATTGATCACAATTACTTTTAAATAAAAAAAATGGCCTAAACGTAACCTTTACGGGGTCTTACCTCTCACAAAAAGATATCGCGTACCGTATTTCTGTTTTTTGTTGGCGCTCGTCATACAGAAATATTTCCCTTGATCACCAAGCTGAACGTTGGTTATGTGCAGCGAGCCGTTTGCAACAGTATGGAACCTTTTCTCGTCGAGCATTTTGCTCCCTTGTCCTTTTTTAAACCACGCGATCGTGATGCGCGGAGGATCTGCTTGGGCTGCGCAATGCAACCAAGCTGAGTCACCCTCAGAAACTGTTACGTTGCTTGGCATATACAGCTTAGAACCTGTGGAAAGAAATTGCTATATATTTTTTTCTGTCCAAACTACTCTAGTGGCTTTGAACGCCATGATGCTGAACACATGTCACCCTAGTTTACGATCAGGCTCGTCAGTGAGTTGTCTGTAACTCAGTTGAAGAGACTCCACCCGGTAATAGGGAAGATGCCATGTTTTGTACCAGTTTCAGAGCCAATTTCAGTTTAGGGCTTTGAGCTACAGTCAGCATGTAGCTTACGAGGTGATACTTTTGTTTTAAGGGCATGGCGTCGATGAAAAAAGAAAAGCTAGCTTGTCATCGATCATCCTTTATCCTCAATTATACATTTTGGTCCCAAGATGTGTGCATATTTGAAAATGAGGGTTTAAATTGGGTATAATGTTCATAAGAACCACGGGATTGTATCAACCAACGAATTCGTCCTAAACCTCCGAACTAATAACAAAAACAGCGAAATAACCAGTTAAGAGGACATAATCGAACTGTTACAACGAGCGACTTGTGTGCGTGCTCTGAGATGTTTTAAGGTTAAAATTAATCGTGCCATCTACTTACTATACACGAGCAAATCAATGAAAGTTCTAAGCGATTTGAAACCATTTGATCCATTGCAGTAATACCGGCCAGCGTCCGAAAGCCCCACGTTATGTATATTCAGTGAAGAGCCATAGGACTCCATTCTTTCAGGCAGCTTCTTCATGTCTGTCCTGCTCCAGGTGATGTTCACCTTTGGCTCACTCTCGAACTCACACAGCAGTGTTATCGTCATTCCCACAAACGCTTTGGTAACATTTTTATGAGTGGCCTTTATTCTGATTGTGTCAGTTTCTGAATGAAGAAGAGGAAAGACTCCGAATTACAAGTCAACTCCTACGAAGAGCTAACGCTCGAAACGTCAGCTTTGAAACTCCTTACGATGGCCAATTTACGTTATCAACTCAGTTGGTAACACCAAATTACCCTGTTTATAATAATCAGGCTGGAGAGGATTATATTTTTACTTAGCTCAGTCTAGAAATAGAAAGATGTAAGAGTATAACATAACGAATTAAGACGACCTTTGACGATGCATAACTTAACGTAACGTTCCTTCAGTGGCGGCAGGGGGAGGTGCATTTTACTTAAAAAGATGGAGATATTTGGAATTTATCAGAAAATGTTTAGTATAAATAGAAGGCTTTTGGGGAATTTAGATTAAAAAAAAATGATCGTAAAATTGGCAGCTTTATTTCGACTCGTTTCCTTACCACAGAACAAATTCATTTCCTGTCAAAATCATAATATATTTCGACCAACAAGCAATACAGTAACGAAACCGTGTTCCGCCATAAGAAACAAGTTGAATGAGTTGGGGCGAACTGATGCAAGTGGGGGCGAAATCGTTTTACATTAGGGGAGCGAAGTTGTAAAGGTGATTGGGGGCGAACTTAATTGCAATAGGGCGAAACCTCCAATTACCTCTGACTTAATGCGACGTAGTTTAAATGTAACATGATGTTTCGTATCATACCCTCCTCTTCATTAACGGTGTGCTGTACCTGACATACGTACCATAAACGGTCAGCCACACTCCGGTTTCTCTATCTTGAGAAGGATCATCACGGGCCGAGGTACAATAGTATCGTCCTTGATCACCCAATCGTACACCATCTACTTCCAGGTTACCATTTTTCTTTGAACTTACTCGGCCATCATTCCCTAAGTAAACTCTTTTTTATCCGTCCAGAATGATTCTGTTTTGGGTGTACCTAGGGCCTTGCAAGGCGCAACGAGATTGCCCCCATCAACGGCCTTGATATCTTCAGCCACCGAAATTTTCACTGCACGTAGAGAATAGTTCAAATTGGTGTAAAAGTTAAAAAAGAAAAAAAAACACGCACATAAAGCACATGACGTGGTGGATAGAATGGAGCAACTCTGTTCTAAGTCATCTAAATAGAAAGTTTTTTGGGTGCATAAGCCCTTTTAAAAAAGATTGAGGAGTATTTAGTATTTCGAACAAGTGGCTGTGCGACCTCTCCCCTCTTCTTCTCCTGAAGTCAGAGAACTTAATTAGCGACCAGTCATTTTTCCTGCCAATGCGGTGGGAAAGATAAAAATATTACAGAGCTTTATGGGGGAGGGAGGAGAGAAATCAGGTAAATTCTATTGCTCAGTACAATATAAGGGCTAGTATAAAATTTCTGATTCTGCCTAGCTAAACTGACTCATAGTAAATATAGTATTATTACAATATGAACTTATAAGAACCTATCACATCACTAAAGCCGCTTTTCTGCGTTTTCTACTCTCTCTCAACGGAGAAGAATGAAACACTCTACTCTCTCTCCCTCTGTCTCTCATCCTCTCTCTTTCTCCTCTTTTTCTCTTTCACCTCAGGGCCTCAATTGTTAATACAACAATTTCAGGGTACAATCACTTCTTACATGGAGCGAACTGAAGACTTGAAGGTCATACCTACCGGGGGTTGAGAGATCGACGTTTATATGGGCGTGCCCCATAACATTTCTAGCCATACAAACGAATTCAAACGCCATTTCTGCAGTGTAATTCATCATTTCCAAGGACCCGTCGCCATAGACCCTGAAATCGCTGTCATTTTTCGCTGTTAAAACTCGTGGACCATACTTGTCGCCCATGTAGTACCATGTTATTTTTGGACGGGGGATTCCTGTTGCTCGGCAAGGAAACTTTAACTTCTGTCCTTTAGGTGCAAGCTTCATAAATCCACCTTTATGAAAAATGATCTTTGGTGCAGTTCCCACTAAAAAGGAAGAGAAACAAATCGAGATTTTCAGTTAGTATCACTGAAACTCTTAAAATTGGCGACCTCGTTTTTATCCTTGTGCTTATAAATCAGTCTTACCAAGTCTCGGCACCGAGTGAAACCTGCCATGGCAAATCTGTGCAATAATTTCAGTTAGACTTTTTAAGGTGTTACCGCTTCTTTTATAAATCATTTGCTATCTATCTTGCGAATTTCTTTTCATCTGCTCGGAGCCTTCAGTTTTATCTCTTGAATGATCTTTAAATTGCTTGACGGTTTATTTGACGGTGACGGTAAAAAAAAGTATCTTTTTTGACGCTTGACGATAAACTTTTAGGCCCTTAAAAGAAGCTCGTGTGAAAAACTTGATTCGGGGCTACAAGTGGCCCTCATTTTTTGCCGGAAACAACGAGGCCTTCAGCAAGTGAGCCGAGAAAGGTCTGCAGGGGGTCTGGCACTGCCTTATCATTGGTGCCAGATCCCTAGCAAACCTCTCCCTAACTGAGCAAAGAAACGCGCTTCCAGCACCGCTAATAATAAGTGTATGCCTTCTCTCAGGCTATGATAACTCAAGGAGTAGATACAAATTGAAAACTCTTGGCAGTTAAAGTATAACGGTAACAAAGATGCATTTCACTTCCACATTTAAGTCTTTTCGGCTCATACCCCAGAACTCGAGTTTTCTTGACCAGGACGGATGGAACCCGTACACTGTCACCCTACAAGTGTAATTGCCACTATCAGCATACGTTGCATTGTTGAGGATCAATCTTTTGCCGTCCAAAGTTATCATTTTCTTTTTTGGTTGGACTCTAACACCGTTCCTGAACCATCTTATCCTCTTTGTGGCAGAACTTTTACACTCACAATCCAACGTGAGGTTTATTCCTACGGGATACTTTTTTCCCCGGTAGGGTTTGATGTTTATTGACGCTTTATTGCACTTGCCTAGAGTTGAGAAGCAAAAAATAAAGAATATGAATAATTTGGCATCATCTGACCATTACTTCGGAAGACACACACTGGCCTATGGTCGAGAGGTCTGGGTTCGAGAACTAGTCAGGTTACTTTGTTGTGTTCTTGGGCAAAACACTTTCCTCTCACAGTGCCTCTCCCCCACCCAGGAGTATATATGGGTACTAACAAATTATCGGAGAAGCTTAATGAAATGCTAGGGGCGACTTTGCGATGGACTGGCATCCCTTCTAGGGGAGAGTGGTAACACTCCTAGTTGCTTCATGCTACATGGAAATCGGAATGAGCTCCGGCTGAGTGGGCCATTAAGCACGAATACAAACTCCATCTTTTAGGCCCACTCTTCACACGAGGTGTTGCGGAGAAGCTAGTGGAAAAAAGCTTGATGCGAAATATATATATATATATATATATATATATTATATTTATTCGTGTTCACAATGATATTCTTTCTGCCATTGATAATCGTCGAATCGTAATTTTACTATATAGATACCGCTTTCAGATATCTTCAAGTTTACGTTATAATAAGGTGCAAAAGGCGAGGAACATTTTTGCTTTAAGGAATTTTATTTGTAAATTGGTCTATTCTTATCTCAATAATTGTTGTGATTAGCTTTTTTCTTCATTAATTGTGAATTACTAGGAATAGCCTTATAGAGGAGTAAATAAACCAATGTACCGTACTATAATAAGATTTTCGTTATGTGTGTGTGTGTGTTTTCAAATAAGGCGATCATAGACGACTAGAAAACACGTGAAAGTTATATCGGCATCAAATGAGCTTAAAGTTGCGTAAGAAACAAAATCATTTGTCTTACCTTCGACGTTTAGTAGGACGTATCGATTTTGCTTTTGAATTTCTCGTCCCTTTCTTGTTTCAATACATTGATAGACTCCAGTATGATATAATTTTGTCTTCAGTATTTTCAACGTATTATTTTCTCTTATCATCCTTGGGTCGTTCATAAGCGCAATGTTTAACTCATTCTGATACCATTCGTAGGTTGCACCTCTGCTTGACCTACTGTTGCAGTTCAATGTCACACGGTCTCCAAGCTTTACTGAACGCGAGGGTTGGTAAGGAAATAGTAGAATTTCTCGTGGCTGTGATTCTTTAAGAAAGAAAACTGAAAAGCAAATAGAGAAGAACTTGCAATGTTCCTTCATGCACGTGTCACGGTGTTAGAGAGGCAGTAAAGTAATCTCGTACCCAGATCCTACCGTGTAACTAATGCTGACAACCGCTTGTCCGTGAAAGGTCTCGGTATGAGACTAGGGGTAGAGAAGGGAGAGGCTGGGCGAGAGAAGGAGAGAGAGAGTGGAGAGGTGAAATTTGAGAGAGAGCAGAGTCTTGGCCAAAGTCGTCGTATCATACTTAAAGGAAAAGAAGTTTTTCTCTATTTCGGTGCAATGATGAGAAATTGGGACAAATCTTAGATAGCGAGACCTTCCAAATTAAGTACGGCTGCGAAGTACACTCACGAGAGGCCCGTTGACAAGAAAGGCTATATAAAAGCGTTCCTCGTTCTTTAAGGTCGGGAAAAGCTGAAAGGGTCATGTGTGACAAGAGATAGCGAAAGATGATTCAATTAAACTTGGATTGCTTCATATGAAATTTTTGGACGGCTGTCTTCTTGAAAAGTTTCATGCCAAAAGCTGTTCAAAAAGAGGCTTCTTCAGGATTATTTCGTTTTAAAATCTTACAAAGGATCTTCTCTGCTTCTAGAAGGTATTGTTACAAGTTATGAGGTCGTCAAGGTGTCATCATGCCACATTTCAAGAAGGGATTTGGACTAACACTCAGGAATAATTCTAATTCTCTCTATTTTTGATAAAATGAAATAGCTGCTGTTTTTTTCTCTTTTGTCTACCGAACGTGTATTCCATGAAACTGAATCTTCCTTGATCAAATTGTGAACAAGCGTTTGATCAGTCTTCGAGGCGACAGACGCAAGGTTTTCTTTTCTACTGGGTGTTTAAAGAAATATAATTATAATTTGATTGGATTAAGGCAGTTTGAGTTATTAGATTTGGCATATGACCTGTAAAAACTATTTTGTTAACGTTAAGCTTTTAACTGCACTTGAAATAAGCCATGCGTTTCTGTTCCTTGTCTTGCATTTCAAGATGGAATGTTTTCTTTCACTTTTCTTTCCTTGTAGGCTCAAAGCTCTGACGAATGAAACTTCAGAAGCTTTTTTAGTTACTCGAACTGCTGGTAAGATAAAGATGCAAACTAATGACCACTGACGCCAATAAAAAAAACAATATTTACAGAATTTTTTTCATCCAAAATTTTTTAACGCAATAGTCTCATTTTAATGAGCATAGGTTGATTGTGAGCCAATGACTGAGGAACGATATGGTGGTTAGGGCATTTTAAGACCAAACCAGCTAGGAACATTCTTATCCAAAAGATTCCCTCACTTTTTAAAGGCAGCTTGAGCTACAGGTTTTTCGGAGTCCAATTAATGATGGCTCACTGATCAATTTCCCCATGGAAAAATTTGTATAGCTTTATGCGAATTCTCTCTTGTCTTGACCTTGATTTTTCACTTGCCTTTCAAAGTAAATGTTTCTAAAATAAGTAGCGAATTTCCATTTCCAAATTTGGGTAAAGTTTTGCGATGCTTTAGAGCACGAGAAAGATGGTTAAGGTAGAAAACTGTTCTCAAACTGCTAGACGCGTGCAGTTATTATGAAATTTTTGCTCTATATTCCCTGTCAACAAACTTGTACTTACCCAACAGAAAGAGCCAAGGGCAGAGACAGTGGTCCAATCTCTTCATCTGACATAGAAATAGACCCATGATTGTCCAAAACCGTGGGGTGCTGCAGAAAACGTATCGGAAACTCAATAAATGTTTCAGTGCTTACCGCAAAATCTTTTTGATCGAAATCTCCAGTGGTTGACGTCACCCGTTTTGAATAATAAAACTCCCCTTTCTAAGCAATCCACTGTATTGAAGAAATATTGCAAAGAAGCTTAGTCAGCTCAGTAAGGGCCTCATTGGGGATTTTAAGCGATGAAACAGAGTAAACATAAATATTCAGCCAACATAAACACGAAAGAGTTCGGAGACGTAATCTCGTTTGTATAAAACTTCCATAATAAATTGTACAATATGTTTGAAGTAAGATTTGGGTTTTCCGTGAGGAGTAGAAGTCAAGCAAGACGACTGATTTTAAGCTGAAATGTTCCATCGACCCTCCGCAGAGAATTAGCCAAATGTTGAGTTCACAAGTCCTGCCTATTTATAAAAGAGCAATGGATGAGCATGATTCTCTTCTTAAAATATCCACTATGCAATTCGTGAAACTCGAAGTTTTTCAACATGAAATAATTAAGTAACTACGAACATGCACCTTGTTAGTCAGAAACCTATCGTTTATTGCACCGGTAAACCCACTGAAAATTAAAACATTCTAAGTTTGTTTTGTACCGACTCGTGATTTACAAACTTTCTTCGCGTTCTTCCAAGATCCCGAGAAGGTTATTACGCTCAGTCTGGTAACCTGATAAAAATGCGGTCCATTTCCCAATTAATATCCTTTTTGATCTGTCATACATTTAAAATACATTCCACTTTTCCCTTCATGTCTTTATCCCTTTTGTGTTTATGTCTGTGTGTGTGTTTTTTTCCCTCAGAAATGTTTTCGGCAATTTTTTTAATGATCGAAACATCTCGACATATCGTGAAGTAAACCAATAGACTTCCTGACTTGTTACGCTTTATATGCCCGCAAACACACATCACAAACAGCATTACGGCACAGGAAATTTCATTTTCAATAATTTTTTAATATTTTTTAACACTATTAGAGAAGGGTGGCCTGAAAAGAACCGTGCCTAAGGCGATTTAATTGTTCAGTGCTGGTGGTTTGAGCATTGATCTAATTTTATTCGTGGTATTTTCTCGATTAGCACGCAAATGATTTTCTTGTGTTTCGTCTTCCTTATTCATATCAGATCCGAAAAGCTTCGATTTTGGCCTCTGAGGGTAAAAGCTGCATGTTAAATTCCTAATAACCCTGTCTATTTAACACCGAAAAAGTCAAGATATAATTCTGCACTGATAATCAGCAAGTCAATGATTCTGGAAAACCCCGCTGTGGGTTCAACTTCAACACGAGGAAGTTAATATACTTTTCGAGTAAAAGGCCATGCCGCCTACTCTAGATGTCAACGAGTCATTGCTGATTAATTCCTGGTTGACAGTCTCCTCTGCTGCATTGATTGTTTTGTTTTTTAATCTATGTGTTGTACGCGAAAAAAAAACGAAAACAAAAAAAAGTAAATAAGCAAAAGTTGTAGCGTGAAAGATTTACTCACGGCTTTTCATGGAAAGACTTTTACATGGCATGCTTCCAGCATTGTGCTACAACTCAGATCAGCGTTAAGTTGATATAAAATAAGCTGAATCACGCCTGCATTATGATACGTTCTTACTTACGATCTATGGGAGGACAGACAAATAGATGGCTTCATCACAACCGTTTTTTGCTACTTTATTCTACAAAATAAATATATCTTTTGTATTCCATATTACCGTGGGTTTGTACAGCAACAGATCACGAAGACGTAAAAAATGTGGTGAGAACGTCATTGACACGCTCGACTGTGCTTCATACCCCACTTTTCTGTTCTAACCACACGTTGCCGCACATCATCTGCAATCTAGGAACCCTGTAGCCCCTATTAAAGAGTGATTAACATCTAATTTCTCCTTACAATATCACCCCTGAATCAAACATGAAAGTTACGAGAATAGAGGAGATGATCACCAACTAAAGCAGCTCTTGACTGTTACACAAATTCTCTTTGTCAGCCTCTTTGAAAATGTATGGACAACAGTATAGAGAATATGCATACTGATGTTAGCGGGTAAAGTGTTAATAAGCAGACGTACAGCAGCATAAAATCTATTTTTTAAATTGATACTAAAGTGATGAACAACGCAGACGTTTGTGAGATAGGATAATCGGTATCATTTATTGCAAAGTTGCAGTTTGAAACGGTCTATAAATAGGTTTTTGATCTTGCTAAATGACTAAGACAATGAAAGATCATAAACAGTTTAGTAACAACATACAAGTGGTCCCGATAAACCCTTTAACTCCCGTGAGTGACCAAGACAGAATTTCTCCTCTCAAAATCATTACATTAGAAAAGTGATGAGATTAAAGAAAAATATTAATTATGGAATTACTTATTGATCCAATACCAAATTCTCCAAACTAACATAATGAGAATCTTTTGGCAAACAGTAGGGAGAATTACTAATGAATCTTGGGAGTTAAAATGTTAATGCACAATACATTAGACGATTCAGTTTGAACAGTTACAACATACGCGCAAAAGAAATGATATATTTTACTCTTAACAGTTTTATGTTTAGCTGAGTGATCGTTATTTCTTCATAAGCCAAATCTCTTTCTTTTCCCACCTATACAAATATTTTCTGTTCTCCGAAGCTCAAACGGAGAGATCCAAACTGATTTCGCAAAAAGGCTTTTCTGAGTCAGCTATTTTTGGAGAAAGTTGCCTTCATCTTTTATCGTTCCCCAATTTTCGAGGGACTGGATATTTGTTTGCGAGAAGATACGCTGTAATGGCGGGTCTCGCCACGTGTCTGCAGGTAGAGCTCTCAAGACTTTCTCTTTTTTTGCAGGTTTTTGTCACAGTTATTTGGGACCGACCAGTTCGGTGTTGTTACGTTTATCATTCAAGGAGTGAACTTGGTGGAATATCTCAACATCAAACTCATGTTACCCGATCTGCGTCGATGTGGCCCTCATAAAGGTAACAACGTTCTCTACAACTTGAGCCTTACCATCGAAAACCATTTGTTTTTCATGTACAGGTGACATATTTACTCCGTGCTATCAAATGCTTTAAATAATTATGTACTCTGAAAGTTTTTCTTTCGCCGCTTGACTTATGTGTGTCTGAATATTGTACGCTTCCACTGTTTTAGACACAAATATAAACAAAGACACGCGGATGGGTGATGTAAAGGCAAGCTGGGAGATTTGAGGAAAATACAGCGTTTTCAGACGCCCTGGTAATCTTCCATTCTATATGTTACGGTTAGTGGCATCATATAATTTTATTCTGCCATACGTCTCTATATAGACGGTTTAATTTCAAGACTAGGAGTCCGAAAATACAACCTTTATTTCCATTAATGCTGCTTCTGAGTTCTTGGCATTTCTTTTTGTATGGAAATGAATAACGTGAGTTATTGTACGCTACTTGTGTAACTGATAGCGCCATTGATTCAGTTTGCCGCCGAACACACTACGTCTTTACGGTTCAAGAAAAGTTTACGTGCATCACGCCTTCAGGGGAGAGACTACTATATCAAGTGATACTAATTGAATAAAATGTACGAAGCCTGGATCGGAATTTCTTTTTTTTCTTAGATGGAAGGTTATGATTCCTACATCTTCAATTTTGACGTTGATAAATCAGAAAGTTGATGGTATCTAAGTTTTCAATTGCAGTGTCTACGCGGGGGGGGGGGGGGGGGGGGGGGAAAAGAGGGGAAGGGAGGGAGTAGGAGGGGGTGCTTGAGTCAATTTTTCCTGGGTATGTACCGCTGGCCTCTCACCGCGAAACTTTCCATTTTTAAATTCCTCATCACCAGAATTTTCCAACTCCCGAAAACCCGAAAATGTACCACTCCATTCGTAAAAATGTGAATCCATCCTACGGCACATGCCTTTCACTTGGAAGTACCCCCTGCCGACAGTTTATCTTACTTGTCTCAATATTTCTATCGTAATAGTGTACAATGCAAAATTAATTTGTGAATGGAAGGTTTTATAGCTAAAAGATGTTCCTCCTTTCTTTAAATTCTTTCAGAAAATTAAAGTTGAAGGACGATTTCAAATGTATTCTACCTGGTTCGCATCTGTCGTTCTGCTGGGAACTGTTTTTACCTATATTATCATGTCCGACTTAACCTTCACTCGACTTTTACCACGCATAATGGAAAGACGAACTCGTTCTGGTGGAAAGAAAAGTTCTGCCTTTGTTTTAATTCTTGCTCAACCCAAGAACAGGATCGTCATTTCTGGGACAGTTATTCAACCAACATCCAGATGTATTTTATCTTTACGAACCTCTTCACCCCTTCGCGGTGTTTAAAAAATTAAAATATATTGCAGAACGAAATTACACAACTCTTACACGATTATTCCTTCGAAATGCTTCTATCTGCAACTTTAATGGCTTCCAAGAATACTTTAATTTTCTTTCTCACCCAGGACTGTCAAATCCACATTTTGTTTTATCGAGCAGATCACTGGCATCATTACCTTTCTGCAAATATGCTTTTCAACCGTTTAAAAATCTCTTTAAACCTTTAAGTAAATGTTCTCCGTTAGACGCAAACTTAGTGTCGCTTAATTGCAAATCGAAGAAGTTCGTTGCTTTAAAAATATTAACTCACCGTTTACCTGAGGAAAATTTAAAAGACTTGGTCGAAGGTAATTCTTTACAGCTGCAAAAAATTCCACTTAAAACTATACAGTTAGTGCGCGATCCGCGGGCGGTTGTTTGGTCCATGATAAAAATGGGTTTAATATCAAGAGGAACTAAAAACTACACCAGGACAGAATTAAACAAAAAGGGACGAAACTCAACTTTTCGCCCACCAAATATAAACTTTATCCCTAGTTTCAGTTTCATCGAGCAAGTTCGACGTTTCTGTGATCGACTGAAAAAGGATATGAACTTGTCATCATACCTTTCGTCTAAACTTGGTCCAGATCAGTACAGAGTAATTCGCTACGAGGACTTAGCCGAGAACATCCCAGAGTTTTCTCGCAAAATATTTCAGTTTACGGGGATTGATTATGCTGCAGAGGTAAAAGAATGGCTGCGATACCTCAATTTTGATGAAAAAAGACATGGTAACGATGAGCTTAGCTACTCTACAAGCAACAGAAATACCTCTGTTACTATCAACTCTTGGAGGAAGGAACTCTCACTGCTGGAAACTCTTATCATTGATAACCAATGCGCTGATTTTATGGTAAAGTTTGGTTATAAGTTTATCGAAAGCGCAAATCTTCTTAAAAATATGGTAAAAAGTCTAAGGAATCCGTTACGAAAAAGCTTTCATACCATGTAAGATACACATGATTACAAACTGAATGAAATAAAGAGAGTTTGTTGATATTCTGTGAAATTAAAGAATCCAACATAGACATTTTTCTTAGATATTAGGAACGTAGAAGAAGGCGAACAAACATTGAAGCAAATGCAAACTTTATTGGCAAGTTTTTAAACAGGTGCTCCCAAAACTTTTTCAATTTTCGAGGAGCTCCTTGTTTTGGACCTTACAGATTGCTTATGAACCTCATATTCTAAAGATCTAAATTAATCTAAAAACAGCACTTGTTATAGACGAAAAGTACCTCTGTGTGCAATTGCAAAACATGGCTTTCCAACGATGCCAACTGCTGCATGTATACGGTAAACGTAAGCCAAAAATAGCGGTGACTAAACATACAAAACATAAACTGTACTTCAGTTGTATAATGGAGAGATTTCTCTTTTCCTTGTCTTGTTTCGAGTTTGCTATCGTTAAAATAAAAAATAAGAGCAGAGAGACTGTTTAATTTGAAAAACATCAGAACTAAAACAGTCGCACTGGAGTAAAGAATTTTAGGTGGCACGCTGAAGTTGACAAATTCCAGCAGTCTTGTTTTCGAGTTTACTACTGTTAAGATAAAAAATAAAAGCAGAGAGACTGTTTAATTTGAAAAACATCAGAACTAAAACAGTCGCACTGGAGTAAAAAATTTTAGGTGACACGCTGAAATTGACAAATTCCAGCAGTCTTGCTTCGAGTTTGCTACTGTTGAAATAAAAAATAAAAGCAGAGGGACTGTTTAATTTGAAAAACATCAGAACTAAAACAGTCGCACTGGAGTAAAAAACTTTAGGTGACACGCTCAAATTGACGAATTCCAGCAGTCTTGTTTCGAGTTTGCTTCTGTTAAAGTAAAAAATAAAAGCAGAGAGACTGTTTAATTTGAAAAACATCAGAACTAAAACAGTCGCACCGGAGTAAAAAAATTTTAGGTGGCACGCTGAATTTGACAAATTCCAGCAGTCTTGTTTCAAGTTTGCTACTGTCAAATAAAAAATAAAAGCAGAGAGACTGTTTAATTTGAAAAAAAAAAACAGAACTAAAACAGTCGCACTGGAGTAAAACATTTTTAAGTGGCACACTGAATTTGACAAATTCCAGCAGTCTTGTTTCGAGTTTGCTACTGTAAAAATAAAAAATAACAGCAGAGAGACTGTTTAATTTGAAAAACATCAGAACTAAAACAGTCGCACTGGAGTAAAACATTTTTAAGTGGCACGCTCAAATTGACAAATTCCAGCAGTCTTGTTTCGAGTTTGCTTCTGTTAAAGTAAAAAATAAAAGCAGAGAGACTGTTTAATTTGAAAAACATCAGAACTAAAACAGTCGCACTGGAGTAAAAAACTTTAGCTGACACGCTGAATTTGACAAATTCCAGCACCTGTTTCAAGTTTGCTACTGTCAAATAAAAAATAAAAGCAGAGAGACTGTTTAATTTGAAAAACATCAGAACTAAAACAGTCGCACTGGAGTAAAATATTTTAGGTGGCACGCTGAATTTGACAAATTTTTATCGGTCTTGTTTCAAGTTTGCTACTGTTACTTAGGAAAAAGAAGTGAAGGCCTGCAAAACTACATGGCGTTGGTGTCAAAGTTCACAGCATCTTATAACAATCTTGAGAACAAGTTAGAGTTTTCCTCCGTACTTTTAGAGCAGTTGTAAGCTTCATCAACTCCCGTAGTTAACATATCACTGATGGAAGTTGAAAATCAACTTACGGAGTTCAATCTAATTTCGATGGAAAAGAAGGTACATAAAACGAATATTTACGTGAGTACCGGTTTGACATCAAGAAGCGAGCCCCTTTAAACCCCGTATCTACGCAAGCTAGAGATCTTAGGCTTTGTTGCCGCGGTAAATTCCCCCATTTGTGTGAACAGAGAAGGGACGAATAAGAATGTGTTTCCCTAGCCGTGCCGACTAGCCTCTTCTAATCTCAACGAAGCTAAGACAAAAAGCAAATGACGGCGAGAAACGCAACAGACAGAAGGGTACCAACTGCTGCAGAAATACCCTGAGCCCCTGAGCCCGGTGGATTGGTCGCTGTATATTTGGTGAAGGTGATTTTGGCGAAGGCAGGGATGTCATTCATTCCCTTCAGCACGGTTTCGCTGTCCTTTGTAATGACTGTGACAACATCCTGCGGCAAAGTGGGAGCATTTTCTGAGGTGAAGTTCATTCCATTATCTGTCCCAGCATCCCACGCGGGCAAGTACATGGACATACTCTCCTTCCATTTGCCATCGCTTCCACAGAGCTCTGCACCATGAACTCCAACGAACCAGTCAGGAGAGGGAGCAATCATGGCGATGAAAGAGGCTTGGGAATACTTGCCACTCGCTGTTATCATCATAGTTGTAGTCTCTGCAGCGCCAGACATTCCATCGGCTTTGTAAATCATGTGAATGTATCCCTGATACTTTTCCATGAAGTTTTTCAGCTCGTAGTACAATGTTGAGTAGTTGCCTAGCATAGCCAAAAATTTAGATTGAATACAAAAAAAAGAAAGGTAAATTCTTCGCATGTTCCATTTTTAATTCCGAATATCACAATTTTTTTTAAGGTAGGCAGAAAAGAAAGGAGCAAAACTCTATCCTCCCCCAACTTCTCGTTTTTACCCCTCTCCCTGACCCCCAAAAAGCATCTGATACTACAGTTGACATTTCTGGTGTCTTCAGGTGCATTGAGGTCGTATGTTATACCCTACACTATAGCTACCTTACACTGTTGCTACTCACCCAAGAACCTTTCACCCTTCTTACCCCATTCCGAAGTCTTTCGTCTTTTTCAGTTGAGAGAACAGTGCTGTGTCTAAGACCACAACACACATAAGATCAAGCTAAGCTAAGACTTGAGCCAAATAAACCCCCAATGATCGTTAAGTCATTCTTCCCCAATCTTTATCACTACAGACGTTAATCATGCAATTCATCATGTTGCAAACAAGCCTGAAATAAGACAATTGTTAATCAAATGATTATCTACCTGTTTCTGCGACCATCTGTACTCCTTTAGAAGCCATAGTCATGGGACTCCAGAACCTGTAGTTATACATATGGGTGCAACCGATGAGAGGTGAAAAACGAGGATTGGACGGGTATCCCATGGGTTGCCTCTGTTCGGTCCACATTCCTTCAAACTTGAGCATGTACTTCTGCTCTCCGCTGCACATATACTGTGTTGGCTTGTTGACTCTTTGAAACATCAGCATGCCCATGGTTGGAATTTCTCCCTGGAGGTTCATAAAGGAAGTGTTCATCATTGTGTTGATAACAGCGATATTCCCTTGGGGACTTGTCTCCACGTCATCGGCGGTGAACGTGGTTCCACTATCAGTCCCAGCATCCCATGGCGGCAGCATTGCTACGTTCCAACTGTCACGCCAGTTTCCATTATTACAAAGGTTTATAGAGTCGCCTCCTATGAACCAATCAGGAGAGGGGATGATCATGGAAATCAGCGACACGTAAGGATAGTCGGCCGTGACCTCAACATCAATGCCCTCCACCATGTCTGTGCCGTTTATGGGACCGCCCTGTTGTTGGATCAGTTTCCACACTGTCTTGTTGTACATCATACGCATCATGAGTTCATCTCGCAGGAGTGACGAATTACCTGATGGGACATGAAGGCAAATGAGCTACTCAACTTTTGATCTTAAGTAGCAGCGGTCTTTGCCTATAGTCATTATAAACGTGACAGAATTTTTTGGATGAGGAGAACTGTTTTATGTTGAACCAATTTCATACAAGTATAGTGGGTAACGTCACCAAATACCCAAGCAGTTTACTTCAGATCATGACAACAGGCACTGATCATGGATAAAGAATCCGTAGATCCGGCACCATGTGAAAGTTTCTTGCTGAAATAAGGAAATGTAACAAGCAATTTACATCGTCTTCTCAAGGTGTAAATTAGACTACAAAAAAACCCTGAAATAGAAGGAACAGAGGTCGAGGAGAAAACGAAAAAACTATTTGGAATAATGAACAAAATGTTAATTAAAATGAGTCGCAAAGTCAGCCTTTTATGGTTCTCATGACGCCTCTGGCGGTTTAAAAACGAAAGAGTGCCTCAACTCCAGCAGACGTTTAAAACATACTCAGATCTTTATAGTCTGCGTCTTTCGATAAAATTTGGACAGCAGTGGTTGTTACATGGCTGGACAACGTTTGCATGTGAACGATCCAGTATTGACGAAATACGAAAGAATTAGAAAATAGTTTCACAAAAACAATGTACCTGTCTCAGCAACTTGTTGTACGCCTTTTGAAGCCATCATTCCTGGCTTCCACATGGAGTAATCTGCAACGTGAGAGGCGCCGACCCAAGGTGAAAACATAGGAAAGCCCTTTGTCGGAACAGCATTCGGGTGAGTCATGGTACTCCATTTGCCGTAGAAACTGAGCTTGTAATGAGCAACGCCAGGACATTTCATAGCCGAGCTAAAAGCAGAGAAGAAGCCGAGAAAGGCTAGAAGAAAAAATCCAACGCGTACTCTCATTTTCATTGATGCGAGAACCCAACTTCAATTGCGCTCGAACAGCGTTTTTTTCACTTTGCGAAACTTCGTCAAGTGAGAAGAATCCTCCTGCCCGCAATCACATTAACTCTTCTTCAAACCATCGATATTGTTGCGACAACACAATAAGCTTTTTACGTCAGAGGAGTAATTTTTGATATTATGAACATACCACTTAGCGTCACAAATATCAACGGTTCAAACTCGCATTCAACCGTGGGCCATAAAAAAAAGTTTGCACTTAATGAGAGCCGTAAGATATGATTAAATTGTGCATTGCCTTTGAAAAGAAAAACCTAACAGTTCTTTTCGTTTCGGTTTTTGAAACTTTTCTTCCGAAAAAATGCCAAACTAATATCGACCATTAGTTTCTTTTGTGAAAATAACAATTGCACCCGTCGGCTCTACACTAATTAAAATTATTGAACGTAACAAGCATGACAAGGCAAGTTTCTCCAACTTCCTTTAATTTAGAACTATGGAATACTGTAAGGAGTAAATTCCTTAAGTTTACGTTTTGAACCCTTTTAAAACTTTATCCTTACGCTTGATCATAAAATCATAAGGAAAAACTTTTTAACTTTCTAACTGACCAAGCGAAAACTAAAGCCAGCACTACCTGTTTTCTGCAACTATATCATAAGCACTATATCACAAAAGCGCATAACAACTACTTGTATGACTGCTATTAATTTGCTTTCATTCTTTCGGCATGTTTTATCAACAATGAAATAAATACACCTTATTCGATGGTTTAAAATATATAACACGAGCGGATGTTTTTTGAGCAATGAGCAAAATGTCCCCCCGTATTAGATGTTGAACCGTTGAATAAGGGATTTATTATTCCATCATTATTTCAATTTTTAGAATTTTGGCTTCTATTTTTCGAAATATACCCTCATGCTTCTTGTCTCTGATCGTGCGCGAAGGATGAAAACCGGCAACACTAGCGAAATCACTCAAGACTTATTATGGCCAATAAAAAAAATCTGAAGCACTTGAAAGATTTCTTGCTTAAAAGAAGTCTAAATATCGATAAAGTTTGGATCGTTCGGTGCGACCAATTTGTTGCTCTGTATTTTTGCTATGTTCTACAGTGTAGTATCATGGCATATTTGCACGTACTAGTGCCCTAATATGGTAAAATAACTTAATTATGGAATAACAAAAGAAATAATATTTACTTTGAGTGAAATAACCAAGGTAACAACAGTCATATTTGTTTCAAGGAATAATTTGATAAATTTACCCGAATTAAAATTATTTCAAAATATAACACAAATTACTTCTTTCTTAAAATAACTCTGTGACTGTTCGACATCACCATTTAGCCTCGCACAATGATGGCACGTAATTTTGCCAAGTTTACCATTAACTGAAACAGAAATACAAAAGAATGAATGAGTGTCTTACGTTGTATATGTATATCGGCTACACAAAGCATAATTGTCGTGTTTCATGTTCAACGCCCGACCTGACTAGGACATCGATCTCTAGGCCTCCGCTAAAAGACATTTTAAGAATGTCGTATACAGCTTTTCTATGAAATAAAACAGGCAAATTAAGTGTTTTAACAAAATAAAACCAAGGATCTTTTGCAGTCCATTGCTCGTACTTTGTATTTGTTTTTTTCTTTTGTCTTGAATGTTCCAGGTTAGAATTTCAGCAATACAAAATTACAGCAATAGATAAATACGCAAGTTGAACTGACAGCCATTTCTGACGTGAATCAGTCTGCTTTTTTAGCCCGAATAATTTTTTTGGTAAACCCATCTACTTCTGAGACAGGTCTCAGAGTCATAAATGAGACCGAATATTTCTGGTCCCGCTAAGCTTATGCACGAATCCTTAAAAGGCAAACTGAAGGCGACATGACTTGTAGTTACGGGGAGGTAATTGACCCTTAAACTCCGAGAAGTGATAAACATGTAACTTCTACCCATAATATCTATACCATTTCCAGCAGACAGGTAATGAGAATACTCAAACTTATCAGGTAGAAGTTGTTATCCTTAAGAATTTTTCCGCCTTCTGGCCATTGAACAAACAAATAAAGATCTTTCTTTTCTAAAAAACAAACACTACCATCATTGTAAAAAAAAGGAAAAAGCCAACATGTCCCAAAAGTCAGCTGAGCATTGGAACCACTTGTCTCAAGAGCGAGGCTCTCAACAACTTAAAAATATGACATTGTTTTGCGCCCTTGTAAAACTCAGTCACGTAATATTTGGTCTTTTCACGCATCACGAGTAATATTCAAAACTCATTCACGTTTAGGCGAAATTTGAGACGATCACGTTTTACAAATTCACTCGTTGAAGAGAACATTAGTCATATCCATGCGATTACCCTTCGCAGAGGAAATCGTGTTTACCATGAGAACGAGGGTGTTTTGCCAGGTTACAGAAGCTATCAAGATTTACGCCAGGTTACCTAGTTAACAATACCGAGGAGAACTAAACAACATGGCGACTCGCGGAGTGATATCTCGTGAACCAAAAGATCCCCAGTTCGTGTCTTATTTCTTCTTTTAGAGTGCTTCTTTTAAATTCTTGACGATAAAAATGAGAGTACTTAAATTTGACGTAGAACGTGAAGCTGAATTGTCGTTACTTTTTTTCTTAGAGAAATGTACAAAGAAGCTCTGGAGAATGTATCCGCTTACAACTCCAGACTGCGTTACGAGCGCCGTCTTCGCATTCCTTTCATCGATGCACAGACAGGCATCGCTATGAACAACTGCCATTTATGGATCAGCAAACTCGAACGTCAGCCAGGACAGACGCCACATTACGTCTACAGTTACCCAGCCAGACGATGGCGGAAAAAGAAACGGCCTCCCCCTGTCGAGCGTGCGATTGAGACCAAAACTTTAGAAACTGAAGGTAAAGCCAAGTGGGAAAGGGGGGGAGGGGAAGGGGAGGGGGGAACTGTAGAGAACTATGAGAAAAGTCTCGCATGTCTGTATCAATGATAGTTCAGCTCATTATGAGACAAGCATGATGGCTAACCAACAATTTCTCATTCCCCTGTGCGTTGTAAGAGCCCTTTTACTGAACACTGCAGGTGAAATCGTTTTAACCCTATATACCCCAAAATTAGTATGTATATTCTCCAAACTGTTCTCTATAAATTTCTTAAGGTGCTGACAGAAGAAGTTTTTTAACAATCCAGAGCTTCTTTTGTTGATAATCAATTGAAACTCAAATTATGTTTCTTATTCGAAAAGAACAAATAATTGAAACTGTGGATGCCATGGAAACTGAGGGACTACTGGATGAGTCTGAACCTGATCATCTAAGAGAAGCTGTGGCAGTGAAAGATGATGAAGTGAGACTTGTGGAGAGTGAAGGGGAGGAAGATCTACAGGATGATAGTGGTGCATTATCCACTGATGATGAAGACTTCATCGTCGGCAAGAAGAGACCAATTAGTAAAGGAAGGCCAGGACGCAAAAAAGTGCATCAACCCAGTCTATTTCCAGAAACACCAGTCCACCATGTAAGAAAATTTTATTGGGGATTTTGATTGGGAATTTTCTGAAAAGCAAGATAGATTAGCCTCCTAAAAGCACACTCTCACTGTTGACCAGTTGAGAAAAAGAAAGTTTTGGAAGAGGGGAGGTGTAATGGCCTAATGAAGATGCAGGAGGTGATGGTTTGTGTGTTAGGGTAGAGGCCTGTTCTGGGTTCTTTTTTTTCTGTACTTGCCCTGGAGGTATCATGAAGATAGAAGTGGCCACTGAACCTCACAGTATCCAACATAGCAGCTAGCTCAAAGTTCAGGTATAGTTCTCAACTCATGTTTTGCTATTGTTTGTGTAAACTTCAGAAGCCAATCCCCCAAATGCCTGGCCTTCTCCATGTGCGCAATATCACCAAGGAGGAATTAGCCAGGATGGATCCAGAGGAGCGAAAAAAGCCTTATGTGTGTGAGAGTAAGTCAATATATGATAAATACCAGAGAAAATTGAATTGATTAATAATGAATGCTGTTGAATACCTAGTACATACAATGCCACCCTATACACCCACTGCCCCAATGGGAACTGATGGTGATGATGTTGATATTTGTTAGAAGAGAAGTTCTTGTACTTAGTATGAAAACAGTTGTACAAAAAGCATTTTCTCTTTTGTGTGGAATTGTATAATAATATTATAATAATTATTCTACTCCTTTGCCACTTAACCATATTAGAGGAATGAAAGGGGCAAAATTTTTCATGGTGTTACAGTGTTGAACAGAGCAAAAATGCACACTGAAAGTAGAGCAACAAACTGGCTGTGCCGAACAATCCAAACTGTTAATTTTTCGGTCTTTAGGCTTGACTTTTTAAAATATGGACTTTTTAGTGAAGATTTTATTCTTTTGTTTCATCTTTTGCCTACACCTTGCACAATCAATAAGATGCCAGGGTAAGGCTGTAGAAAGTGTTTTGTTAACAAAAAGTTCTAGAAGATGAAATGATAAATCCTTTATTTGATGGTTTAGCATATGATATGAGGGGATATTTTGTTCATTATCTATCTTCTCTTTGTCCCTATGGAGCTTAGAAAAAAACTATGCAACCCACAATATATCTGCATGTATTTATATGTTAAACCATTGAATGAGGTTTATTTGTTTTAATTGTGTTTAAAAATTTTGTGAGTAGAGATGGGCATAGATATTTTTTTCAGTTACTGTTGTTTTTTTCCTCAGTTTGTGGACGGCGCTATAAAAATGGCCCTGGACTGAAATACCATTACACCCACTATAATCATGAACAGGAGGCTGCAGCTGGTCCAGCACCTCATCATGAGGAGCCACCAATATCCCACCCATCAACGCCTTCTACTGCCAGTGTTCCTGTTGAATCTCCTAAGGTTCCTCCATCACCACCCCACCAAAGAGGTCCAGGACGCCCAAAGAAGGTTCCAGGCAGCGGCACTTCTCCTAATAACTATTGCGACTTTTGTCTGGGTGATGTGTATGAGAATAAAACAACTGGATTTCCTGAAGAACTGTTATCTTGTGCAGACTGTGGCAGATCAGGTATTACCCATTTTAGTCTCAGGATAATCTCCAATAAATATGAACTTTGTAAGTCTGCTCCATGTTTTTCTTTTTTCTTGTGTGGGATGAAAGCAGGTAATCCCATGCTGGTAAGATGTGCTTGTCTTGCTCGCTCAAGTAACCAATCAGAATGTAGGATTTGCTTCATCTTGCCCTTAAATGCTACCAGCTTTACAATGATAAGAAGAGTTGATGCATGGATTACTCAGCTCAGTGGCAATCTCGGAAACCACAGGCACCTGAAATGCATTTAGAATGGTGATCAGGACAAGTGAAACTAGAAAACTGCAAAGTAACAAATTATTGTTACTTTGTAAAGTTAATTTTTCTCAAGCCTGATTTGATTGTTTTTCTCAACACAACAACATTCCAGAAATAATATTGGTGTTTATAGTTTTCTGAGTTTTGCAGTAAAATCGGACAGGCCATCAATAGGCCATCATCAATCAGTTTGGGAGATGGAATTTAAACAATTGAAAGGGTGCGATGAGAATAAAGACAAATATCAATTTGGGAATAATTGGTTGATCCAATACTAAATTAATAAAGGGTTAAATAATGTAAATTGGCCATCATAAAGAGATTGTAAGGTTGATGTTTTGAGCATAAGGCCTTCACTCTGATGAAGGGCTGAAGCTTAACCCTTTAACTCCCAGATCAAATTTGTCATTCTCCTTACTGTCAACCATACAATTCTTATAATGTTAGTTCAGAGAATTTAGTATTGGATTAACCAATCATTCCCATATTGATATTTTTCTTCATTCTCATCACTCATCTGGTTGACGTTGTATTGATATTGTAAGGAGAAATTCTGTCTTGGTCATTCATGGGAATTAAACGGTTTCAACTCAGTTGATAAGATCAAGGTATCTTTCATTTATTGGTATTCGTGATTTTTTTTTTTAGGCCATCCTTCTTGTCTTCAGTTTACTGGAAAGCTGACAGAAAGTGTGAAAAAATACAAATGGCAGTGCATTGAGTGCAAGTCCTGCACACTCTGTGGAACTTCTGATAATGATGTGAGACTGAGTTAAACATACTTTAGAAACATTTTCATCAACCTCGTTCAGACAATAGAAAGACATCTACAATGTACCTTGCTGTATGTGCATGAAATCTATCCATATAGGGTAAAGTTTGTTTTGCCTTTGATTTATGACACAAAAGGAAGCTGTAAGCTTTTCATATGACCTCTGAATGGTTTCTGTTCTTTTGTAGGATCAGCTGCTGTTTTGTGATGGCTGTGACAGAGGTTATCATATGTATTGTCTCAAGCCACCGATGCAAAAACCACCTGAAGGTAATCTGTCTCTAGAGTATGATATTCATTTATCCATTTGAACTTTATTTGTTCAAATAGACTTTATGGAGGAATTGTACAGAGTAAAAACTGGCATTATGGTTGCTATAACTGACCAATTTTTAACCATAAACTATGGGACTTATTGGGACTTTTGAACCTGCACTGATGTGATGTGAATTTGACTAGGAAACAATAAGCAGTGATGGATATGGCAAAACAGCAGCAGTGGAAAGAAATTAAGCAAAACAATGAACTTACAAATGTTTGGATGTGGTGATGGTTGACATTTCATGACTTCAGTGATTGAAAGATAGATTATACCAAGGGTGGAGGAGGGGAGAATTAGCCCTTCGTCATTTGTGCTGATGAAGGGCCAACACTTGAAATGTCTGCTTGTAAACTCTTTATGATGGCCAGTTTCTGTTATCAATTCAGTAGATAATACCAAATTGCCCTGTTTTACTCTCCCATCGATGCAGTTCCACAGTTTCTTTCAAAACTTACCCCCTTTATAAAATTCATATCCTTGAGCTGAAGAACAATTTTCTTTTTACTATATGAACAATAAATATTGAGTAGAGATTGAAACAGCGGGCTTTAATACAAACACTAGGTATCAAAAGAAACAAAATACTTGGTGCCCTAATCATAAAAAGGTTTGCATGTAACACCATTCATTAGGCCAAAATCAAGTATTCAGCTGTTCAGCAAAAACAGAACAAAAATTTATTTAATATTCTAAACAACAAACAAACCAAGTTCATTCAGCAAAGTTTGAAAAGGCAGGAATTGTGACGTTGTTACTCAATATCACCACTCAGGTTGCATTCCAGAAATATGCCACTTGGTTCCCATATGTAGTGGTTGTATTGATTCTACGAGTGTTTTAGTTCTCAGTTAAACACTCATGTCCTACATGAACTCTACTTAGCTGTTGTTGTATAATGATACTGTTATTAAGGTGGCTCTACTAATCTTTCAGGTCACTGGACATGTGCTCTCTGTGAAACTGCTCCTTTACCTCCAGCCCCTGCACCCATGCCACCTCATATGATGATGAAACCAGAGTGGCACTAAAGCGACAGATTTAAGATCCATGTTCTCTACACTCTTCCCTTTACTTCTCTTCTGGTACTGCAAGGAGAATTTGTGTAACAATCAAACTATTTTGTTGGTAATTTCCTTAATTCTCGTGATCTTAATGAAGGATTCAGTGGTGTGGCTGTAAGGAGAAAGTAGAAGCTGATCACTCTTAGGGTTTTGAAGGTTAACTATGAATGAGTCTCTAAAGAATGTGGTCCTAAGTATGGTGTGTTACATTTCAGGTAGTGTTATATCATTTATGAATAAAATGGTTAAATATAAATGTAAAAGGTTATGTTGTTTGTAAGATTGTTGCAGAGAGCTGTGTTGAAACTTGCTTGGTTGTCACTGGTTAGGAAATATTCAGGAAAAAAGGATGTCAGAAAAATGACAAGAAAAAATAAAACTGCATTGAAGAACCTCAAACTCATCCATTTTTTGGTCTTCATTGTTTTGTTGATGCTAATGAGATGGTTGGAAATACTCTAAGTGTAATAAATTATGGGATGTTATTTCTATGCATCACATTGTGTATTTATTTTGTCAGTAACATTTTTATTATGGAACAGGAAAAAAGTTAAAAATTTTGAATAATTATGCTTTTTGCAACCATGTCCTTATAAGAGAGTGAATACATATCCATTTACACCCCTAATATCAGTAAGGATATTCTCCATACTGTTCTATATACATTTCTTAAGGTGCTGCTAAGAAGAATTTGTTAACAGCCAAGAGCCTCTTTAGTTACTTAGTGATCATTTCCTTTATTGTCATAACCTTAATGTTTGATTCAGGGGTGATATTGCAAGGAGAAATTAGGTGCTAGTCACTCATAGAATCAAAGGGTTAAGAGGTGGGGCACTCAAAATGTGGATTCATTTTTCTTTTCTCTGGATATCCTTGTATGGCTATGTCAGATCTCTTGCGCTTAGTTATTCAACAGACTACATTAAAGGTCAGAGTGATACAATGAGTTGGCAGATACATTCCATGCTTTTTTCATAAATTTTATTCTTGAAATGACAAGTCCTTTCCTATTTGATGAACAATCTTCATGTTTGCTTCAAACTGATCTTACTGTTTAAGTTAGATCAAGTATTTGAATTTTGATTACATCTGAAGAGAGTTTTAATTGACAATCCTAGCAGGAATCTGCCAGCAGTAGACTACTTTATCATCCTGGTCATGCAATTCCCACTTGACAACAACTTGAATCTGAAATAAAAAGTGTCATCAGATTGAGTTGGGTATTTTGATGGTGAAATATGGACTGGTACTATAAGACAAGGCAACTAAAACCGTATTGGAAAGTCAATTTCTACTCCATGTCCATGTGTTTAACTCTTCAACTCATAAAATCTGATTGCTAGATTTTCCCTCTAACCAGACTAAGGTAACTTTGGCTTGATGAATTTGAGTATTCTCATAACCTGTTTTCTGGATAATGTTGAACATTATAGACAGAAATTAGATGTTAACCCTTCAACTCCCAGATCAAATTTGTACTTCTCCTTACTGTCAATCATACAATTTTTATGATGTTAGTTCAGAGAATTTAGCATCGGATCAATTAATTATCCCCAAATTGATATTTTCTTTATTCTCATCACTTATCTGGTAGATATTGTATTGATATTGTAAGGAGAAATTCTGTCTTGGTCACTCATGGGGGTTAAAGGGTTAATCACTTCTGGGAGTGATAGGATGAATTCTCGTTACATTGTACTTACAGCAGGGTACATGCTCTTTATGGGAAGGTGAGTTTTGAAAGTGTAAGTTTTTCCAGCAAGTAAAGGGCAATCAAGACCTTGGCCCTTGCAAGCATCTGGCTCGTCAACAGGAAATGGTGCTGGCATGGGTACGTATGGGATTTTACCATGTACCACAGTCTTGGCTGATGTAATGTTCACCTCTGTAAAACAAAAGAAAACCTATTGTTTGCAATGTATTTTCTGTCCATAAAGAGCGTTTAATTCCACAAATTTATTTTTGAGAAATGAAGGTAAAATGAATTTTTAAAAATGTTATAATGTTATTTCAAATGTATCCACCAGAAAGACAACTATCTTGACTACTAACGGTAGATTTTTTTATCTTTGGGAGTCAGATTCTATGTTTTTATCGATAACGGAGGAACTCTCCTAGAAAATATTTAATTACAGTAATTTTCTTTCGATGGTAATATAGGGCTTAACAGGTCGCCCCAAACTCATCTCGGACAAAGAATTGTACCGGAAATTTTAGCGTAATCATTTGATGTTGCATTTCATTTCACACTTAAAAAATGGTTCATTTCTATTAGCCAAGACAGATGAGGATTTCTGATAACACAATACACGAGAGGTAATTTAACGCAAAAAAGGTAATTCATCGCCCAAGATTGTTATAAACAGTTCAACCGGGCTTTGAATTTTTTGCCGCCTAAAAACTTTTAGAGAATGGTTGTTTTGATTAGATGTGGTTGTTCTGGCCTTCACGCTGAAAATATGCAGGGTTTGAAAAACTTTCTTATACAAATGATTCGCGTGCTTTGCCTCTGCACAGTCATGAAAAATGATCTCCCTATGGGCCCTGGCAATTTTGTTTATCTTGGAAAAGATTACTTGCATTTACGTTTTCCAGATCCATCCAAAATGACATGTAACTGACAAAGCGCATTGGGGTCGTTTCAACGTACTTATCAGACCGAAAAAAACATTTGTGCTAGGAATTTTTGCCTATTCTCGTTGTGTAGTATGCTCGTTTCCCACAAAGTTCTTTAGTTTGTTTCATTGTTTCACTCATTATATAACACTAGGACCTGTTTCACTCATTATTTAACACTAGGACCTAAACCGATGGACTTTTCGTACTTGGCACAAACTGTACTTGGATGGTTTCCTCAGTTCCCTTCTTCAAGCTACACGGATCGGGCTGATTGATACAAGGATCAACGTCCACGAAGACAAGTTTAGACAAAGCATCTGCCCCACCTGAAGTAAATCAAACACATGTAACACAAAGAAAATTGCTTCTTTCTGTGTTTAAAATAGGGTACTTTTTTATTATCCTTTTTTTTCTTTTTGCTACGTCTCAGAGAGTTCGTCATTCTTGTTTGTCAAAAAATCACCCACTTCGTCTGATTCTAGGTAGAAAATCGCCCTTTGACTTTAAATTAGATTAATACTGCTTCTGAAATGGCTTTGATTCCCTGCGTTTGGATGAATTGTGCTCTAAGAAAGGGAATATATTTCTTGCAAGAAGAAACATTATGTAAAGGCGAAAATGGATATGCAAGCGTTCCAACGATCTCCTTTGTATATTCAACGAAGTCATGCTTCATCGCCCAGAGTCTCTTAACTTCTCTCTTAACTTTATCCAATGAAATGCAGCTCACTCATTGTAGAGCGGAATTATCAAAACCTTGTTAGTTTTTTTTTTACATTGGAACCAGCCACAAAGGTAGTCAATTTGAGAGCTGCAGAGAAAGTCGAAATTCGATCTTCGTTGCGAAATTACACATAAGTAAAAATGAATGAAGCTTACCACAATCATCGTACGACACATGAAAACCTGAACCAAATCCAATAACACAGAGTGCTAAAACGGACACAATTGCGGCCTTTTCCATTTCGAACTTCCTTCTTTCACCGCTGCAAGGAAACCTGCTCGCACCAAGATGACCGATAAATGTAAAAGAACGACCTTATATTACATTACATGTTAAGTAGTGAACAATACGGTGTTCAATTACAACTATTGGTCGAGGGCTGTGCCACTGTCGACCTTTGCAAAGTGGTGTGATGATGTGATGTTTGTCGAAGTGGCGTTACACGCCACACCACGCGCCTAGCTGACACAAAGAGTACTTTGTGTCCAAATGCAATAAACCTTGCACGTTGACATTTTCACTGTTTCCCTTTCTGTGCCAACGAACTGAAAGGATATTTTTTCTAGGCCGACAAATATTTACCGTGGCTAAATTTTTTTGTTCCAGCGAGATCGGAGAACAATGGATTTCTGCCTTGGCCACAGGCGGCTCAAATGGTCATCTTGCGAAATTAGAGTCATGGCCTGAGTCATGGCGAAATTATAAGAATTTGTATGGGAAGCCTTAGGCTTCTCTTATGTACGTAGTAAACCTCGAAATGGATGATTCATCAGGATGGGTTCTTTTCAACATAGTAAGCAGTCAGATAACAAGCGATGCACTGAGGAAGTAAGGTGAGGTATTTCTATAAAGAATTTGACTGTATTTTTTTATTCCTAAAAGTGGTCGTAAATATTCCCATACAAACTCTCATAATTTCGCCATAACTCTTATGTCGCATAAAATGACGATCATCTCACAGCTGGACCTTGGGCCGCCTGTGCCTAAGTAAAGAAAACCAGTGAATGCCTTTTTCTTTTGTTGTTGATTGTGCAATTAAAGCTGACCTTTGTAGTTAGTTTGTGTAGCAATATGTTTGATTTCATTGATAAATACTGGCCCTTTTTAAGGCAATCTTTACCGAAAGGTGCAAGCGTAAATATTCCAATTGTCGATAGAAGGATAAAATTTGTGGTAAAACTGTTATGTTCATGGTGGTGGTGTGAACATCTGATTAATCAGGCGTTGAGTTTTGTGTAACAACTTTTTTTCAAAACCAAATCGCAGTCTCAGAACAAGAACATAAATTTGCCTCTTTGATATTTTTTTTGAAACGCCAGATCAATATTTTGCTGGAAAAACTCGTTTATGTTCGCTGGAAAAACTGATTTTTGTAGGGTAAATTCTTAACTTAAAAAAAATCATAAAGCAAAGTTAACTCGCATATGAAAAATGATAAAACTATAGAATACTGTATCTATTCGATTAAACGCCGCGGCGTTTATTAAATTTTTCGTGATTCCAGTGAGGCATTTATTCGAGAGCGGCGTTTATTTAAAATCCAATTTATTTCTTGCAAACAATAGTATGATAACTGACCATTTTATTTTAAAAAACAGAAATGTGTTTTTGTGCTTGTCTTAAAAGTAATTTTTTATATAGTTCTCAATTTCGCAATTTGCATGTTAATACTATTGCAATACACCTAGTGATTAAGAGTCTAATGTCAGATATGCTTTCCCGACATCAGAACTGGTACATTAAAAGAAATTCGTGTCTGGTTCACGCAAAATTTCCAACTTCGATCGATGCAATGATCGCTGTGTGCTTTTTGAGTCTTTTATTTGAATAAACGCCGCGCATCATCTGCGGCGTTTATTCGAGGGCGGCGTTTATTAATATTTCTGTGACGTTTATCCAGATTCGGTAGTGTTTTCCAATTGTCAGATTTTTTCCTTTCCAGCGGATGTCTATTAGTCCTCTGGGGTTCATTGTAATATTCAAAATTCGTTTACGTAACCTGTCAGCTTCAGCGTCCCGGGGTGTTTTAGGGGTGTGTTGTGAATTCCCGGGGTTTTCCCCACAGGACACGTAAGGGTGACGAAAAACAGTCTGTCAGTTTTTTCTGGTGAGCACAAAATTTTAAAGTGGTAGTTTGGCGACAAGTAATCGAAAAAAATAAAATGTATCGATAAACAAAAACATGCTAGCTTGATATGCATCCAAAATATGCGTTCCATTTCAAGAAAGTTCCTCGTGCCAGAAATTCCCTACCCATAGTTCCTTGTAAGCGAGACTAAACAGTGTGGAACGACTCTGATATTGAAGTACCTCGTGTACCGGGTAATCGAGCAATGTTTTGTACCATCCTTACTTAGAAACCGAACGGTCACGCGAAGTGTGACATTGCCTTAGAGCCACCAAGTGGCTGTCTGAAATCAAAATATGTTTTTTTCAGCGATAAAGGGATTTTTGTGCGCTCCTTGAGTCATCTTCAGAATTTGACCTACTTTGACCTGATATACCTTCAGATGCTATTACTACATTTAGTTTAATAGTTTCTCGCGTAATCTGAGGTAAGTGTTCACAATTATTTTGGAATCAATACTTTCGTTGTATTCTAGGTGATTTCGGAGACAATAGCGCTATATTGCAACGTCATACTAGAATGATGTAGCATGCGTGTGCTTACTTGCGCGTTCGCCAGAGTACTGAATGGATTGTTGTGAGAATACGGTTTGGTTTTCAATCCAGCTGCCTCCTTTATAGTTTAATAAAGCTTTTGTCATTAGAATAGGTCTCTACTTAATTTCAGCTGGAGGCTTATAAGGTCTCGCTAAATTTAGACCCGTGAAACGCAATACACGGAAATATAATTGATTGATATGTTTTCAGCTATGAAAAGTTCCTGGTTATAACCTTATTTACTCTTCGATTGTGACTTATATGGCGAAACTACTCGCCGAACGAAACAGTCTAAGCTGTAGCGTGGTATTATAAATTATTCATCCATACTGTCGGTGCGGTACACTGTAGTTTTCCGGCGTCGTTGTCTCGTCCTTAGGAATTAGATGGCCATTGTGTCTGGTCGATTGAATAAGGTAAAAATATTTGTTTCCTCCTACGTAGAATCAAGAGATTTAAAGAAGTGCCATATTCCATTCCACAACCATCAGGATTTTATAAATGTGAGTGGAATCAGTGAATCTTTTATCATTCATTTTTAAATTAGTCTTTTCCTCGAGGCAAAATCCTTTTTTAGAGGTGGACAACAAAGATCTTTGAACCTTTTGTTAAACACGACTTATGTTTTTCGAAAGCAGCAAGCTTATTTACAGTCGTCAGAAATTGTGTCGCATTTTGTGGACTGAATTGTTTTTTAAAGTGGCCATCAAATGTTTGTAATAAACGTTACGCAATGTAATCCTATTATCATGTCAATTTTATCTGAATATTATTTTAAAATAGTTTTTTATAAACTGTTAGAGATATTTTAGTATGCTTAGTGCATTTGATATTTTGTGATGGCTTTGCACCACAGTTACTGATTTCAACTACATCAGT